ATCGGGCTGCCGCTTTCCCCGTCGTTTTTGGACACAGCAAGGTGAATCACCCCGCGTCTTTTTAGCCGGTCAATGCGTGACCACCTCCAATATTCCTTTCCCTGGATCATCGACCTTGGAAAGTCTGTAACCTGTCAGTCACCCTTCACCCGATACCTTCCACCTCCGCCTTGGATGGTGATTCTCCACCTACAATACCCCCATCCGCCACAACGCCTTATACCCTAGGGTAATCTCTTTGGATTATACCTTCTCTCACTTTCCACTCGGAGAATATAGGCTAGTCATTTGACAGAGCGCCATATTCCTTCTAGCTTTGCCATCACCTTGATAAGACCGCCTAGCTTGCCCTCGAGTCTTATGGCTCAGGCCTATCGAATAGTATCGATCAAGTCATCACCCAAATTGACGATTCTATTTTGGCTATGATCTATCGTCGACCGGTCTTTTGGAAATGATACAGCTATGCCTGGACATTTCAAAGCTTGAAGACAGAGACGGAATAATCAGCTGGCGTGTTATCATCTTCTTTCTTTTTCGACTTTACTTTGTTGTGTTTATGCTTAGAATGATTGCACAAACCGACACGTATATATACTACTACTTCAATTTCCAAGGTTCGGAGATAGTTCAGTTGTATTTTCTTGTCCATGCTACTAGTACTAGTACAAGAGGACTCGGGACTTTTGCACAGTCAATTAGAACTTACCCCTGTACTACTTACCCACCACTACACTAATACTTAGAACTAGTAGTAACCCTGGAAGTACTACAAATCGGAAGTCACTTTCAAGTTGAGAGATAAAATTATTTAGAAAGGTTCTTTATTCTAGTCATTGGAACGTTGGAGGAGCAATAAGCTCTAAGCAAAGAAAAAAGGGGGTGGTTTATAAAACATAATAAGTATGTACGGATCGTAAAACATGGACGCGCTCATCGTGATGAATAAATTGTCCATGCCTGGGACGTATCCAAAAAGGGCTGCTTGCAGCGCGATATCCAGGACAAGAATCGTCACAGTCGGTGAGAAGGGGAGAGAGGAGGTGGTCGGTAGTCTCGCGATTATCGGGTCGAGGAGATGGCCGATACGAGATATTGGTGCTCAAGCAAGGGTTGTCTCTTTGATTGGCGAGGTATGGGGTCGATATGTCGTCAGAAAGACAAGACAAGACAAGATAAGGGTATTGTTAAAGCAAAGCAAGTAAAGCATCCAAAGCGGCGACGGAGTGGAACTTTTAGTGTGACAACAGCAGTGTTGCAAATTTGCTTCATAGCGATGGGTCCGTCTTCCACGTGCCTGGGAGAAGAAAAATTCGTTAGATTATGGTTTCGGGTGAAACAACGGAAGTGAAATGAGTGGATGACCTACCATCAAAATTGTGCTTTACAAAGGCCATAGGATGATCGGTATCACCCGCGTTCATCTGCCCAACACCAGGGCTGAAACTAGTAATAGGCAAGACGACCACATCGCCGACTTTGCGGTGGGTAGTTTGGCCGGAGAAATCTTCATAGGTGACGTTCTTCTCCCCGGGCACGATATTGAAGTAATCCGGGTCGTTGAAGTAGCGGAAGACCGCATCAGTCCAGGCTCCGGGCCCCGTAAACTCCATGACAGTCTTATCCATCTTGCCGACCTTGAGGATCCCAGCCTTCTTCATGCGCAACGTTTCCTCCGTGATATAAGCGACCATATCGCGCAAGATCGGATGGCCTGGTTTGGAGACAATAGTCCATTGACAGAACTGGATGCGACGCGAGTACCAATCATGCCAGTCCGGTCTATCGGGATCGGCTTCGATACCGACCATAAATCCGATCGTCGAGCGGTCGAGCTCCTCTGGTAACCAGTAATGAGCAGGTTTCAGTGCTCTGGTGTCGATGTCGCTATAAACCCCACCGCGCGCAAGCAGCACGAGATACCGGAAAAAGTCCGCCTTCATCACCGCCAGCGGTAAGGAGTCATAGGCCTCGAAGACATCCGGCATCGATCCGTATAAATACTCAATTAGGTGGCGTTGGGTGTCGTCGCCAATCGTCTGGTGGGTGAAGTATGGGTTCATTTCCGTCCATGTCGCCTCGACCTCGCGCAGGTCTCGATCAAATCGACTTGAGGACGGTGCGTATTTCCATGTTTGCCAGATATATGCGGGGAAATGAGGCTCGAGTTTGTAGGGGAATTGGTAGCGAAGACGTTCGCGCAACGGGGCTGTTAGCGCCGGGCCGAACAGCTGCTGCTGTCGGGATTTGGCTTTCTTTTTCGGGTTGAGCAGCAATTCCTGTTCCTCCGCAAAGATATCTTGCACGGGCTTATATCCTGGCACTCCGGGAATGTCGGTGGCGGGCCGGGTTGAGCGGATGAGGAATACGAAGGCTATAAGGCAGATGACGGCGAATAAGGCCTTTCGGAGCGTCGGCATGGTGGGTGGCGGGGTTTTTGTGCGACCGTGTAATCAGATCGAACCCCTAGCCCCCCTCCTGTGAGGATATCGACAGCCACGCGCACCGTTGAGTCGGGCTATCCAGGACCTCTGCGGGTGGCGTGGGAGCGCGAGGCGCGAGGCACGAAGCTCGGCGGCTCGATTCGGGTTCGGTTCGGTTCAAGAGGGATGCGATTCGAGAGGCAATTGGGTTGCCGAGGCAGGATGGTGTGTATGCGTTCTGAGATTAAGCTTCAGGCGATCGGAGAATTGGCATGGCGGTATTCTCCTTGAGGCTGGTGGTGTGTGTGACTTCCAGAATGCGACGCACGCCGCAAACAGAAATAGGAGATACCACACGGAGTGGATCAGGAACCTGGGCCGGGGATATTTCAGAAGAATAGAAGAATTCGAATGAGAAAGAAGCCAGAATGGTTTCCCTCCCACTCGCGAACACACTAGTCAGCACCGTCAGGGTTGAAAGTGGACGGAGCCTGGAAAGATTGCGTATGCCATCCAATCTGGCTGGGTGGATCCCTCATTCACGTGGCCCGCTGCACTCGCCGTGCCGATTTATGTATTTACATGTACGGAGTACTTATTTATTTTCTGCTTCTTTGAATTTGTTCTCGTTGCCATATTTCTGTTAATTACGGAGTACGTCTGTTTGAACTAACTACCTGAACTATTTGGTTTAAGTTGTTCCCCACGATTGCGCCGTTCCGGTCCCCGGGGCTGACGATCGTTCTCGAATTGGAGACAGATACGAGGCTCAACACAGCAGTTTGATATGCTGATCCTTATTGGAGTTGAACTGTCAACCTCCCAGCGAGGATTTTTTCTTTATGGATGTTTTCTTCGGTCTGCTGTTCTATCACAGGGCGCGTACTAGTGTGAATGGTGTCGGATAGTTGCGTCGTCACTACGGGGTATTGGTAGTCCAACGCCCCTTTAGGCATAGGATCGACCTTTTCTCGAAGACTTGAAACATTCATATGCACCCTTGGGTTTTCTCCTAGACACTCTTCATTTATACTAGGGGTTCTAGTTATACTAGGGCCCATCAGATAGTATTACAGGGGGCTCCTTCAATGGTCATGACCCTGAGCCTGTGTATCCTAGCGACCCGCTGTCAGGTTTAGTGCCACACTATGTAAAATTTGATAAAGAAATATTTAGCTCCTAGTCTGGATTATAGTGTACTAGTAGTAGTAATAGTCGGAAGGGCCGGTCTTTCAAGAAAACTGCGGCCACTGCAAATATTTTGTCAAACAAGCTTCGTCGATCTAGGAATGCCAAGCCAGCCAAGCTCTGCTTACGCACGCACTGTTCAGTTAGCACGAAGCGACAACTTGAAGGACCAAAGCTTTGACAATAGGTGTGATAATATATTCGCACGATAACACTGGCAGCAATTTGAACCTCAAACTATCTGTAGGAAACGTCTCTGGCCGCTTGAGCCTACTCTAACCAGAAACTATTTACACGATAGCTCTTACTAGTTATAGTCCATGCTCTTCAAGTTGACAGTACCAGAATCGGACGTTCATGACCATCTGGGTAAGCAGCATGCAAGGCAAGAAGATTCGGCTGAAGTTGCAAAAATCCGGGCAAGTCGTGCCTGCCACCAGTGCTGCATAGTAATACTAGTAGAACTGGCATTCTATAATCAGCAGTCCCCGTCAACATCAAAACATCCCAAAAGAAACACCACCCAACATGTCCTAACTTGAACTTTGAACAACTTTCATTTGAAGCAATTCAACCTCATAGGGAATCCCAGTGTTACAGAGCTTATGCCTTACACTCGACATAGCTTGTGGAATTGAGTTGTTATACGTCACCCAGTCCCGGAACTTCTTGCGTGCTGAATATACGGATTCGAATATTCGCGTATGCTTCAATTACGGTCGAACAGGTCATTATGCTGGTTGAGAAGCATTCTCCAATACCGAAAGACCTCGGCGACAGTAATACATGCAAGCTGGGAAGAATCAAGCAGCACAATTTCGTGATTGCGTGTCTATCATCCTATCACTATGGAAATTTCAATGCGGCCAATATTGTGACGAGCTTGAGACGAACCTTCTCATGAATTAGAGCGGGCATGCCGTCACCCCGAGGCGATCAAACACTGTCCGTTCTACAAATTGGCCTCGCAAGCCCTGCAGTTGGCTTCGGACCACTAGCCCTTGCAGAAAGCCTCAATATTAGATATATTGAGGACGGTCGCCGACGCCAAAAACTTCATGTCCAGGGAACATCCATGGATACTACTAGTAGCATCCAGGGTAAAAACGCTCTACTGCTCTTCCACCAAGAAGGTTGATCAAGCAGAGAATTTCTAGCCTACTCCGGGCCTATACTCTCGAAAGCCCATGCTATTCTTATGATCTTTCGTCAAGCCTGGTGGGAAAAAAAAACATTTGAAGACAACGAGATTCAGTCTCCGATTGCCTGGGTCTGAGCCCGAATCCGAGCCCGAATCCGAGCCCGAGGACTATCAAAGACAAATCTGGCGGCTGTACAGCAAATTCTAACAATGCCTATCGAGTCAGATAATTTGAAAGGTGCTGGACCATGGGAACAAAGGTTGAGCGAGACCAGACTGAGCTGTACTCATCTCACGAGTTTGCGCCTATGCTACTTCGTGTCTTTGGATTAAAAAAAACCGACTTTATGGGGAAGCTCGGGTCAAAGAAGATTCAGGACCCACAGAAGAAGGGAGGAAAAGAAGATGGTACCAGGGCCATGGCTCAGTGTGTTCTGGAGGTCGAATACCGTTATTTTGGGCCGCGCAACGCCCCCAAATTTGACCCAAGTCTCCCAGATCTTCTCCCATCTCTACCTTAATTGTATCTTCTGTTAGACAGTAGTTATACCCTTACAAGCAAGTCCAATCAAGATGGAGTCCTTATACCAATTCAGTGTGGTTCCCTCGAGGCAGCCCCTGGCTCGTCATCTAAAAATTCTCGAGTGTGTCCAAGATCTTTCTCTAGCATATAAAACCTACGAGTTAGCTATACTAATATCAAATATCAAAATCAAATAACCATGTTGTTTCAAGAACTCAATAAGAAGTGAATAGATGTGCTACGTACACTACTACTACCACTAGTAGTAGTTAGTATGTAGTTATAACTTATAACTCACCCTCCTCTGTCCACGATATGAGAACGTACGGGCCCTCATGCTCCTCCCTCTGAAAGCAGTGGACCAGACTCAGCATCTGCTGCTAAAAGGTCTGGTGCCCTGGGGACCCGGGTTGTCGAGATGCAGGATGATGCGATCACGCTTGAAATGGGTGAATTTTGAGTCTGGCTCAGTAAGACCCAGATCACCAGCAGCATCAATGGAAATTCGCTCAATAAAATCCTTATAGAGTAGGGATACGTCGATCGATTCAATCGTGCTGCCTAATGATTCCGGCACTTGTAAGCGGTGGAAGACACGATTCCCCACACTCCCCGGGAGCCCCGAGTTGGGCATTCCTGGACGAGCAGTTTGGGAGATGAAGGAGATGCACGAGGAGTGACGGAATACAGAAGCCATGAATTGTACTCCGTAATACCTCACTCATGCAAAGGCCTCTTGGATCAATAATGCCTTACTCCTCGACTGCATCTGAGCTATCGAGACAAAAGAGCGTCAACACAGCAACGAAAGAGATCAAAGCGCGGATCAACAGGGGCCCGCACTAAATTGAAACCCACCTGGCGAAAGAAAGTATGGATGACAGAATCATCTTGCGCCATGTCCATTGGCCCCAGTCGCGTCCTCATGGGCCGCCCACAAAAGCTTAGCCAAGACTCGATTTCTCCTTGCGCTTTAGCTTCTTCGCAGACACAGTCAGCCGATGCCCAAGCTGCAGTTGGAGGCGATACCGAACACGTCTCCAGTAAGCTGCTTTGTCCCCAAATGATTTTCCTTGGTGGAAGTTGATGGTCTCATTGGCATCAAAACTGGTGTGATCTCTCCGGCCTCTCATAAGGAAGACCCCTCTTTTCCAAGACTTTTCCCCGTCTGAATGGCCCTGCATCTGCCCCCACGCCCCCATCAAAACCTTACACCTTACACACTTTGCTCCGTACGGGGCTCTAGATTGTTCTCTTGCCGTAGCCAATCCTACTGCAGGATCGGCCCATCAATCCCCGTTTCACATCTATTTATTCTCGCATTTGCCCCGTAATCTCGGCATCCCTGGTTGTTATAAGAAGCCGCTCGTCCATCCAATTGATTTGACCCTTTTTGGACTTCGGGATCAACGCAGGTGCTTCAGAAGGGGGAATCAACAGATTGCAATGGGCAGAATTGTTCTTTCTTGTCTACACTTTTCCTTTTCCCTTTTCACTTGTTCAGCTTCCTTCACAGCCACAAATCTTGGGTAGCGTCGGTGCTTGCCCGTTCAAGTTCAAGTTATCTATAGCCCGGTCACCTCAATCAAAACCGCCCCCGACTTTTCAAGCAAAAAGAATCGAGGTTCATTCGGTGCGACACAATGCAAAATCCTTCGAAAACCGGGCAACCCAATACCCACGACGTCTCGGCGACTGGTGATTTACAAGTGGCAGGGCAATTGTCAGACAGCGAGGGAAGTCAAGCGGGACTGGAATCGAAGCAACCGGGGGATATTGAAAGCGAAGGGAAGAAGAAGGGCCTCTTTGCGCGGCCCTGGTCGCGAGGACAAATCGGCATATTCAGTGCACTATTGTTCGTGGGACTCGGATTAGTGGCAATCATCATTGCTCTGCCCATCATCTTCACGAGAAAGAAGAACCCGGACCTGGGCGATACATACCACCTGTATCATTCGAACCACGACGACCCTAGCTACAAGATTAGAGAGAATCGCCCCGTCTTCGCCATTCACAACTTCCCAGACCCGGGTCTGCTCGAACACAACGGCACATGGTATGCCTATGGGACGAACCCCGAGAAGCATGACCCTAATACCATCCACATCCCCGTGGCGACATCTACCAACTTTGTCAACTGGACTCTGCACCATGACTATGACGCGATGCCAACCCTCGGCGGCTGGGAACGCAGTGTCAACCACTGGGCACCAGATGCGATTCAGCGGGTACGTGGAACTAATCCTCGAAACCACCGAAAAACAACAAAGTGACTGACTGACACTTCGCACAGGACGACGGAAAATTCGTAATCTACTACGCAGGCCAGACAAAAGATTTCAAAACGCACCACTGCATCGGAGCCGCCGTATCAAAAGGCACCGACCCGCTCGGTCCCTACATCCCTCTCAACGAATCCCTCGCCTGCCCACACAAATACGGCGGCGCAATCGACCCATCCCCTTTCAAAGATACCGACGGCACCCTCTACGTCGTCTACAAAGCCGACGGCAACAGCGTCGGCAGCGGAGGATACTGCGGCAACAGCCGTCTGCCCCGTCGCCCCGTGCCGATAATGCTTCAAGAGCTGGAAAGCGACGGCGTCACGAAAGTAGGCGAGCCAACGACAATCCTCGACATCGACGACTCGGACGGCCCGCTCGTCGAAGCGCCGGATATCATCCGCACCGCCAATGGGACGTATTTCCTCTTCTTCTCGTCGCATTGCTTCACCTCGCTCGGGTATAATGTCAAATATGCGCACGCCGGCTCCGTCAAGGGTCCGTATACCAGAGCTGAGCGGCCACTTCTGCAGACGACGGATTTCGGTCTGGAAGCGCCTGGCGGCGCGACGATCTCGAAGGATGGGACGAAGATGGTTTTCCATGCGAATTGTGGTGGGTGGAGGTGTATGTATGCCTCGGCGATTGACATTCGGGCTGTGAATAGCACAGTTGTCTTGTCGACTCTCGAGTTCGAGGTTTTTGGGAACAGCACGGCGAATAGTTCCAGTTCTGCCTCGAGTGTTTCGTCTTGAGGCTGGTGCGGTGTGGGCGGTCTGTTTCTGCTTGTTAGTTAGCATTGCATCTGGCGTTTTGAGCGTTCGTGGCTTTGTCGAATCGATGATACCCGCATGGTTTGGTTCATGGGCATATTCGCAAGGAGGGAGTTTCGATAGAAAGAGAATCCATCATTTATCACCATTTTCTATGGTCTCTTTAAACGCGTAGATTCCAGAGTAGGTCGAGTGCGAGTCCGCACCGTCGCTGTTGAGCTCATCTTGTGCACCATGTCGTCCATGTTGAGCGATGTGCATGTCGCGGGCGTGCCGCGGAGAGAGGTTTGGGGACAGAAACAGGCATGAAAGAACCCAAAGGAGATCCTACATTTACTCGAGTCTACAATGAAAGCAAGTACTACCAGATAGAAATGGTCATGAATCAACAGTTGTATTCTCGACTTGAATTAAATACAGAAAAAAGGGGAACAGGAAAGGAAGATTGAAGATTTTCGACCCCCTCGGATTTTAAGCACTATCATACTCAACGAACTAACGTGCCTTGGTTCGGAGAGCTTGGGTTCCTCACGCGTCTTCCTCGGGAAAGCTTGTGATTTCTCGGCAGTAGCGGTTTGGGTTCATCACAGGGAAATCCAGGAAGTTGGTCCAAGGAGACCATGACGAAGAAAGGTGGTGACGAAGCCTCCGACCTGCCTCCGGCCCACCTCCGCCAGAGGGTACATCCCATCCCAGCGCCTGCATGAAAGAGTTTGCTGGGTCCTGTTACTCCTAGGAGTGTACGAGCCCGACAATGTGAAGCCCTCGTCTCAGTTTCTAGTCGCTGCCGCCAGTCGTGTAGGAGGAGGAACCTTTACCCACCGTTCTATGCGAAGAAGCACCACCCTTCCACCCGCGGCTTCTGGAGTCGAGATCTTCCAGTCGAGGAGGAAGAACCCGATTGTCGTCGTACACCAGTCGAGTGAGTGTACGAAAAAGGACTGTGAAGGTTTAGCGCGAGGAAAGGGGAGAGACCGGATCTCCAGCTCGAGAACAAGGACGAAAGTGAGGAGTCAGGAAGGGGGAAGAGAGTGGGCTGGGCTCGACGGTTCGAGGACCAATGGTTTGGAGGAGGAAAGCAAGAAAGAAGAAGAGAGTTCAGAGGGCCAGGTACTTATAGGCGTGGCCTCCTGCCATTCACTCTGCCATTCACTACGAGTGACTCACTCGCGGCCGTTTGCACATCCGAATGGGGAGACTGCATGCCTTCCTACTTTGGAAGCAACATTCACCGGGGAACAATTTTGATTGGTTTGTCAGTTACGTACATTTCAGGTGCCAGCGACAGTGGAAGACAGTGGAAAACATGACACGATTGATTGATTTGATTGGCTTGACCGAAAATTGCAAAAGGTCCAACTCTCTATAGAGATAGTGAATGATAGTGAATACCGCACCCTCGGATTGAAAACTACCTTTTGGTTGTCACTCGTCATCGGCATGCTCGACGCCGTTGCCCTCGAGGGGTATACAGACGGAGCAGTAATTGCCTCCGAGTAAATGCTAGACGGGGGATTCTCGTCATTGGGTGGGTTTGCGACTTGGTAAAGGATTGGGGATTAGGGCTGGATTTTGAGATGCGCTGTTGCAAAGAACTCGAATGTATTGTATGCGGAGATTGGCACCAACAAAACAGGCTGGGTGGTCAGTGCTACATGGTAAGTCGTCAATTAAAGTATTTTCCAATCAGATACTGAATGCACACGCTCATCAGGTGTACAATTGGCATCGAGTCCCACCAGGTCAAACGTCAACATTGGACGGGACGGGCATTGTGGCAGACCGGTTCGCAGCTATCATGAGATGATTGCAGCAAGCCTCTTAGATTTCTGTTCATGTTCTCAGTCACCCACATACAAGCAGACGTGACTTCCACATGAGCAACAGCGAGGCCATTGAGGGATGTACTCCGCCGCCTGATCCAAGAAACTTGGACGTGTCGTGAGAAGCTCTTGTGATGGTTATCGTCATTGAGGCTGGAAAAAAGCACGGATGCTTTGTTTTTCAGGTCTGCGCAGAAAATTGTCAGTATTTGACCACCTCTCATTCCAACCAGCTGTTGCGAAAACTCACCTGCGGTGCAGATATGCGGAGAAAAAGAAACGCGTCGTCGGGTTTGACATTATCGCTCGAGGGCCGCGGCTCGACCTCACCGCTTTGCAACCGAATCGCCCAATGGTGGAACCGATGAGCACATGGCCCTGCAGAAGCGCATTCTTATAATAGTGGCCCAATTGCCCCTAAGAACGGTGAGTGCTGCCCAGATCTGGACGCTGTCTGATTCCACTATGGCTCCCCCAGGCTCTAGGTGGTGGCAGGCACCTGATGAAGGTGATCTCGACTATGGATTTGATTCTGACGATTTGGATGCTAGATTTGCCCAGCCTGAGCGCAATCCCCGCCAAGTGCTTCCCCGAGACCGAGGAGCTACAGACGAAGACGCAGAACGAGAACGAGATACACCGAATCCGGAAGAGAAAGGCGTGCTTGGAAATATGGCTTCGTGGTTGCATCGCCAGGCTGGTTCGTCCAATAACCAGCTTGCGACAACCGCCGTGCTCTCCGGAGCTGCAGTCGCCGGTGCAATCTTTGGATACCAGGCTTACAAGCGGAACGAGGCTGTTCATGACCTCAAGGCTTCTATCCCGGTTCTCAACGAGGCGCACCATGCGGAGAAGGTAAGGCTTCCAAGCTCTTTTTGTGGGAGATTGCCAGATTCCAAATTCGCGATAAGAGGAACGGAACGCTGACAACAACCCAAGCTCACAGAATTTGGTATCGCCGACAATGGAATCCCGATGAGCAAGGAGGATGAGCGTAGCTCAGCTCTAGCTCGTCGGGCACAGAAAGGCGACTACGATGATGGTATTATTTCCCACATGTCTCCGACGAAGCAATGAAGCTAACGAGTGTGACCTATGAACAGATCTGATCTTGGAACAACTCGCCCGAAACCGTGTTTTCCTCACCGACGACGGACTTGCGAAGCTCCGATCCTCTTACATCGTTGTTGTGGGCTGTGGTGGTGTTGGATCGCATGCTGCCGCCGCACTGGCTCGCTCAGGCGTGGCTAAGATCCGTCTCATCGATTTCGACCAAGTGACCCTGTCATCACTTAACCGCCATGCGCTGGCCACACTGGCTGACGTGGGAACATCCAAAGTACACTGTATCCGGAGGAGATTGGAGCAAATCGCTCCATGGGTCATGTTCGACTGCCGCAACGAACTTTTCGGCAAAGAGGCGGCCGATTCCCTCCTTGGTCCTTGGACTCTGACACACGAAGGAGAGGGACGACGACCAGACTACGTGCTCGACTGCATCGACAATATCACCTCGAAGGTCGACTTGCTCCACTACTGTCACGCCAACTCGCTTCCCGTCATCTCGTCCATGGGGGCAGGCTGCAAGTCAGACCCGACTCGCGTCGTTGTTGGTGATATTTCCGCCAGCACCGATGATCCTCTCTCGCGCAGCACCCGGCGCAAATTGAAGGCCAAGGGTGTTAGCTCTGGGATTCCGACGGTATTCTCGACCGAGAAGCCCGGTCCTGGGAAGGCCAGTCTACTCCCTCTTCCCGAGGATGAATTCGCCAAGGGTAAAGTTGGCGAGCTGGGTGTTCTCCCGGATTTCCGAGTACGCATTCTTCCGGTTCTGGGAACCATGCCTGCAGTCTTTGGCTACACTGTCGCCAATCATGTCATTTGCAGTGTATCAGGGTACCCGATCGACTACACTGTGGGCGCCAAGGGCCGGGATAAGCTGTACGATGGTATGCTGGGTGCCTTCCAAGGTGCCATGGAAAAGCTGAACCGACACTTAGCTGGCGAGGACCCCACTGGTCTGCGCCTGCCAGTCAGCAAGGACGATATTGCCTACTTGACAGAGGAAGTCTGGCGGGGAAGAAGTGCCATCAGTGGCTTATACAACCGCCTGGTGTTGATGCCGTGGGAAGTCCCCGCGCGTGGATTCGCTGTGGACGCGGATATGGCGAAAGAGGGACAGAAGTATATTCCTATCGACCTGAAGGATCTGGTTTGCATGACCAAGGACGAGGCCACTCGTCACGAACGTGAGGTTCTACGTGGAGACAAGAAGGTCGAGGAGCTTTATGATGAGACAGTGCTACAACGCGTGAACCTGCGGCGACAGGAGGCGGATGAGCTGGAACAGTACCGGTGAAGTGGGGAAATGGGGAAATTTATCATGATCAAATGACTGTAGAGTAATCAATTCAATCAACAATCCTTACTAGTACACATAATATCGTAAGTATACTATACTAGTTTACTGGGATGGCCGGGACGATCGATGATCCACGGGACGCCTCAAGTGGGTCCCGCCTTCCGAATCCGAGAGTTCCCCAGTTGAACTTAGGCTGCTCTCTGATGCGGCCAAGATAATGAAACTGCCTTCTTTGCCAAGCGTGTCTGACCAACCCCCTCTTCCCTGGTTCTTCTTCTTGACATATCATTCCATGTCTACTCCTCCGCGATCTTGATCATGGCCTCACAGGACAAATACGAACTCGAAGATCCAAATCATCACCCCGACTCCTTCCACCATGGCCACAGTCGACAGCGCTCCACCAACGGGTTCTCCCGCTTCTCCAAACCCCTGATCGACTCCGTTCGCAATGGATGGCAATCCTCCTCTCCAGCCTACCACCCCCTCACCTCCGCGAACGAGAATGAGCACCCGCGCTGGGTGCAGATGGCCCTGTCGGTCCTTGCGGCGCCGCGATTCCGCAGATACGTGATCGTATATTTGACGCTCTTCCTACTCGGCTGGGCGGGCTGGGGCCTGGCTATTTCGCCGATGCTGCAGGACCGCGCGGAGATGATTCGTGCTCTGGATGTCGATTCCAAGACGACGGGGTGGTTTGGGACAAATGCGTTGCCGAAGTTTGATGATTTGACTCTCATTCAGACTATGGATCCGAAGTTCCTCCCCGGCGGTCCGGTGGATGTGGAGACCCTCGGTGCGGGGACTCGGAGGCGTTTGGTTGTTGTCGGAGATGTACATGGGTGTAAGGATGAATGTAGGTTGGGTCGAATCGACGGATGGAATTGACATGGCGTGCTGACATGGTCATACAGTGTCTGAGCTCTTAGAGAAAGTTTCTTTCTCAAACGAGAAGGGTGACCACCTCGTTTTCACGGGCGACTTGATCAACAGGGGGCCCGATAGTGCTGGTGTCGTGGACATGGCGCGAGAATTGTCGGCTTCGTGTGTGCGTGGAAACCACGAGGACCGGGTCTTACTTTTGCGGAAGGAAATGGTGGACACGCAGACTTTCACGGAAGAGGAAGATGTGGGTATCGATCTTTATACCGAGAAGCAGTTGAAGGAACGCGCTTTGGCTCGCGCCTTGAGCGACGAGCAGGCGCAGTGGTTGGGCACTTGTCCGGTCATTTTGAATGTCGGCCAGATCCCCACTATGGGGCAGGTTGTTGTTGTCCACGGTGGTATTGTTCCGGGCGTGGAGCTCGAGAAGCAGGATCCGTCTCTTGTGATGACAATGCGAACCATTGATGTGGATACACATGTCCCGAGTGAATCGAGTGAAGGTCTGAAATGGGCCAAGGTAAGAAAGACATTTCATTCGAAGCTGACGAGCGACGCGCTAATATGACCCAGATGTTTGATAAACACCAATCGGCCTTGCAGAAGAGCCTCTCCTCATCCAACGAAGACCCCCGTTCCGAGCTCATGACTATCATCTACGGCCACGACGCCAAAACCTCGCTCAAAATCCGCAAATATGCCAAGGGCCTTGACTCTGGATGTGTGAAAGGTGGCAAATTGACCGCGCTTGTCATCGAGGATGATGGGACGCAAAAAGTCGTTCAGGTGAAATGCCGTAACTACACAAAGGGCTAAACGCAGAAGCCTCTTGTGTCGCTTTTTTTTTTATTTGATATTGTTTTAGCCCTTCAATATTGCATCTACGGGCTGGCGTTTGGGTTCCAGCGGCTCATGGCATATAAAATTCGCCATGCGGAGTGTATGGGTTTTGGCTTCTCGGGTATATTCTATTTTGCTACATCTTGTGGCATGTGTCATATTGGCTTTGTTTATACGATACCTGAATATGAATACGATTTGAATGCGATTTGCTTACATCGCATTTCCCTCAAGTCCTCCAAGTCAGACATCGCATGTTCATATAGCTCACAATAAACTTGGAATTCTGATGCTGTTCCAATTGATGACATAACCTTGAAGGCCTTCAGCTACTAGCAGTACTTGAACACAATCTAGAACTGCCAAGCTCTTGAATGGTATTTCTAAGCATTTGGCTACTACTAATAATATACTCCACAACTTGAACTTGAATCTAGGTGTCCATAGCTTCAACTAGAAGTTGATAGATGGGCAAATCCGGGATGAGAAAACAAGAAGTTGACACTCTATTTGCGCGAACTCTGACAGCAAAACTTCTACAACTGCCAGGTAGTTTATATACACAACGCTCGATCTATGTGCAGGTTTCTTTCCAAACAAACCACAGTCTATACTGGCCGTTGAAGCCCGAATCAATAGAATAAAGGATACGAACCTCGGTGATCAGTCAAAACAAACCCAACTATTCCGCGCTATACCCCGAGGTAACATTGGACCCGGGAATAAGATACTGACCGGTAGCCCGCCAGGTCGCCGCGTCAGAGAAATCCTCATACCAAACGCCACCAAGGGCATTAATATGCACAAAGCCAAAGCGGAAATACTCCTCCTGGCCCGAGTGTTCTCGCTTCCAATCCAATGCAGGAATCGAGCTTCTGTCCTTGGACTTGAACTCCTGGTAGCGCAGAACATCGTTGACGATGACGCCGATACCGTCAACGGAAGGAGGAAGATCGGGGAAATTGAAGATGACGTGGTTTAGGTCTGGAATTTGGGGTGGGTCGATGTTTGGAGGGACTGTGCCTAGGCGGCCGCCATCTAGTAGAGAAGCGGGTGTTTGGAGGATGGAGTCGAAGCCCCACCGTGCGATACCGTTGATGAAGAGGCCGACCAGAATACCCTGAAATAGAAGACTGGGTCGAGTTTGGAGGGTTGTGCCTGGCAAGAGGAGGAGGGAAAGGATATAGTGGTGGATGCGGAGGTTCATGTTTGGCACGGCGACCAGGATGAGGACGCCCAAGACGAGCGCGCCGTATACGCGGAGTTGGGAGAAGAAGCGACCCTCGCGGCGGAATCCCCAAGCTTGAAGGAAGGTGATGAATATCAGGCAGCTGATAATGATAATCAGGGCTGGGATCGCGCCGGGTTGTTGTTCGAGGTCGTGGGGTGTGAGGCGGGAGATGGGGATGCGGTCGAATGTGTCTGTGTTTAGGGCGCCGACCCAGCAGCCACCCAGCCAGAGGATAGTTTTGTCGACGTGTGCGTCCAGGTTGTGTAGTGTGCGCCAGACACAGAAATAGTATAGTACAAATCCTACAAAGGCACCTGGTAGGAAACGACCCAGTCCTGTTGAGACGAGGCTGTAGTAACCTGACGAAGATGGTGGGTCGGATGCCATAGCCACCTGGAACCAGACTATAAAGAATATTGAGGCATAAAATGCTGGTGGCGAGGTGATGGTCATGGAAAGCAAGATCGTCACGACCAAAGTAAATGCGAATAGTGACCAGCGGATGTCGGAGCACTCAACAAGCTTGGCTTCGCTGGAACCCGATGAGCTTGCTTGTCGGGTCACCTTAAATGACATGGGAAAATTGGACTGGAAATCGATACTAGCGATTCCATTTTTTGTCACATTTTCGAATTTATCCTGTAGGCCCGTGCGGTGCAGGATACCGCATCCACCTGTCGCATCATCGATGACTCCTGCGTGGAGAGCCGATGCGCAAATGGACGAGTCGCCACGATAATGGCCACTCATAGGACTGTTGTTTTTGAACGTTCTACCGCCGACAACAAGAGGGCGGTAGTTGTACTCCTCAGCGCCTACATTGTAGGGCTCGAGCAGGATGGCGGCTGAGCAGCCAGATGGACAACGAAAAGCGAAGGACTGTTCATCGAAAGGACGACAAAGATCACCATTCAGTCCGCATTCGGTTGCATTGCTCCTAAATGAAAAAATATTAGTATTTGAAAACAATTCAATTCAACCCTAGCTCAGTCTTAAGGCAATTAAGGTGAGCATGACGTACCACAAGCGCGCGTGACACGACAGTTTAACCGGCTGTCCATAGCCCAAAATCTCTTGACCCGCGATAGAAGACTTCAACAAGGAGAAAAACACAGCAATCCAAACTATCAGGACAGTCGCCAGCAATGCAATTTTGGCTGTCGGCCGCTTCGCCCACCGATCGACAAGACGCGCCGGCGCAGCCTGCCACCGTGGGAACCACGGCTCAATGTGGTAAATTTTGGGAGGCACCGGCCCACGAAGCCATTGATAGAAGAGCCAAGAGCTCGAGCAATCAAACGACGGGTCATGAGCCGTCACCCTTGACCTAGGCAAATCCTGGTTCTGGTAATCCAAGTCCGAGAGCGTCGAGTCAAACGAATTGTCCCGGTGAAAATCACCCGGTAATAAGGGCACATTGCCCAATTCTATATCACCGATTGAGTCGCTGCTGAAGCGATGCTCATGCGTGCCCTGGGGCTCAGGTTGAGGCTCAGGCTCTGCATCCTGATATTGCGTGTTTAGCCGCCGCTCGGGCGCAGAAACCAGGATGTCGGAATGGCTGAGCGAGGAGGGGGATCCGTCCCTTTGTTGCTCGCCTGGAGACCCTAGTTGTAATCGCATTTTGGCACGACCACGACTTCGAAGTAAAAGAAGTGATCGTGAAAAGACAACGTGGGGACTCCATTATGCCAAGCTGCTAATATCTTCTGGGCCGGTATTTGTGTCTTAGTCATCTGGCATGATGATCGACGAGGTGTTTCAATTGGTGAAGCAGTGACTGTTTCATGTTCATTTCTCACCTGCCATAGTGGAATAGCTGTCCTTTTGGGCCTGTTGTAGTAGCTGCGAAATGCTGCAGGATCTCTGCATTGGTGGATAGATCGTGTGGACTGGTCCAGGCCAGGGAATGAATGCCCTAACTAACACTGCCCCGCGTCGGTTGCCACCAACACTGCACCTTGATCACGGTTGATACTCCGCGGGGAGTATACTAGTCCTGGTTCGATGATTTCTTTCCATCAAATATCCGGTCCAATGGTTTTGGCAGTCATGTAGCACGGATTCAATTTCCAGCGTTCTGCCTGAATGCCTGAGCTGCCTTGGCTTCCTAATTGGGAAGTTCAGCCCGCTCGACTTGCTTCTTTAAAGTTTACCGGCTTGCTTTTGATTAGAATACCTGTGGGATGAAAATGATTGAAAAATCCATTACACCCCCAATATCCCACTTATTTCTTGTAATCTAATCTTCACTGAATACCCTCCAGCCTTCATACTATCTTCAACCATCATGTCGCAATTCAGCTTCCTCAATTCATCCAAAGCCGTTCCCGGGAACGGATTCATCCCTGATACTTTCACAGTCACTGCACAACCTTCAACAGATGCGTGGTCAAACCCACCCAATACAGAAAGATTCAATGCGCCAATTCTACATCGTGATATGCCACTCCTAGCCTTCCAACGAGTCCAAGTCACCATCCATGCCAATCTCACACAGAAGTATGACCAGGGAGGTCTTATCATGGTCGTCAAGGGAGAGGATGGCTCTCGCAAATGGGTGAAAGCAGGTCTTGAGCTAGTGAACGACGCAGTTCATTTGAGCACTGTTTCGAAAGACCGAGGCTCGGATTGGTGTTTTCAGGCCGTGCCCCCGGGCTGCAAATCGGTGACGTTGGAGATGATCAGAGAAAAGGGCGACACCCTATGGATCTATCTCCTCGATGGAACTCGCAGAATTCCTCAACGCGAAATCACTTGGATCTTTCAAGGCAAGGAGACTGAAGAATGTTTGGTTGGGGTTTATGCCGCGAGACCATCTAAAGAAAGTGGCGATGATCTTGATGTACAATTCGAGGGTCTGACTATTGATACTATTTAGAGATTTCTCCAATTCTACGCTCGCAACACTAATAACAAGAATCTCTTCGGGTTCCACCTCCATAGAACAACCCATCCCCGACAAGTGAAGAGAGCCCCGTAAAGAGAATCAGAGGACCATAAGAGGACCCGAACGCGAAACGCTGACTAGCCACGATAGTCCCAGCCTTAAGAAGTGCCATTCCAGCGATGCCTCCGCTTGCGTAACCGACACCTCTGACGCCATTCAGTAGGCCATAAAGCATTCCAGGGTCAACGGCTTCATTTCTCTCCACGGACTCGCGCTCAATTTGCTTCAGCATCCCTCCCCAGGTAGCACTGTAACCACCGGAGAAGAATCCAAACGTCATGGAGAAGACTATAAGCAGGCCAAGTGCGCCCTCCGATGTCAAGCCCCAAAAAAGGAAAGCCGAGAGAGCGCTGCAGATTGGTGGGATTGCAGAGACTGCCTGCGCAGACAGAGGGAATTTCTTGTTGTCGCTCAGCCACCCGAAGAAAGCCGAGGCAATTATACCAGGCGCATTGAATAGGGCTAACATCAAAGTGCCCGATGTTTGGGATAACAGGGCGATATCTCGGGCGTAAGTGCTCAGATAAGTCTGCGGGATACCATAGCCAGAACTTTGGAAGATAATTGCGATGCTGTAGAAGTAGATCGATCGGTGTCTGAGGAAATGCCACGGGATTTGCCGTGCTCGAGTCTGGTGAATCGTCAATTTGGAAGGATGGATTGGTATCATGAATATGGCGATAATGCTTGAACCCCCGACGATAGCGGTCCATACTTTCAGCGTAGTTTTGTAGCCATATGCATCAATTAATGCTCGAAGCATGAAGGGACAGCTTGTACCGACGATGTTCTTGCAAGAAAGAACGATCCCATATGCCAAAGCACGATTGCTGGTTGTGTACCATTCGCCGAGAGAGAGGGTTGTCGGGCTGTAGATCAAGGCGCATCCAAGCGCGGATAGGATCCCCTGCGTAGCAAACAGGTGCCAGACGGCCGTGCTGTAGGCGGAAAGAAAGAAGCTAATGCATGCGATTACTGTCCCGGTTAGAGCGGCAGTTTGACGCCAGCGAGCCCAGCGTCTTGTGAAGAGTGCGAAAAGAAATGGCATGGATAGGTACATGACGCCATTCGCGGTTGTGCCAATGATACCGGTAATGCGGCGGTCGCCTTCGAATGTCCAGTTTTCCGAGTAGTATTCCTGAAAGATACCGTAGCTCATAGCAAAGCCTGCGGGTGCGTGAGTAAGATGCTATCTGATTCATGTGGCCAACAAACGTACCCCATATAGGTAGTTGGATTATTCCAGATCCTATGAGCACAGATAATTTCGTCTTGCTAGATTCGACTTGTCTCGAGTCGATCTGCTCGAGGTCCATCGCTCTTTGTTGCGCATCTGAGGAGTCTGGCTCGTGAATACCCGGAGGTCTAGATTCCTGGAGGCGGATCTGATTGCCATCATTCATCTTGGAAGAGATAGTTTGAGGTTCATTTGGTAATCTGGAACACTTGAAGAGTGGTCAAAGGCATAGAGGAGTGTATGAAGGATGACTCAGGTAAACCGGGTAATCACGCCCCCCAATTGCGGGGAAGACCATAGCGATCTATACTATAAGTGGACATCTCATTTGTAGAGGTGGAGTTGTAGAAATAAAATATCTGTTTATTGTAGCGAATGACTATGACGTGACATCAAAAACCAGCACCAAAAATAAGTTCCACCAAGGGTATCAACGTAAGTCGTAATTCGTTGGCCTCATCATGAGGAGAATGCGACGAGAATTTCAAAAATAGATTCCATGAAACGACCGTAAATCATATGTGTTGTTCAAAGCTGCATCAATCGTACGGGTAAGCCCGCTAGATAGCTGTAGAGTGTTGCACCGAGTAATCAAGTAGTTTGTCTTTAGCACTGTCAGGTGAATTAAGCGGCATCGGCGCCACGGTTGCGACCCCAACGACGACGACGGGTGGTTCCCGCGGTGGAGTCGCGCTTGCGGAAAGTGAACCAAATACCCTGGAAAGTTATTAACATTGATTCTTGGGGGCTTGTACTGGGAAGCGATGGCACATACAACGAGCGCAGAAACGAGCCAGATAATAGCGGACAAGAAGGCAAAGGCCTCGGCAGCCTTCCAGCGTCCACATACATCGTTGCGGCGGTGTAAAAAGTTCCAGTTCCAGATTCCTCCGCACCCTGAAAGCTGGTTGATTGTGTTGACGAGAAGACCGAAAGCAGCGAACCAGGCGAAGGAGATGAGCACATCAACTGAATTATGTTAGAATGTTTCTAGACTCCAAATGCTGTACCATGGGAAACGTACGAGGCCAGGTAAAGAAGCCCGATGAGAATGGAATCAGCCATAGCAGGCCGAAAAGTATCGAGATGCCGGCCACAACTTCGGTGTAAATCCAGCGACCCTGTGGCCAAGGCTCGATCCCGCGGAACGAGTGCAGGTAGTGACCGACGATACCCGCGACAACCTAGATCAGATTCCAAGGTTAGAATATAATTTGCGAGTTGGATCTGTAGACTGATATCGCAGACATACCGCACCGAAGGCGATCTCCGCGATGCGAAGGGGGATGGAGACGAGACGTGAAATGACGGGCATGATGAAGTATAGTTAGCCGGGTGGTAGTTCTTTGTTTTGATAGCAAGCCGGAATGATAGAGCTAGCCCGAAGCTTGATAGGGTATTAGAGCTGACTCGGAAGGCCTGAAGCTTGAAATATAAGGAAATGCCAGTTAGTCGGAGGGAACAGAAGGAGATATATAAGAGGTCGGGTGATTGTCACACAGACAGGCAGGCAGGCGAACGAGGGAGAGACCCGCTCTCCCAAGCAAGGGCCCACAAAACTACCAGTCCATGAGAAAGTGTACCCAAAAATAAAATGTCTAAAAATCCAATCAATTAGAAATAACATTTTTAAAAAAAAGGGCAGCGTCGAGAACGCACCAAGGTCAGACCCACACCCTGCTGAGTGTCAATCCAAGACCCAGCCCGATGTCGTCAGATGGCCTTCTTCAAGCAACTAGTGTAAGCCGGCATGACATACGAAGTACAGAGCTCGAAAAAAACGCACACGTTCAAGCAAGAGAGAGACAGGTGTATGATTGGCCGCCATGCAGCATTTTGCATTTTGCATTGACGCCCAACCCTCTGCTCTTCAAAATTGTACGCGAGAACCTTAGTTGAAAACAAGAAGAAGGAAACTCTCCAAGGTTAGTTAGGCTGCTTTTTAGTCAACCCTGCAATCCATTTCGCGGGGACTGGCCGCCGCTGATGCAGTGAACTGTGGCTTGAGCTTCTTCATCCGATCGGAGCAAGGAGCTTCTGACGCATTGGTCCTGTCAGAATCCAACCCCAAGGAAGTGGTCGGTGGCTGTCTCGTTTCTGCCCCCCCTCCTGCCAGTAGTACATGTACTTCCGGGCTATCCCTGTTTCTCGTTCGCTGGCCTTGGTTGGACTTGTCCAATAACACTCGCATTGACAATGACCCGGTTCGAGTTCTCAGAAGACTTCCCCCTTCCCCTCCCTTCCGGGGAATGACCAAATGATGCGCTGGCCGCGGAGATTAAGCACCGACCAAGGAAGTCTCCCTTGAATAGGGCGTGTGTGGTGTGTGGCTGATTGCTCCCGTGGCCGTTGTCGATCGTCTTGCGCTATGGACAATGTCCTAGTTGACTGGCTGCTCCACTGGGGCCGATCACTGCAGCCTGGGGCTCAGGCCGTCCCGAAGACATGCTGCGTAGTTTGGATTGGCAAGTAATTCATCCCGACTTGCAAGGATGCCCACTTTTTGATCCTTTCGGTTCTTGGTCCAGGAACGGCCAGTGGCGGTAATATTGTATGATGTCGAACACTTAGAGTAAGGTGGTGTGTTCCTTCTACCTTGCCTTCATTTTCTTTCAGCCCTATGACGTGGGGCGAGAGTGGAGCGCGTTGTACGATGACAGCACTCGATATTTGAGTAGCTTTGGTAGCTTTGATTTCGGCAATGCGTGCCGTCTGCTCTGATTCACAGTGCAGGTGTCCCTCACGGTACCTTTCTGCACGAGCGATTTTTCGTTTGCAAATCTTGTCTGTGAAGCCAATGTCGGGTATGCACTGAGATGGATGGACTAGATCGCTTCGGTGGCTGAGGCGATGCGTAGTTCTCCCCCGCCCCCCCCCATGATCGGGCGGTGCACCATTGTATTGTATGCACTGCAAGTATGTACTACGGATAACGGAGTTGCCTATTTCTATTTCTGTCTTGGATTCTTTAGTTCTTGGGTTTTTTGCTTTTGTTTGCCATGAGGTAATTATAGTATAGTCTTGGCTTCCATGATTAATGATACAAATGAGATCAAAATCCACAACCCTCAACACGACAGGATATCACAAATACACCACACCACAAGAGACTATGTCCAGGCCATTAGGGGGAACGATAGACAGGAAATGATACTATAAGAGGCGAAACATCATCACGTCATAGTTAAGTCGTCACCGGCAGAAAGCGCTTCCATCTCAGACATGCTTCTGATCTTCTTTCAAGAACCAAGCCATCACGTTTTGGAACACGGATCGGGCGTTTGTCTCGATAACATCTCCATGGCACGGGATCACTCGGTCAAAATCCCATTGCATGATTCGGCGAACGGAAGTAGTGAACGCGTCGCGGTCGTGGGAGGATAAAATGTACCACGCAAAGCGTCGCTGGCCGGTAGCAGGATGGGCCTGGGTAGACAGAAGAGGCAGAACCATCTTAGTCGCTAAGTTCAGCGGTTCTTGATCATCGGTCTTAGAGTATTGTTCTTTGGCGGGCAAATTGAAAAGCATATCCGCCTCGATGACCGTGCGCGACGGCTTGTGCAGGAAGACGAGCTCGCGCGAGCCATGGCCATGCACATACTCGGTTTCAAACTCAGCGTCCCACTCTGCCGAAATTTTCGGAGGTTCAGCATCTTTCTTCCACACGTGCTCGAACTGAGTGTCTCGGAAATCGGCGTTAGATTGGCGTTTCTCCCAGAGGCCCTCAGGTGCGATTATTTGTGCTGATGGGAAGGCCTTCTTCCACGCCGTGAGATGAAGGTGGTGTTGGAGATCGGGCGCGGCGATATACCTGACGTTGCCACCCAGAGATTCAACCTTTGCGCGCACTTCTGGTGTGAGGCTGACGGGAGAGAAGACGGCGAGGGAGCCCGTGGTTAACTTGACTGCATCACGCAAGGCGGAGTTAGCTCAAGCCCAGTTCAAAGCGGCAAAGGTGAATCAAAAGGGGGGCAAAGACCTCAAAAGTGGCATGCTGTAAGGGCAACTTCACATACCTAGTGTCCCCCGGCCTCCGAATCGCATAATGCCGAATCGCGCGAATGGCAGACTCATGGTGATGATGTTTGGTGTGACATTTCGGATGACCATCAGCTCCGAGGGATTGTTAGGGAAAAGTTGAGGCATTTTGAGTGCTACTGGTAGCTCGGGTGCGCTCTCCCTGGCGTTGAATGTCTCAGTTGCCGGTTGGCTGAAGGTTTGGAGAAGTGGTAGGTTACTAGTCCAGCTGGCTGAACGATGGAAGAAAGGCGGGTAGTGAAAGTACTAGTAGTAGAAGTGGTAAAGGTAGAGAAATATCGAGAAGACGAGCGAAATTGAGGGGGAAAAGTAAGCAAAGGTAAAGAAGAGAAGGCAGTCGCAACTTTGCAAATGGCAAGGTGCGATCGAGACTCGCGATGAAATGACGTCAGCTGACAGCTGACAGCTCCACTTTCTACTTATGGCAACTAGCTACATGAAAAAAAAAAGCAGCTATGTGTATACTAACTCGTAGCTACCTAGGTACTGATTAGAGGAATGGTTTAGATTAGCTGACTAGTTAAATAATAACATAGGTACCTAGCCATCTACTAAACATATATTGTTTGCATTGACATAGTACATTCTTCGCTATTCTATCTGCAAGCAGCATTGCCGGGTATCCTCTCTTAACGCTCATGCCACGCCAGGTCTATGTGAATTGAAAGAAAAAAGGGGGGGGGACCTCGCCTCAACTCCCTGAACAATTAGATCCTCAGACCCTGTAATAAATTTTCGCATTCGCGGCAGTCGGGGTCAATACGTTATGCCCTCCAGCCCTGCACAAAGTCATGAAGACGATCAATCACAACGCCAAATATAGCATTAACGCTGTCACTAATAAGCTGCTCGAAGTGGCGAATGGCTTCCTCTTCCGTCATCTCCAGATGGAAGCGTTCCTTGACTTTCAGTACGGCTTTGTCGGGTTCCACACGAATATCAGGGATATTGGCATCCACCATCAAACTGAAAAGGTTGAGGATCAGATTGGCGGACTTGCGAAGCGTAGTATATGCCGTGAAACAATACTGTTTAAATTGCATGTAGTGAGGGGAGGTAGTGCCTCCCATTCCTTCAACCATCTCTTTGCAGAGTTTCATCATCGGTGCAAAGGGTTTAGGGTCTCGGCCCAGGATGAACCCGAAGTCTGCGTGGAAGAAGTGACCATCCGGTGCCAAAAGTAGATTCTCCAGATGGCGGTCACCGACACCAAGAAGGTATGTGATTACGCAGTAGCCAGCACAGGATTTGATATAGGTATCCATAGCCTCCTTGCGGACACCCAGGGGTTCATTCTCGTCCGGGTTGTGCTTTTTCAGGTATGCGAGGATGGATTTGTACTTGGCGGATGCGGCGGAGAGGGAGGTCGAAGGAATGAACTGGACTGCGCCTGCTGTTGGGCTTGTGGCTAGAATACGGTATGGTGTCAATTTCAAGTCCAGGTTCTCTTTTAGCAGAAGGCGGTCCATGAGGATGATGATCTGAATGACCAGCTGATCCTGGCGGAGGTCGTCACCAATCTTGAAGAGCAGGGGGTATCGCCGGCCGTCGGTTGTCTTGAATGTGATTTGAAGAGGTGACAGTGTGGATTTAAAGACATTGGATTCGTCAGGATAGCATCCAGTGAGCAAAACATCAGGGTCCAAAGGCAACGGCAGTGGGGGGGTCAAAATGAATCAAGTCATTCTTTGGGTCTCGGAGCGATTTCTTCAGCTTTTCGATTTTCACAACTCGGTTCTCTCGGGAAAATCGAACATCTTTGGCGATCTTCGAGAGCACAGCGACCAGCTCGCCTTGTCGTAGAAGAGTCTTTCGGTGTTCGACGTGGATCTTCTCTAGCTCCGACATGAAATCGTACTCGACTCGGGCAAATAGTTCACGCTGTGGCCCTGGGCCTGCGTCGTCGCACTCAACGATCAGGTACCAGTGTAGGTAGTTTCCGAGCTTGAAATTGTTGGCCGCACGGGCGATCAAGAAGTTGGCTAGTGAGGAGTCGTGGGCTGCCTCGTCGCCATTGTTTTCAGCATTCTCTTCATACTTCAATGCTTGAACCAGTTGTAGGAGATAAAGAAGGAGTTCTTCGTCATCTGCCTTGCGTAGTCTTGCCACGGCATATGAGCGTACCGCAGGATTGTCAAAAGTGGGACCTAGAAGCTCCAAAGCATCGTCAACATCGATGTCAGTCCACTTGGGCAGGATCTCAACGGCTTGTCGAGATTCTCCATCATCTCGCCAGTTGACAGATTTGACAAATTTGGTCAAAGCCCGCTTTTCGCGAGTTAAATAGTATCTGAACCGCCATATGAGGTCTTTCTCTTCGGCGGTCAGATCCTGCGTCGGTTCATATGATAGAATAACATTCAACTCATCGCGGTTCTTGGGATTTGGCTTGAGGTCCCGATCCATGATCCCCGTGCGATGACTACGAATTAGCCGCCGGTGTTTGTCTTCACACGGGTTCCCAGTCATTCCAACTTCCGGATCATAGATCTTGATCACGCCCGCACCGTCAGCTCCCTCGATACCGGGGCCAAACCGGACCTCTGGGACAGGTTTCAGTGCAGAGTTGGGATGGACGGGAAGAGTCTGGGTATACCCGGATATGGGCGGCGCAGGGTAGTGATGATCAGCCCAAACGATCGGATGATCATATCGTGGGAGCTCCACGTAGAGGGTAAAGTTCTCGTCGTCGATACCTTCGTCATCGGAGCTATCATCATCAGCCCCGCCAGTAGTGTCCTTTGGCTTAGAAGCTAACATAAGTATAGCTCTTTTCTTCGCCGCTTCTTCGGCTTGTATTTTGAGCTTCTCCAATTGGCGGAACACCATCTGGTCCATCCAGTCAATTCGAGCGATGTCACCCATCTCATGCTTCTTGATCAATACTTCAATTCGCTCCAACTCCTCTTCCTCTGGCGAAGGGCCCAGAGGGTCCCGTGTACCCTGTCTCCGTCGTTTGGGCGGAGGCGTGGATGGTGTGGTTGTTGATGAGAAGCCATCCGCAGCTTTATGGCGGTATAACTTGCACTTCTGACGTCCCATCTTCAGCTTGCCTTCGCTGTCAAACAGCTGTATCGTTGTTCCTCCGTAGGGGACATAGTGGCTTTTATCGCCTGCTAGTGGAGATATGTCCCAGGCCGTAATTGCCAGCTGTGAGTTCCGGGGTACGTCCTTAATTGGCATGGGCATGCGCAGCCACTCATTCCATGTTCGGCTCACTTTGAATGCCTTGTAGGCAGTCTGCATGGGTACCCCAAGGGGCTTTGAGTCGGACCATAATTGGACTGTGACAAACAGATCCGATACAGGGTTCTGAGTAGATCCGAGATATCGCAGCTCTGGGTCTTGGACAAGGCGCGAGAATGGTATCTGTTTCTGTTTGCCCTCGAGCGTGCCACTATAGGATTGTCAGTCTTCCCAGAACAAGACAGTGGCTTGGATCGGAGCGCTTACATTTTGATCCACACAGGCAGGTTTACCTGCGTGGATAGCGCAAATGTGAAAGTTTCCATCCTTTTAGGACCATCATCGGTGGTAAACCTGACTGAACGAAGCCGATCATCTGGCCAGCTCCCTGCGGTAGACGTCGGGGCGGGGGCCGAGCTGGCTATCATCACGTGCCACCACTTGTGGTATTGTAGGATCTTAGTACCCATACCGTGTAGGTAGCTTGAACTTCAAAACCTTGGATGAGCTGGAGAAGTTTGCGAAGAATTTATAGCTGAGGCGGGCTTTATAAATTATTCACTCTTTAAATAAGAGCTTGAATGGTTGCAAATCACTACTATGCACCTGGCACCCTCATCTCGGGAATTCCCTTATTAGTTAGTTAGTTAGTACCTACTAGGTAGTGATACTAGATAACAAAGTGCCAAATATTTGGAACATTGTATTAGTTCCCTTAGCAAGGAAATAAGAGAAAAAATAAACGTAAATAACCTCTCAAGCCCTACTAATTAGTACCTACTATTAGTAATACTTAGTATCTAAGTACAGGTCGAGCTTTCAACTACAAGTTCTTGCCAACTTGAACCTCCATGATGGTGGACCAACCCCACGGTATCACGTGAGCTATACGTGCCGGAGATACGCGACGCGACGACTGAACAATTGCGGGAATGCGATCTCTCAACTTTCAACTTACGGAGTGTCTGCAAACCTGCGGGAATAATTATAACAAACAACAGGACACCATTCTCTTAAATCTTTGGTTCCGAATCCAATCTCGCATCACTTCTTTGTTTGCTTCTCTCACAGCTGGCGCCTGTTAGCGCCAATCAACTATGGCACCAATCGTTCAAATTCACTCGCAGCTGGATGAACAATCTGCCCCCAACTCCAGTCCTCCTACATCTCCTGGATCCTCCTCGGACAAAGAGAACCCTCGACCACAAGCCATCAACAAAAGATCCAGAGCGCAAATGGCGCCCCCAAGCCACAGCAAACGGCGTCGCCTCACCGATCGCACTTCCAACATTCACACCCAAACTCCCTCGTCGCAACGCATTGGGAAGAACAAGTTCTACGATCCTGATCAAGATATCAACGAGCGGAGAAAGGTTCGCAAGGACCTGAGAGATTTAACAAGCGCGTTCAACGGTACGCTTTCCCCTCCACTCCCCTCCTATGCGCACTCGTCGCGATGAGACCAGCGACCCATCTAACGGGCCCCAGACTCGCGAGGCGAGTATCTCCAGTCTGGCAACGATGGAATCGTCAAGACCGTTACACAATTAAACCACCTTTACACGAAGGTCAAACAGACCTCAGATGCCACCCTCGACTCGCGACTCCTGGTCAACGCAGCCGACCTCTCTCATAAAAAGACCGCCCAGCTCGCGGTCGGCGAATCCGGTGCTGGCATCGATGTCGATGAATTTGTCTCCAAATGTATCTCTTATATGCGCCGGGGGCCTGGAACAACTATCACCCCAACCCAGCGCCAGCGTCACCGACAAAGCCAAAGAGACCCCAATGCGAGCGATGGCGAGGACGATGGAGATGCAATGAACTGGGACTGGCTTGGCCGCAAAGCTTGCCTCCCGTTTAGTTCTCGTCCGACTGTGTCGGGATTCTTGCTGGGCCCGCTCTCTGTAGAGAAGCGCACGCGACAACTCACGCAGCGCAGAGCGACAGAACGCCCTGACCCTTCACAACTTACTAGGCCTAACGATCTAGTCCAAGAAGACCTTGGACAAGAGGATAACAACCTCACAGCGATGTGTTCCACCATCGGCCAATTGCTGTCCTTTACACAAGCGCGCAGCCAAGAGCAAGCACAAAAGGAACTGGAGGACACGTATGGGAGTGATGCCCCGGGAGAAGAAGTGATTCAGGCTGTTATGGACAAGCACAATGTGTGCGATGATGGGGGTATTCCTCTGTTCAAATTCTGTATCAACCCGCGATCTTTTGGACAGAGTGTTGAAAATCTGTTCTATGTGAGCTTTTTGGTCCGTGATGGTCACGCAGGCATCAACACGGACAGTCGCAACCTTCCAACACTTCGTGAGTGAAATTGCTATTTGGTTTATATTCGTGATTCGATAAACTGACTATGAAATAGAGCATTCAAAACCATACGAACCCAACGAAGCTCAACAAAAGGGCATCCAGAAGCACCAGGCTATCTTCAGTCTCGACTTTGACACCTGGCTAGAGCTTATCAAAGTCTTCGATATCAAGGAGTCCATCATTCCCCACCGCGAGGAAATGGAAGAAGCTAGTGGAACCTGGCAAGGTTAATTGCCCGCCCCTGCTTGAAGATTGTTCCTTGTTTTGCTTCCATTTTATGATACCCCGAGCCTGTTACCTGATTCGTATATGGAGCGTAATATTGATTTAATTTTTCTTTCCATGAATCAGCTCATACTGACAGTAACTACTAAATGGTTCACAAGTAAATCTAGTATGTCATTGGGGACAGGAACACCCATGATCATCGTCCTCGTGACCAATCATGATTTTGACGCCGGTGGGCAGGAATTTTGTGATCGCTACTAGCCTATGGTTGTCAGATAGTATTTATGATAGCCACCTGCAGTAAAAGCTCAAGTATATCGCTCGGTAGGATATAGGGAAGATACCGAGTCGTATACTAACCTTGATATGTTCACCAACTCTAAGATTACAGATACTGACATAGTTACTAGCAACAACCAAAGTAGTAATAATCACAGATCCTGATAAGCTGGAAGACACAAGGTGAAATGATTGGATCTCCCCAGTTCTTGTTCAACAGCCAAGGACCCACTTCGCCTCGTCAGTCATAGACAGCTTCTCAGGGCCTCCAGGGCTCTTGATCTTCACATTACTATTCAAACTGCAACTTTCTCTGGTCCCAGATTGCTCAAAAGTTAGGGCACAATGTCATTGATATCAGCTTTCCGCCCTCCGTCCACACGAATCTCGTCTGCTCGCCGGAGATCACGGTCACGGTCACGACCACGCCGACGAAGAAGAACAAGCAACAATCAACCTCATGAACAAGATGATGCCCATTCAATTATCACACCATCTAAGCACACACCACGGCCCTTACGGGTGCTGCGTGGCTCCGTGGCGGCCGGTGGACCACTGCGTCCATTTCGCCTAGTGAAGCAAGATATCGTCAATCTACGCCGACGATGGAAATCCGATTGGACTGTGTTCAACCAACTCATTTTTGCCAGTGCTGTCTACGTCTTCTTCACGAATCTTCTGCCAGGTATCACGTTCGCCAGTGATCTCTACGTGTTGACGGGCAAGACTTGGGGCACCATCGAAGTGGTGTTCAGTACCGGACTATGCGGCATCATATTCTCAGTGTATGTACTCTTGATTGGGCAGGGCAGGTTTTTACAAGGTGTGGTTACCAAGAGACTGATTCCTGAACTTCAGGTTCTCCATTCAACCCCTCACCATTCTCGGCGTCACTGGCCCGTTTTCTGTCTTGGCGGAGAACATCTATTCGTTGTGTGACGAAGTATTCCAGGTATGTACTAATAGCTACCGCTATTATGCTTTGCTTTAGAAATGACTGACGCTCTTTTTCTATCAAGATTCCATTCCTGCCATTCATGGCATGGTCTTTGATTCATTCGGCGTGGATGCACTATGTCCTGGCGATAATCAATGCCCACGACTGGACCATGCGTTATGTGACGACGTTTGCAACGGAGATATTTTCTCTTCTCAACAGCATCATCTATTTCCACAAAGCCATCCAAGAGCTTGAGAGAGCCCATGAAAGTCTCTCCTTTGCCGCTTTTCTCTACGCCGTGATCGGTGCCGTGGGAACAATGCTGCTTGCCATATTCCTTTCTACGGCTGAGAGCTGGAAACCCTTGTTTCATCGATACATTCGTCTCGGTCTCACGGAATATGCCGCTGCTATATCCATCATAATATTCATTGGTCTACCTCATGTTGGCGAGCTGGCTGACCTGGACAAAATGACCCTGGCTGTCAGCGACTCATTCCGGCCAACCTCCCCAGAACGAGAAATATTTTTCGTTGAGTTTTGGAAACTGCCAACACAGTGGATTTTTGCATCTCTTATCCCTGGGCTTATCATAACAGTCCTATTCTTCTTCGATCATGAGGTCAGTTCGATTATCTGCACGATTGATCGATATGGAACGCGAAAACCAGGCGGATTTGCTTGGGATATAGTCCTTCTGGGCACGACTACGGCACTGTGTGGCATTCTGGGCATCCCACCTTCAAATGGACTCCTCCCCCAGGCCCCGCTACACTCGGAGTCCTTGATGCACACAGAGAAAGAAGAGGGAATCATTATCGTGGATGGCGAGGAAAAGGTCCAAACACGCGATGTGAAACGAGTATACGAGCAAAGATGGTCCGCTTTTCTCCATTCTGGCGCTATCCTCTTGTTTATCAGTCCACCATTCATGAAAGTCCTGGGCTTGACGCCTACTAGCGTTCTAGCTGGATTGTTTCTTTTCATGGGCGAGCAAAGCCTGTCGGTCAAGTAAGCAGACAGCTCGAACTAACTCTGGTACAAGACCCTGCTAATGACTATTGCACACAGTCCTATCCTATATCGCACATTTTACCTTCTTACTCCGCCATCTGAGCTTCCGCCCCTTCCCCAATCCTTGCAGAAAAGCACACAGTCAATATCAACCGATGCTCAAACAACCCCTAGCAATCCGTCTTACCTTCCGATACATCTTTATACGATCCTGCAAATCGTTACTACGGTGATTATTTTCATTGTCACACTCACCCGCGGCGCCCCTGCTTTCCCTGTCCTCATTATTGCTCTTGTACCGTTCCGTCTTCTGGTAATGAAGCGATGGTGGCCTCGCGAAGCCCTCCGCTTCGTCGATGCATGGGCTTGTCGTGAGGGTACACCAGAAGATGACGAGGATGCCCAATCAAAGAAAACCGAGCAGATACATGAAGACAGACCAGTATTGAGTGAATATGGTGTACTGGGGCATGATTCTGGTTTACAAAGTAATAGACTATCGAAAGATACCGAAAGAAGGCCAAACTCGCACCGTGCTAGCGGATCGAGAGCTGATATTGGGGACCAGGAGATTTGGGGTATGACTGGCGATGACATGGATCGCGAATGGATCGGACTGGAAGACCAAGGTCTCCCTGATGAAGAGTTTGGCCGCCAACGATGACATTGATCTTATACTGGCTATCATGAGAGATATAGTAGGCTAGTAATCAATGCATTCGAGGCAGCCAAACTCTGCTAACGAGACAGTGGTGATTTTCGGGGACTTTGCCCGCAGTGATAGTTGTGCTAAGCCCTGGAGCCTGAGGTATCCATAATTACTGTCCGTCAGCGTTGAAGTCATGTTTGGTCACAATAACAGCGATCATAGATGTCTCAACTAGGTTGTTAGTGCTAGTACATAAAAAGGTTGGGTTACACCGCCCACCCTGCCGCCTTTATCATACTGGCAATATTTTCTTTCCGCAGCATGTTAACCGCTCGATAACACTCCTTCAACTCGCTTGGTGAACCTTGGGAGTCGGAAATGACTATCATCTTACTTAGCTGACCTTTGTTATTACACAACAATGGCGCAGTTTATACCGCGTCATGTCTTTCCAAATTACGGGGCAATACCAAGGTCCTACTTCCTGGGACATCATCGCGCCGGTTTGACCCAGATGAAGAACATGCTCGCAACAATCGATTATGTGGTCGAATGCCGAGACTACCGCGCCCCTGTCACTTCAATAAACCCTCTCTTTGAAGAAGCTTTGGGCAAGAAGCGACGCATAGTCGTCTATACTAAGAGAGATCTTGGCAGCGTCCCCAAATCTTCATCACGGCAGGTGGTCAGTCGTATTCTTTCATTTCTGGATAATGCCTACAGCAAACTGACAATTTCCATTCTAGACAGAGAATAAAGTACGTGGCTTCGATCCCAACAGTGCTGTGTTCTTCACCAGCTCAGCCTCCCGCGCCGATGTATCTCAAATAATCAAACACCTCCGAAACGACGCGGCCGCTCCAGATAAACTGACTGGATCTCGGGTGATGGTCGTCGGAATGCCCAATGTTGGCAAATCAACGTTAATAAATCATCTAAGGAACCATGGCGTGGGCAAGGCGAAAGCCCTGAAAACCGGTGGTCAGCCAGGCATTACTCGAAAAATCGCAAGTCCGGTGAAGATTATTGAGCGCGACAGTGGCGCACATGTATATGTACTTGACACACCCGGTGTCTTCATGCCATATGTACCTGACGCAGAAAATATGCTCAAGCTGGCGCTCTGTGGCTGTGTCAAAGATGCGGTCATCTCGCCTGTCACCCTTGTGGACTATCTATTATACAAGATTAACTTGCATGATGCGCAGGCGTATCAGCGATGGTCAAAACCTACGAATGAGGTGATGCCCCTTCTCGAAAACTTTGCGCGAAAAACCGGGCTACTTGGTAAAGGCGGAGTGCCCATCATCGACTCTGCGGCTTTACATCTCGTCCAGAAATGGCGACAGGGCGACCTTGGTCGCTTTCTACTGGATGACCTGGATGCAGAGAAGCGCCAAAGAGATGACCCTGATTATAAACCTCAGATGAGCATGTCACAGGCATTGAGGATAGAGAGAGTCACTCGGAAAAACAGATCGGATGTGAATAGCAGCTCCGAGTAATGTATTGTACATATAACGAAAGAGAACCCCCCGTGAATCAAGAATATAATCTTTTGAACGACCAAGTCGATGTATCACAAAAAAAGAACTAAGAACAATGCTCGAGATGGAATATTTCGCGGAAAAATCCGTAACGCCGAGAACTGAAGAAAGAAAAAAACCCTCAACCTATGCAGGAGGAAGAAGCTTAGGATATCTTATCCAATAGGCGTCTCCGTCGTCGGTCGACCATCTCCTCTTGAACTTCGTCGAGTGTAGGAAGTCGCCATTCCACACCGTCTCCGGCATCACCAGGTAGTGGTTCCCAGCCATCCTCAGCGTCGTCATCGCCTTGACCACGTAAATGCTCCACCGCTTCTTTTTCCTTCTGCTTTTCATATGCAAGCAGCGTCCCATCCTCCTCATCAAGGCCATAACCGAAGTAGTTGGCATCGACCTTCCTGGTCGCAATGTCTCCACCGCGACCGGTACCAGCGCCCTCCTGTTCCTCCGCAGGGCCCTTGCCCCGGCGCGCCGCCGCCTCAAACATTTCCTTGACACCAGGTAATTCTCGGGCACGGCCGAAATATCGATAACCCTTTCCACCGCCCGGTATTTCACGCCCTTCGTCGTCGTAGACCCGACCGGATCCGCGCATGTAGTTCGGCCCGCCGAGATTTTTGATCTGCATTTCCCATGCCCATTTCTCCCGCATGAGCTTGTTGATTTCGTCGTTCAGATCGCGGATCTGGTAGTCGCTGAGACTGGGCTCTTGGATGCGCGAGACTTTGCGAGAGACTTCCTTCAGGACCTGGCCGCGCCAGCGCTCGCACGTGGGGACCGCGTCGATACTGGTGATGGCCTTTGGTCGTCGAGTACGGGTGACGTCTATGATGCCCATGTCCGCTGCCTGCTGCGCCCGAAAGCGGTACAGCATGGACTGCGCCTTTTCGCTGTTTCGAGCCTGTTCATGGCGGGGAGGTTGAGATTAGCAAAATCGTACGGCAGGTCGCGAGCGGGTAAAGTGGTTTCGAGAGGGTTTGAATTAGATGATAAGATACTTACCATTTTCAAGGATATGTCAAACCGACGACCCGGTTTGTGATTGAGGGTCGTGGGAGGTCCGGGTGGTAAAAGTGAAGCTTGACCGTTGAGGTTCAGGTTGCTGCGCTTATCGTCACGTGCTCGCCGTTTTATCGGCCAGCCCATCGCATCCCGTAGGAATTGTCGCCAATCCAACCATTTCCCAGCTGACCTACATCATGAAGAATACGATGAAGGTTACCGTTGATCTTCCTCTGTCAGATCATACACGCTTCTTGGTCTCGCTCATTGAATAAACGATCTCCAATACGATGTAATCCATGGAAGAATTTTAAATTAGCATGGCCAACTATCAACTATGAACCTACTCTACTAGATTAACTACTAACTTAAGATCATGAGCACTATCTTCACTGAAATTAGGTTAAACTTTTTTTTTTGGGAAATTGGGGCTCCTCGCTTATGATCGGGGGTCATTATCGGGATGTAAACACTGCCTCAATGTGAGCATTATAGACCAATGATACTTAGTCATAATATGGACCAATTAATAATTCGGCGTCAGCAGTATGATTAGTTATAAATCCAACGAGCACTTTTTGACTTCCAAATGACCTTAATATTACTATTTATGTGCTCCACATTCAAAACGCTGTATCATTTCCTCTTACTGTGGTCGGATATACACTGTGGCGGCCACTAATCGCCATCTATCTCAACCGAATCTATTCTGTGATGGAATACTGCTGGATGAATTAGAATTGGATCCTTGAAATAGACCAAGGAATGGATCACTTGAGTTATATCCATGGGATGAATCTTAGTTGGAATTAGTAAGCTCCCTAATAAAGGGCCTTGGCTCGAAGTAGTAGTGGGTGGGTATGACATGGCATTGATATCGAGATCAATGGTCCTAGGAGTGTCGCGCAGCGTAAGCAGGAGCTTCTTTCCTCTCGTTTAACCTTATCTCTGATAGGCTAATATCTTGCTGTCATGTCATCATTCCACAAGAAAAGTACCCAGCTTCGATGAAATCCAACATCATCTACGGATCCCACGGAGTAGGATCTGAGCCTGGTACACTGGTAAAATCCACATTCCTATACCGTAGTATCAAACATGTTACATTGAATTGTTAGTGAGACTTGGCTAATTTGAAAAACGAGGATCATGAAAAATGGTCAAGTTGTATTGATCGATGGTACCTTTCGGCGAACCGGAGCTTCCAACAAGCATGGTTTCACAGAAGCTATAGCTCTAGGTTATTCTGGGTCTGACTACGTGGAATGACCCTTCTACTATTCTCGGATATCATATCTAACCTGGTATTGGGTGCTTACGAAGAAACGGAAGTGGCGGGTATCTTTACGTTGCGGCTTGCTGATTCTTTGGGAGCGAATAGTATCGCAGCAATAAGCTTTGCGGGAAGAGAAAAGTTTTCCTAGTTAAAAGAGCGCGAAATTATTCCCAGAATATCGAGAAAAACAAGTTTGAGTGGGTCTGCGAAGGGGCGGATAGGTATTAGATGCGTAGATTTTGTGATCGTTGTTGTAGTGACCGATACCTTCCAAATTTCGAGTAGGGAATTTTTTGGTCCGCATTTATGGCATCATTTATTTATTTGATACTAAGAAATCTCATGAAGCCAAGCTTCTTGGAATGTTAGTCAAGATGTTCACAGCTAGGTATCTTTGCGGATGACACGTGAATAACAATGTATAGCGCTGGTTCTCCAAGCCCATAAAAGAAAATTAATATTATCAAACTTTTATATAGCTACCTAGGTACCAAGGTACTTAGAAATGGAAGACAACTCGAACTTTACCTATTTCCTGCTAGAATCACACACACACTTGGGTATGTTTTCTCAGATATATACCCGTGAAAAACATCCATGGATCAGGTGCAATGCTTTGCCTTGGGAGTAAGCGATACAATCCTATCTTTACACTCCGATTGGTGCCTTTCCAGACTCGCAGCGTCTCCTACCGAATACGTCTCGTATGTGTGACGAATGACAGCTATCTGGGAATATCCCGGGCTATTTTTATAACTGGAGAGAACTGCAAACTTCGACTCTTTCAAGTTATACGAATACCACACTCCGTACAACATTAACCGACCTTCCCAACTACCCCTAATTACATCCATGGTAAGCATGTAGTATGAATCTCTATCGCTTTATTAATAATATATCTGATAAGCCAACCCCCAACCCCTCGAGGCTCTGCTTGAATCCCGACACAGATTTTATCGCTCCATCAGCGCTTTGCCATGGCAGGATGGCGGATTACTCAGGGGAAAAGCTGCTTGTGCTTACGATAGCCTTAATCCCCGTTCAGGTGATCTGCGTGGGCCTTCGGCTTCTCGTCCGACACAGGAGCCAAATGAAATTCGGCTTCGACGACCTCGTGGTTGTTGTCTCGTTAATGGGGCAACTTGCTCTTGCAGGGGTGATTATCGGTATGCCAGTTGGATTAGCAAACTTCTATTGTACTGGAGCCCTGCTAATACGAAACGGTGTAATCAAAGCCGAGCTGAAATTATCTGGCATCGGTTACCACATAGCATATTTAAAGGCTACAAATCCGAACCTCATAATATTGGAACGCAAATTTCGGCTGATGCAAGCTTATATCTACGTGGTCATCGCCAATCTTCCGAAGATATCGATTCTCATCCTGTATCGTCGATTATTTGCCCCGACAATATTGCGACTTATCAGTACTGCGATGATATGGGTTCTCGCTGTCGTTATCGTTGTCAAGATTCTCCTCGTTTCCTTTGTATGTCGACCTTTCGCGGCAAATTGGAATCAAGATATCCCCGGTAGTAAATGCTTGAATATGCAGTCTGTTTCTTCCTTATCTACTCTACCAAATATCATTACCGACGTCGTGATGCTTCTTCTTCCCGTCCCGGTGATATGGTCCCTACACACAAAACTTATAACCAAGATACAGTTGACATTCACATTTGCTCTTGGTAGCCTGTTAGTATGCGGATAATCGACGAAAGGAAAGCGCATGTGCTAATTATGAGAAATATCTAGTGGCCTCGTCACATCTATCCTACGATTCCAATTCTTTTTTGCTACCAAAAGCTATGACGTGACATGGTCTGCCGTCCACCGGAGCGTATGGACTGAAGTTGAGCCGGCTGTGTATCTAATATGTGCTTGTATAATCACATACAAGCCCCTTTTTGATTGTTTCAGTCTCGTGAGGTCAAGGAAGGTCTCTTCAGATGGCTCGCATGCGCAGGGCGCCCAGGATCTACGCTCTCAAGACCAGTGGGTCACTCTGGAATAAAAAACCTCAATCCGAATTCTACATAGGGACTTGAAATGGCATAGAGATACCATTATGGCGTGGCTCTTAGATTTGTTACTTTCCAAGGTTAAACGAGAATGTCATGATATGGATTCAATAATGAAATATGAAAAAAGTATTCATCCGGAGAAAAGCTACCTAAAAATGCCCCGAATACTTCTAGTAGCGCGGGTAGTAGCTTCTTTAAGCCTACGTCTGCGTGATGGATCCTTTTCCGACTCGGATGCATCATCATCGAGCTCGCCGCACATCCTTGCTGCTTCCATCTGCTCTTGTCGCGCCTTTTGCGTATGAGACAGTGGAGCCGGAAGAGGCGTCGCGGCCAGGCTTGCCGCAGGCGATTCATAATGTATAGAAGGCGGGGTAGCCTGCCTGTCTCTATCAAAAGTGGGAAGATTGTCAAGATCCTGCTTTGTAGAGCACAGGTGTAAGTGTCCCGTGTTATCTGGAAGTGATGCAACGGCGATCATATGGCGCCACCCTACTTCAGAAAGTCTCCTATTCTTGGGAACATTGCGGCCTCCATCAGAACGCCAGGGAACTTAGCCGGGCCGTTGCTTGTATTCATTACTGCCCTGCCGAGACCTGGCGCTTGATTATGAGGATCCTGTGTATGTAGAATATCTGGATCTCCTTGAAAGATATCCATATCAGTGGATCCCGTATCGTCAAGACAATAATAGGGCTGGTGAACCAATGAGCCTGGAATGCGCAGGTCAATGGTAACCTGAAGAGGAAGAGATGAAATTAGACAAGCTATGTATCAAGTGTATTATGACAATCTCACCGGGTGCTGAAACTCTTCAGGATACAGGGGGTAGATCATATCAGATAGATAACTGGGAGATGGATCATCCCCGTTGCGCTGTAAGGATAGTCAACATCATCAACTAGTAAGTAATGAGAGTTGCAGTAGAACACACCCCTTCCACCCAGAATCCTTTATGGCCATCGTGTTTCCTGTTGACTTCCAGGAACTCATCAACATCGAACTTTTTTGCGCGGCCGAGCTTTTTGCCCTTTGACCAAAATGTCACATAGCCGGGCCACCAGTTCAACTCTCCAGATCGATACGCTGCGATTATCGCATCCACATTTGGAAGTTGCTCGGTATGGTCTCCTGACGCAACGAGTTCTTCTCTAATAGATTTCAAACTTCCAATGCGGGAAATAACCGCCCAAGATAGACCTGGCTCCGCGGCAATCATATCCCTGAAAATTAAAATATTAGATGATGTTCTTCTCTTTCCTTTGTATTTGATGCGTATCTTGCTATAGGGTGTCTCTTACTCTCGTTGTTTCTTGAGCCCATCATACATCTTGAGTCTGGCTTCAAAGATAACAGGCATAATTCCTTCTTCAAGTCTTGCATGACATCTCTCAATCTGGCCGTAGATGTCACTGTGGTACGAACTCATCATTAGCACACCTCGAGTTTAAACATCGACTACTAGCGCTAACTTTTCATGGATATCCGGCTCGTTCGTTGACCACCCCACAGGAACATTATTGTAAATAGTGATTAGAGGATCATGGCGCTCCCGCGTCCTTGGCCTTGACAAGCGAGAGGGCGAGTCTGAACCTGCCCGGATTTACCATCGACTCTGACCACCGGGGGGGTTCTGCTTGGGGGTTTCTTGTCTAATTCGACGTTTCTGAGGGGCTACTAATTTCGAAGCTGATTCATCTCGCACTCTTTTGGAAGTCTTTTTACTTGGCTCAGGGGCTTCTGTGTTGCGCTTCTGTCGAGGCATCTTGGAATAGGAGTAGGTGACGGACGGTGCTTGAGTACAGCATGTTGGATTCGGGGGAGCATCGATTTTTGAAGCAAAATGTGGGAGGTCTCTTCACAAAGATAGATGGGACAACTCTGTCCGAGTCGATGAATAACTCTTATAAACAAATATTTCTAGTCAAGGACCGAGGTCCTAGCGAGGTGATCAATGAACTGGAAGCATGGACACCTTGGAAACGACTTTTAAAAAGATATTTTGTCAAAGAAATCTCTTTTTCCATAAAATATCAAGTAACATCAACGTCCCTCCTAGTGTGAGAGTCATTCTCGGAGGCGGGGTGTTGAGCGGCAGTCTTTGTCTCATCGTCAAAGGGGGGGTTCAACTTCAGTCCTCGAAAGACCATCATCAATGGATGGCGAGTCTAGCATTTGAGCCCCCGTCTCCTCGGAAGCATTTTTCTTTTCTTGCTTCCACTTCCACCACTGGAAAAGCCCCATCCCACCAATACACAACAGTAGCAGCCCGGTCGTAGAAACCGCCATAACAAGCCTACCAGGATGAGAAGCGATATCCCCATCAATGTGTTCAATAGACCACGGATAAGCATCGGACTTCACAATAATGTAAATGCCGAGCCCCATGTAAAGAAACGGCACAACATAGTCGGCATATCTCTGCGCAAGTTTCAGAACATGCCTCTGCTTCATGACCAGCCACGCGGCCAGACACCACACTCCCAGAAGGATGTAGTAGACAACGACATAGACAGCAATCTCCGCACCCTTTGCCTGCGAGAAGAGCGGTATGTATGTCCCGATATTATCACCCCCGTTGATAACCGTCATCGACGCGACCTTGAAGATGTCCTTGAATGACCCCAATCTGGATCGTATATTCCTCCTCCCTGTATCTCCTTCCACGGTCTGCCCATCTTCCCTCTCGCCTTCCTGATCAATGGCATCGCCATCATCCTGCTCCTCCATTTCCTCCTCCTCGTCTTCATCATCCCCGCCAAATATCAGCCCAATCAAAGCCCAAACACCCAGAAGCAAAGGCAATAACCCCAGAAACCCAATCGGCTCCGAAGGCAGAACAAGCGACACGCCGAACCCGATCATACTAATCACCACAATAACCGTAAACCCCAGATACTGCCCGATTGTAATCTTCAATGGAGTGATGCTAGTATTCTTGCGTGTACTTGCCTCGGCAAAGAACGTGACCAGCACGAATGCATCGTCGATATTCGTGATCGCGAACGACGCACAGGCCGTCCCGATCGCTTTGCCGAATTGCATCACGAAATATTTATGTTATTCGTTGGTGTCAGTGCCCTTCAAGTCTGCGACTGGTCCGCTGGTCTTCTGGTCTGTCGGGTGGAGGGCTCTTATGCCCGAGTGTACTTGACTTAGCCAAAGCGTGGCCCGGCCAGGCTGGCGGTGGATATATGCTGCTTGGCTGCAGTGACCGCAGGGCCACAGCTATGCTCTTTTCTCAAGCTCTGCTTGTCTCTGCCCTGGTCGATATTCTCTGTGGTGGTTTGACTGGATGCGGAGGGGGTCTGGTATCTGGATCTGGATCTGGAACTGAACGGGGCGGGTCGCGCTGTTGGGTCGAAGTTTAATCGTTACTTGGATCAAGTGTGGCTCATCATGTTGATATTGATATCCGTCGGAATGGATCTAGATTCCTCTTCACAAATATGCGTCGTAGCAAAGCACAGCAAATGACAAGTCACGCTGTACGGAGGATGAACTATTGCCAGGCATCCAAATTGCCCCGTAGGGCTGATCACGTGGCGCCGATCACTGGGCGGAGATGGAATTACTAGATTTCACCTGGGTAGAGTATATGATTAGTGTCAATTTTGTGTTTGCAAGTCATTTTGTGGATTAGGTATATTATTAGGATTTAGAGAGATTGTATGTAGAGTTTCTTGGTCCAATGGCTGGTGGAAGTTATTCTATTTGTGATTTTGTTTTCGGAGTTTGCAGCGGACTATATTATGCCGCCTGCCAGGGGTTCGAAAATACGGAAATCACAACGTACTATTCTTGTCATCGTATTAATTTAAATCGTTCTGCGCTCATACCACAGTATTTAATCATATAGTATGATACTACTCCGTAGTAAGTATCGAATTATTTATGGTAGTAGTCTCGGAATATGGAGTACTATTTATAGCCGGCATTTACCAGTACCTAGTACCTAGGTAGGTACGGAGTACAGACAGTAGTTCCAAGATTACTACCTACCTAGGTAGGTATTTACTTCATTGCCCACCTGGGCAGGTGGTATTCCAAGTTGAAAAAAGCAGATGTGTCTGTCTACCTACAGAGCAGAACAGGCCGCATTGTAATTGAAAAGGGCCTTTTCATGGAATTTAGGACTCGGAGGATCCAGAATATATTTCCGACCAGATCGGGAGGCCATCGGACTTCGGGATAACAAAACAGTCACGGTCACGGTACCAGAGCCATTTGAATGCCCAACCGATCAGACGTTCATGCATGAACTTGAACTTGGAATTCCAAGGTGATACAGCATTACAGTCGTTGTAGGTTTTCTTGGCCAATTCAATGACCATTGATTTCCAAGGGAACTTCAAGTTGAAGCTTATCGGTCACTAGCTCTGGAAACCCATGGAACTGCCCAGGCGCCATGACGAAACTTGGTAAACAAAACAAGCCGAAAAAAACAAAAAAAAAACAAAAACAATAGCTTTGGAACGGGCATGGAGGGACCGCCCACTTCCCGCGCCACGATCCGCAGGGTCTTCGACTCAAGGCCAATTTGAGCCGAGACGAGTGATTATTCACAGAGCGAGGTCTACAGAAAAAAATTGACATCGTCAGAGAAATGATTCTTACATTATCGCTAGGTACATGGCTCAACCTCAGTCCACCACAAGCAGGCGAGAGGAAACTAAGCTGGTTGAACTACAGGGAGACATAGACATTGGAAGAAGGGGGTTAAGAGTAAAAGCCCATATTTAGATTTTCACACCAAAGGCAAAATAGTTCGCAACCGTCGCGGAAAGGAAATCGTCAGACAGAACATAGGAAATTAATAATCACAAAAAGAAATAATAAGTTTATCATCACGTATTCACGACAAATACCTCAGCCCAGTTGGAGGCGAAGTCAAGTCAAGTCGTAACAAAAAGACAATCACATCACATCATGGCTAGAGCCGAGGAAATGACCCGGGAAAATACATTTACAGACGGGAGCCGTGGATGACCTTGAAGTCGACGACGAGCTCACGGCCACCGTCGTTGATGACGAGGGCACGGACGGAGCCACGGCCGTCAGCAAAGGCATCGCGGATACGCTTGAACAAACCACCCTGGGTGATGACAGGGAGACCCTGCTTGACGTCACCGGTCTCGGTCATGGCAACGAGGCGGTTGTCGTCACGGAGGTCCAGGATGCGGTAGGTCTTGTAGACAGGGCCGAGCATGGTCTGGACGACAACGGAGGGGGAGGGGTTGGAGACGAAGCTGGACTCCTCCTGCAGTTGGCGGGTGAACAGGTCGACACCGAGGTAACGGTGCTGGCCGGTCTGGGGGGAGACGGAGATGCGGATGACCTGGCAAGGACGGCCCTGAAGGATCAGGATGTCGCCAATGCGGACGAAGTGGACGGGGATGGGGACGGTCTCGCCGGCGGTGCCCTTGTTACGGGGCTCCACAATGCGGACCTCCTCGCGAACACCTTCGGAGAAGCGGGCTGGGCCACGCTCGTCAGCGACGATTTCCTCACGGTGATGGTGGTCATGGTGGTGGAAGGGGTGCAGAACGCGGTCGGCAGCACGCTCCACGCCACGGCGGAAGGAGTGGTACTGACCCTCGTCGTCGTAGTAACCCATCTTGCGAGATGTAGGTGCGGTGTCACGGACAGTAGTCTGAGAAACACGGACAGTAGAAGCCGGAGCCTGGGGAGCGTAAACTTCGCGACGGGCGATGGTTTCGCTGGGGTAAGCGGAAGCGGGCTGGGGCTGGTAGCCTCGGTCGTAAGAAACGTCGACGGGGTAGGTCGGCGAGTAGTCTTGAGACTCTACGGGCTGGTAGCGACGGTCAAAGGAGACGTCGGCTTCGTAGGCGGGAGCGGTACGGCGGCGATACTCTCTCTCAGTAACGTCGAGTTGATCCTCGACGACTTGATCGTAGACTTGGGGACGTTCCTCGAAACGAGTAGAAGACTGACGGTGGTCGGGGTAGCTATAAGGGGGGGAAGAAGTAAAAAGTTAGCCGAAGATGTCCGGGGGGTTGAGTGGATTGGTGTAAACATATAAACAAAACAAGAACGGGGGGACACCGCTCATTGGGGGGAGTGGAGCCCGTTTCGTGACACGTAATTTAGTCTGGGGCTAAAATCGGCGCCTCTAGACGATAGCGTCTCCACTATTTCCCAGCGGTGGCTCGTGTTTGGGCACAAACCAAAGACCCAGCTGGGAGAATCGGGAAGGCTGGGTAAACAAAGGATGGGTTGCGCAAAACAAACGTACCGTTCACGGGTCAGATCAACCTCGGCTGCGTAGCGCTGGTCAAACTGCTGGGATTGCTGGGATTGCTGCTGGATGTCCTGAGACTGCGAGTAATCCTGAGTGTACTTGAACTCCTGCTGATACTGCTGGCTCTGTTGCTGCGGCTGGAACTGCTGTTGCGAGAACTGCTGGCTCTGCTGCTGGAACTGAGGCGGGAATTGGTTGCGGGGAGCTTCTTCCTTCACACGAAACTCGACTTCTTCTCTTCCTTGGACACGGGGGTCTTGGAGAGTGGCGGAGATTCGAGTATCTTCCCGTTCGACGCCTGAAGTGCGATCAAGTTGAACTTCTCCCTCTACTCTCGTCTGAGTAGTTTCAGAGACAGCGTCACTCCGGTACGACGACGGGAAGACACTGAAGGGGATGGGGACGCGGGCGTCAAAGTCCAGATTGACTGACTTTAGAGCGTCTTTTCTTGAATTCCTCTCGAACTGTCGCGAAACAACTCGAAAGGTTAAACAAGAAAAGACTTGACGGGGAGAAGTCTTTCTCGGAGGGGAAAGAAGTGGGGAGAAAAGAGGTGATCGGGGAGATCAGATCTTTCAATGGATGAATGAAGAGGGGTAAGTACAAAGGTACAAACGGGAATTGAAGTGATGAAGAGGATAAGAGTAGAGTTGAAAGTGGAGGATGGAGGAAGCAGGAGGGGGAAGGTGCGAGACAAGGTTATTTATTGTTTCGCGGTTGCGCGGTTTGGTTTGTTTACCCCCTTTGGCCCGATCGGTAGGATCGGCTTCCGAGGTTCCTTTCTCCTCCCGTGGAAGGGATTTCTTTAGAAATATCTATATAGATTGAGTATATACTCTCTGGAATGTGTCATGTTGCCCTCTGGAATGTAGTCTATTTGGACTTCATTCTTCTCTACGGAACATCACTGATTCCTTTTCTCTCTTCAGTACAGAGTACTGTACAAATACTTTCCCGTACAACAATACAGATACAGTGTATTGTACACGGTGTGTCTGTACTCACCGTCACATGTGTTGGCTGCCATGGCAACCCCCCAAAATCGCCGGGTCCCGCCGATCGGCCGCTTTCCCTGGTTCCTTCCCTTCCTGCTTCCCCGTGCACCACAACTTGCACTTGTGCTTTTTGTTTATTCCGAGTACTCCATACAGCCTACTTGAACTATACTCAACTAGGCCACCCTCTTCCTGGTTCGCGTTTCACCCCAATTGACGCAATTCACAGTCAATTGCCATCCCTCTCGTCCCTCCACTACGGAGTACTGTACCCTTTCCCTCTCAACCTGCATCAAACCACCAGTGGACCCGACCAACGCACTGTCTGATCTCCACCCGTATTGTGCGGTAATGGATGCATCACGCCCAACCTCCCTCCGGTGAATCGGGCATCCTGCAGGCGTCTAGACCCGCCAGACGCTAATCTGGAGGGCTGGGCAACGAAGCTGAGCTGAGCTGAGCTGTGCTGGGGGTGCTCCACCCGAGCATTGAGGTGCATCGAGGCGAGTGTAATTCCAAGGCGAAGTGGACTGTGATTGTGGACAAGTGGAGCTGTCTCTCTTGTCCCATCCATTTCATCACTCTGTCGATCAATGGCGGTGCCTTGATACTGCTCCGTACAGTTACAGTTACAATTACAGGTACAGGCACTCCGTACTCCATACTCCGACCCGTACATTACACACTAATGTCGAATCGGAATGTGTACATCCGATTTATTGACTGCACAGAGCACAGAGCACAGAGCACAATGAACAAATGTACAAAAATACTTTACTACAGTGGCAAATTTACATGTAAAACAGATGAACCCCATCCAATTGATTCGATTTGTTTTCCCAGCCTGCGAAAAAAAAGTACATCTATGAAACAGCGTCTAAAAAAAAGGCTGGTTGAAGTGACCAGGGGGCCGGGGAGGCTGGCGAACACATGCATGATTTACCCGCCACCTCACCTCCCCCATCCGTCCCAGCCCAATCCAATCCAACCCAACCCAACGAGAGACATCATTATACACGGTGAGAAAGAAACGAGGGTATCAAAGTGTATATCGTACGCAATCACCACCAAAAAAAACAAAGAGAGCCCTCGATTCTCCGCCTCCCCTAACAAACCAGGGGGCAGGTAAAGAGAAAGTATCGAGGGAAAAACAGGGCCAGGCTGCCATTGGCTCTGCCCCAGATAAGAAAAAAGTGAAAGTAAAAAGAAAAAGAAAATAAAGTGAGAGTGAAAGTGGAAACAGGCGGGGAGACAAACCCACGATCGGGGCCGCGTATATCAGTCATTAAGATTAGATCCACTTGGAATTGGAGTCCACGCCTGTCTGGTCAAGACATGACGCCGGGTATCTTTCCTTCCCCCAGTAACAGAAAAATCAACAGTGAAGAGGAAATGATGGAAGAAGGGCAGAAAGAAAGACATTAAACATTGTAATGAGGAAGAAGGAATGAAATCCAATTTCTGTCCATCGTGAGTGAAAGGAGAAAGAAGAGGTCAGGAAGTCTGTCAGAGGCATCACTTTCGTAGCCCAAACGCCTTGCGAAGCATCGGGAATCGCTTCTTTCGTCCCGGGCCGACAATCACCACGTCCCGGACTGTAGCACCCTGGTCCTCGGGATTTGTCGTGCTCGTGATATCGGAGGCAGCGTCGTTGATATCTGGACCGGCTGCGGCTGCGATTGCGACTGCGGGTGCTTCGGGTTCCTTAAGAATGGACGTTGTCGCCGGAGCATTGCCGCCATTGACAGTAATACTTCCGTTTCGTCCTGCCGATTCGACCACTGGCTCTATTTTTTGCGTTCGCAAAGGCGATGATGGGAGACTGTGACTTGGCTCGACGACTGGCTCGGGGGTATGCGTTCGTGGCTGGGATTCGGCGCGAAGTGGCCATTGCTGACCACCTCCAACAGTGTTCCGTTTGGTGAGCCTCCTCATCAATTTAGGCGAAGATGGGGGCTCAGATGCCGCTGCGGTCACAGTTGTATGATTGCCCGTCTGAATTCCATTGGTGTATGGCTCTTCTCGCAGCTGGTCGCGTTCCAGCCGCGACCGCTCGAGGGGCGTATCTCTTCGGGATGGGCTTTCAGCATCCACCTTGCTAATGCGGTTGTTCGTGTTTTTGCCCTTTTTCAGGCCGAGTCGGGCGAGGATGGATGGTTTGCGACTCTGCGGAGGTTGCATGATGAATTCCTCTAGCTCTCGCTGTGTCATGCCGCGCTGGCGGGCCACGGCGGCCATACCAGACATATTTGGCGAAGCAACATTTCGATCGCGAGAGCGTGGCGGGATGGGCCTGAGTAGAGATGCACCCGCCTGGGGGGGCCTTTTGGTGACGCTCTCCTTCCGAGCTGTCCTCCAGCTCGGTTGAATCGCCATCATTTGTACCTCGGCGACGTGGGATCCCACGGACGGGTCGCATGGAATTGTTGGGTTCTTCTCCTTCGTCACTGGAATCTGCAAAACGACTGCGGAAGACTTGGGGTTGATCTTGACCACGCTCATCGTCCGAGTCTGCGAATCGAGTTCCTTGCATCCCTTTGGGAACTGGCTTGGTAAACCGCGCTCGTGGTGCCTTTTTGTTCGTGGAGAAGAATGAATACTTCTCACCACCAGCGCCTGAGCCGCGGAGCGTCTTTCGCATCGTAGTTCCGGAAGTGGATCCAGATGAAAGGGGCCGGTGATCGATTGGGGACTCTGTTCTGGTAGAAGGAGATGACGGCTGACCATTTGCAGCACTGCCTCTCATAGTCCGCCGCATCGCATGAGGGCCGTCACTTCGAGTAGAAGAGTTGGCACGCTTGAAGCTACTAGAGGAATCACTGCCACTCGACATTGTACGCCGAAGGCCTGGGCCTCGCGCCTGGAAGGCTGGGCCCAGAGAAAGCGGGCGAGGTGTACCATTTTCAGCACCGTTAGTATGGCTAGAATAGCGAGGATCTTGCGAGTTCAGGCTACCACCATAGGCGTCTACCGACATCGGCCTCTTTTGTTTGTTGTCCGTCCGAACGGAACCATTTGATGGTCGGGCCTGGGAGGAGATCGGTATAGGGGGGTAAGGTGTTTGCAGGTTCATTGGAGATGCTGGCGGAGATCCTTCCTCTGACTGGCGGCTGACTAGCTCCTCCGTTGGAGTTGCGAAGCGGTCGACTTCAGTTGGCTGATTGGTGGCGCTTTGTGGCTCACTTTCAACGACTGCAGTCCGTTCAGTAGGCCTTGGTGTAGTATCGCGACTCTCTGTGATCGGCTCCAGCGGTGCTGATCTGGGAATTGACCGGCTGTCGACAATAGCATTAATTGAGCCGAACCCATCACCGTCTTCCGGGTCTTCGGGGGCATCACTGTAGATGCTGTCATGGTCACTCTCAGTATAGACACTGTCGCTATAATCCTTATTCGCTTCATCCAAATTCGGTATTGCGCTTGCCATAGGCTGATTTTTAGCAGTCTCAGCTTCAATGGCAGATTTTAGGCTGCGATCCGAGTTGGATGGCGGGAAACCACCAGGTATTTGATACTCGAGAGACGACCGAGATAATCGCTGGACATCGAAACTTTTGCGTTCATCAATAGGGGGAGTAGCAGGCTCCACAGCAATCGAAGGTACAGGTAGCTGGGAATCGGTACTGACGTGCGGTTGCTGCTCAGTAAAACGGCCAATTGCCACACCATCTTCCCTGTCTGTCGCAGATACATCCTGTTGAGATGGGGCGGATCCAATTATAGACAGTCGTTCCACAGATTTGATATCGCGAGGTTGCGACAGCTCTTTTCGATCATGATGAAATACTCCTGCAAGGGCATGGTCATTTGAGAAGGATGTGAAGGGTGCAGTGGCTTCATCCTCTGAAGTCGTGGATTCATTGTCACTGAAATCCGGGATCGGCGGTCGGGCAGGGCCTCCATTTCGATTCCCGCGAACACTGCCAAACGAGGGAAGCGCGGGTCGAGGTTTCATGACCTCGTCAAAGTCATCATCATTTGTGATAAACTCGGCGCCCGGAGACTTCTTCTTAACCACGTTGAACCAATTCTTGCGAGTCTTGGATTTGGAAGGCGGAGACTCGGGAACATACTCCTCCGGCGATGTTGGGGGGGCTGGCTGCTACGCCGACAACTTCAGCTTCGTCATCGAAGCTCACCTTGACAGCTCGCTTCTTGACACCGACCCGGAGTCCCTCGTCAGATGCAATCGAGGTGCCACCATCGGACATTTCACTGTTGGCCAGTCCAACTCGGCCAGCGGCGGCCCTCTCCGGAGATAATGAATTACCACGTACGGTCTTGAGTGCCGATTTGACAGGAGAAACAGATCTTGATGGAGGCTCGTGGACTTGCTCACCAGCTGCGGTCACAGAAAGCCACTTAGCAAATCGCGCCGATCGGCCAGGGCTGCTGGATTGTTCAAGGTGGGCCTCTTGTCTAGGCGTTGGTTGCTTCTCTGCTTTCGGTGAAGCATGTGGTGTGACTTGAGGTGTCCTTTGTGGGGTGGTAATCGGTTCATGGTGGTCAGTCGGTGCGGGAATGTTAGCCAATTGATTGCTGGCGTCCTGGGTGCGAGAGACGTCAACACCATCCTGAGGTTGGGACTCATGCTCGGTCACAACAGACGGCCATTGATTCGGGACTGCTCGGGAGGAAGCATGCTCGGTGTCGGAGCTATATGTCGCATTTGGTCGCGAATGCTCGACCTTTTGCCTCTGCGGGCTGGCTGCCGAAGGCCCAGGGTCTGTCCGTGTAGCCCTTGCTTGATCCGGCACTGGCCGAGGACTGCTCTTCGGTGCGCTAACTGCCTGAGCTGCAGCAATAGCAGTACCAGCGGCAAGTCCAGCTGACTTGTTTGCAGGGCTTGCCTCAGTACGTCCCACTGCCGGTGCCTTTGACCTCGTGTTGACAGGTTTCTCTGACATCTGAGAGATAGCCTGCTGAGCGCTAGCCACTTCCACCGATGAGACATCGCGGACGGCAGTCCCTCCAAGACTTATAGGTTCATTCTCCAGCAGAGTCGGCGAGGTCGGTCGCGAGCCCCTTGGATAAGAAAAATTGACCGAGCTTCGGCTACTCGGGCGATCCAGCTCTGGAACTGTTGTCAAGCTTTGAAGGCGGGTATGTGTGGGCGACCCCGACGCACTCTCCCGATCTACACCTGACCCTCGTGCGTTTGTTCGTGGCGGAGAGACGGGTGGAGATCGCAAGGATGGCTCGAGGCTTGCGGCACGGCGCGGAGGAAGCGTTCTCGGAGCATACTGGCTAGGCAGCGACGGCAACGGAGGGACATCGACGGGCAGAGGTACAGAGGCACCGGAGCTTGTGGACGGGCGACTCGGCGATGAATCCCGAAACGTTCTGGCGGTCATCGAGCTAGAACTATTAGACCTGCGGAGGGTTCCACCACCAACACTCGCGGAGCGACGGCCATGCATCGGGCTGGCCGGCGATTGTGTCGAGGCCCGTCGCTGGACCATTCGCTTGGTTTGTACATTTTCGACATTTGTCGGGGTTGGTGTGAGATTTCGTAGCGCGGCGGCCGCAGCAGCGGAGGAGAGGCTGCTGGAGGACGGTTGTGACTTCAGGAAGGCATGGCTCGCTGCAGATTGCGCGGAATGAGCAGCGGGTGTGGAGAGTGGCTAATACGTAGAAATAGTGGTTAGCGCATTGGTCGCGATTAAACCAACGCATTGCCGACCATGCCAGTGGGCATTGAGTAACGTGAGGAGTCTTCCATTGAGGGGACCTCTCTTTTTCTTTCTCTCTCTCTCTCGGTTCTGACGACATACCTGATGATGGTGGGAGGAGCTCCTTTTGCGACGACCGAACATTATCGCTATAGGTCTGCGAGGCTCGCGACAAATAAGGGATCAAACAGCCAACCGGACACTGCACAAAGCAGCGCCGGGGAGGATCCGAAGATCGGGACGGAAGACTCGGATGCGAGGATGTTCGAGACGTGCAGAAAAAAAGTTGGTCGGGGATATGCGTGATGTAGCTTCGGGGGAGGGGGGGGGGAACCGAAGAACGCGTGACGAATGAATGAAAGGCGGATCGGGCGACCGAAGAGCAATAGAGAAGCGAATGAAGATGAGCTGGGAAGCTAATGAAGGGGCTTCGGCGATGGTTGAAAGTGGCCGAGAGAAGGTTTGAAGGTTGAAGGGAAAGGAAAGAAGGGAACTTGCGTCATGACTTGAAAACGGGGAGTGCTACTAACTAGTTAGTTCACAGTATTACTAGTGTTAGTGGGAATACTGGGTTCAGGCACTGGAAAGTCTATCCAACTTTCTATTTTAGTTACAGATTAACTAGTTAGTCCTTACTAGTTCCTAGCAAGTCCCCATATTTAACTACTTAACTAGTTGGTTACTCTGTACTCTGTACTCCGTGCTGCTTGTCCACTCGGGGTACTTACTCGTCTTCCGTAACTACGTAGGTATGCACTCGGCTTCACCTCAACATTGCCGTTCACTCATTTATAACTTAACCCTCCCTCTCCCACCTTAGGTACTCCCTCCCTACAATCTTGAATTCAAATAATCGCAATTGCAGATCACCCCCAGAATGTCTGATACCTCCTCACTGCCCCTCCCCGAGGGAGTCTCCAGTCGCCTCGTTGAGACCACCGATCTGACCTTTCACATTCTCGAAGCCGGCGCCACTCCCGATCGCGATCGTCCCTTGGTGATCCTCCTACATGGTTTCCCTGAGATCGCCTACTCCTGGCGCCGTGTTCTACCAAAACTGGCCGCCGCTGGTTTCTACGCCGTCGCCCCTGATCAGCGCGGCTTCGGTCGGACCACAGGCTGGGATACCCGCCAATATCAGGATGTCGATCTATCAACTTTCTCGTTGACCACCCTCGTGCGCGATATCGTTCTGTTGGTCAATGCTCTGGGTTATCGATCCGTTCATTGTGTCGCGGGTCATGACTGTGGCGCCGTCACGGCCTCGACATGCGCCATCGTCCGGCCGGATTTCTTCCGAAGCGTCGTCCTCATGAGCCATCCTTTCAACGGGACTCCCGAACTACCCTTTAATACGGCTAATAGTTCTAGCGATGGTCAACTAGCTGATGCTGGTGCTGGTGCTGAGGGTTCAGCTGCGGCATCGGGTATCCATGAAGCGCTCGCTCAGCACGGCCGCAAGCATTATAAATGGTACTACTCCACATCACAAGCAAGTCCCGATATGTCCAACCTCGCCCCAGAGGACCTGCATCGCTTCCTACGAGGCTACTTCCATCTCAAGAGCGGCTCTTGGCCTGGGAACAACCCCCATCCACTGAGCGGGTGGACCGCCGATCAAATCGTCCAAATGCCTGGCTATTACATAATGCCAGCAGATGCCACGATGCCTGAGACCATTGAGAGAGATATGGCAAACGAGCCCACTAAGGGATTATCTTCGCACTCCTGGCTGCCGGATGATGAGCTTGCGGTGTATGTGGGTGAGTATGCTCGCACCGGCTTCCAGGGTGGACTGAATTGGTACCGCGTGCGCACGGCTGCCGGTGGCCGCTACACGCGAGACTATGATCTTTTTGCCGGGAAGAAGATCGAGACACCCTGTGCATTCGTCTCGGGGAAACAGGACTGGGGCATATATCAGGAACCCGCGGCGTTGGATAAGATGACCAGTGGTGCGGTGTGTTCGGACTTTCGACTGTGCCGACTGTTGGATGGAGTTGGGCATTGGATACCCCAGGAAAGCCCGGATGAGGTGGCGCGTACTATCATTGAGCTAGCGCGAGGATTAAATTGAGAACATTAGTATACATAGATACCCCAAGATATTGGCGAAAGTGATACCATCTGTTGATAATAACAAAGAGACAACGCCCGCGACGATGATGTGATACTACTAGGCAGTCCCGGTCAATATGTAAGCAGCACACAACAGATTAATATTAAGAAATTAGCCACAAAAATAAAGAAGAGAATTTTGCCTCAGGTCAAAGGGGACTCGGGGCGATGTACAGTGGTAAATTAATCTGCAATTCTATCGGTGAAACTGAGAATACATGCGAGTTTCCTAGAAGTTGAGACACGAGAAGTAAAGTTCTCAAGGTTCTTTCCCCGTCCCAAGTCCGCTGCATCAAACTTGCGGTTCGAGGTATCAATCCCCCTTTCGCAGCTTCAAGTTGCGTGCATCTATGTTTTGAGTATTGATTGGGAATAACACATACAGCGTACTAGTATTCCAAGCCGTACGCACTACTGGTACTAGTACTACTAGTATTCCCAGTGAGGAAATAACGACCGAACCTTGGAATATAAAGACATGTACTCTGTAGAAGAAAATATGGTTGTGGGCTACCTACTATCCAGCATCGTGTAAGAGGTCTGAGTTCATCCAATTCAATAATTTTGGTTGCATATTAATCAAATAGAATGGGTATGGTGCACAAAGAAAATTCAACGCACGCAGGATGCAAATGGAAAAAGAAAAGGTGATGTGAAACATATCTACATAAGGCCGCCCAAAAGCGTCGCCAGTACCAACGGTACCAGTGCAAGCAGGGTCTGCTTTGGTGGCGTGATTATAGCCGCCCCAGACCCAACCCCGCTCGTCGTGTACATATATTGGAAGCTGATATCGCTGGAGTTGAAACAGTTATCGCGAGTCACGGAATCCTTGATATCTGGGTCTTGCGGGTCGGCAAATTCGATATCGACGCACTGCGGAAATAATGATGTTAGATAAAGAAGAAGTAATGGCGACGGGAAGAAATAGAGTAAAGAACATACATTATAAAGTGCCGCGCCGTGCTTTGCGATCTCTACCACTTGGATAGTTGCCTTGTCACCGATTTTCGCGCTGATATTGGCTGGCAGTGGGACTTGTGGCAGGCAGATGGTGCCAGGGTAGGGGTCATTGGTTGGGCCGGTAATCTGGAATGGTGAGACGACGGGGTGGCTCATATTCTCAGGCACCTCGCCCAAGCCAAAGTTGACGTAGATCAGGGCAGTCTGGTGACCGGGGAACCAGCCCGGCTGTAGCGCAAGGGCACCCCCGTTAACAGGCCATTTAGTTCGGTTCTGAGATGTCGGCATGCCGCCGCCTGGATCGATGAATTTTGGGTTAGAATTTTGATCTTAGTCTTGCGAGCGATTTGAGTCGCGGGCAATTGTTGATGGTGTCTCTTACAAGGATACATCCACATCATGCCGTATGGATAAATGTACGAGCCGTTCTTCTCATCCCATGCAACGCCTAGGCCGTTCGCCTCGGAGACGGTGCCATTTGTGTGGAGGTTATTGCCTCGGTAGCCGGGGTATGTGATAACGGTGTGGGCGTGGGCGAGGCCGATACACAGTAGGAGGAGGGAGGAGGCCCATCGTGATATGGAGTGCACAGCCATGGCGAAATGTGTGGGAAAGATGCTTCTGGGCGACAGACGCAAAGGGATCAGAGGCTCACACCGAAAAGCAGCGCGAGAACAGCTTCGGACCTTTTTATCAAAAATCAAGCTCCGTCTATGAACGGGACGACGGTCAACGTCGAGCTCGCATTCGATTGATGGCGGTACGAGGGAGAAGAGGAAGGATAAGCTTCAAATCATTCAAGAAAGAGGATCAAGCCACTGGAGGAATTTGGAGGACCATTCCTCTTTTTGAGGGGTACCTCTCGTTGGGTGCAGGCATGTTCGGGGCGGACGAGTCAGGATGCAGGACTCGGATGTGACTGACACTGCAGGAGGTGATGGTATGTGAATGGCCCAGACCTTGTTAGGTGGAGTGGGATCATCACGGCCCTGCTGCAAGTGCCATCACTTCTCAAACCTCATCAGCACGATGATTGGTGGGGAACCAGCAGCTCCAAGCGCCGAGGAGGACGCTAAACTATATTGAGGATGGAGGCAGTGAGCGAGGAGAGGCGGAGGTGGGTGTGGGCGCTTAGTGCCAGTGGGTGCAGTGTGATGGTGATTGCCCGACAGGAACCGCTAGTGCAGGTCTTAAGCATGGTGATGGTGATGGTGATGGTGATGGGTGATAGAGTCGCTGAATGGTGATGGACCTGCACTGGCCACTGATCGTCGGTTCTCCGTGGGATCTCCCGAAGCGAACTTAAGCGGGGTACGGGATGTCTTTTGGGCCAAATTGCAAACAAGATGCTCGTTTGCACTAAGACTAGCTCGGTTCGAGCTTGTACGGAGTACTCGCTTTAGTTCAGCGTGTTCACCACGAGTGTTCCTGGATCTATCATTCCCAGCAGAACGCACATCTACAACATTTTTAGGCCTACTCAGGTATTGAAATGTCAATAGCTCAGCATCTCAACTACTCTTCTTCCGACAGAACCGAACGATTTTCTAAACGATGTGACTGCAATTTATCTCTTTGAAAATTCATTGGCCCCGACCACCATAATAGCCGCCAGAAAAACTGGCCACGCGTCAACGATCAAACAAAGACTGCAGATTTACACAAATTTGAAGCCTCCTCACGACGAGGTCAACCTCTTTGGTCTGTTTGTAGTATGCAGCGGGCCGAATTACAGACCTATCCGACAGTTGAACGCAGAAAGTAGGATTCATTACCGGTCATGTTATGCCCTTTGGCCAGCAACAACCCAAGCAAAATTCGGGATTTTTGAAGATTTAGATATCCACTCCCGAGGTTGGTACCTAGGTATGTGATCACAATGTCGGAGAGTGGAAAATCCGAATCTTTTCATCACGTTCTCGAGATTGCATAATTGAACCCCATGGCCAGCTCCAGCAGTCTGTCAAAATGGCTAGCAATCTCCAAAATACCCAACGGCAGAGTTCTTCCAAGTTTTTCCAGTGAGACTCATGCAACAATTCCGAGTCCTTTTGCACCGCTGTCAATTGCATTGTAAATAATACCATTACTATACTCATATCTTCATACGAGTATAATATCCATGGATATCCACTCTTCAGATACTGCTTCCAAGGTTATGTTGCTGACATCGACAGGTATCTTTCCAGTCGGTGTCCGAGTCTGGGGCGGATAAAAGAAAAATGGCTTGTCGGAAACCATCTCACCTAGAGGACGCATCTTATACGCCTTGGACGTGTCAATGGTGTTTGCATTAGTTTTGATCACGTAGAAAGCAGAACCTTGAAAGTAATCCGGTCATTCACAACAACCATTGCATCTCTGTTGCACGCCTGTCAGGTTACCCACGGCACCCCAGATATTGCAGACTTGCCAGAGACTTAATGCAGAGTGTATGCACGGGGCTTATTATCCTCTCATTTGATAATGGGATATGGGCAATGGCAAAGCCATGGATCGTTTAATTGGCTGCCTGCTAGCCTTTGTTGCTGTTAGCTGGGGGTTCAAACGAAAATTTTCATCACACTGCTGAATTTGTGATACATGTTAAAGTCCCGAAGAGAGAGCATCTATTTGACAACTTTGGTACCTACCTAATATCTTGATTCTATTGGCTGGATGTGTCTTTCGTTTATCGACCTCATGGGCGACCTTTCACTCGGAACACCTCGCTTCAGATGCCACTATGTTTCTGAAGTTGAAAAAACATAATACGTGAGCCTATGTAAAATATTCCGAAATTAATTTACTTTGAGCCGAATTTCAATTGTCCTCTCTAAACCCGAACCCATAGTATCTCAGCCCGTTGCTGTTCTAGTAATCACATCCCTTCCGTGACGCGTGGGGCTTCGTTTTTTGTTGTTTCACCACACGTGCCATGTACTCCTTCTCGTTAACATGGAGCTACTACTATATCAGTGAATACATTTTTAATTTTCAAAAAAGATTTGTTTAAAGGAGCTCAGTAGTACACACCACGGCAATACCAAGCCAAGCCATATATAGTTCCAAATACGGCAGCGGGCTTATCGCGCTGAGTAATCACTTATCGTCCAAAAAAAGTCCCCGCCATTTGGGAGCCACCAATTAAGAATTTCACCACTAACATCCATTAAACGACTTTTGAATTTGAAACCTTGGAACCTTGGAACTTGAAACGAAACGGAGGGAAAGGTTTCCAAGCTGTGCACATATATATAGCGCTATGCCACACAGTAACCGCAAAAAGCGCAACCCTGTCTCTGCTCAAAAACGCCTCGAAGTCACCGGTGATGACGGCTGGACTCATGTTACTAGCGGTAGCAATGTGCGGCGCGTAGTGCGCACCACTACTACTAAGGCACGGAGTGACCTTGAAACCAACCAGGTTGATGAAACTGGGTTGGTTCTCAGTCCAGCCGAGGCACCGGCTCGTCTGACCTTCGAAGAGTTAGAGGCGCAATATAGAAGCTATAAGGAGCGATGGGTTCAGTCGGAGACCTGGAAGAAACTGAGGATACAATTGGACCAAAGGATATGCGATCAAGAGACGGAGACCTTGTCGCGGGATCTGGATGTTGACGGGATTGTGTGCATCGGGCTTGGCAGTCCGAGTGGGTTCCTGCGAGATGGTTGGGTTGACCGCAGGGCTGTTTCTATGTTTCAGCTTGCTGCGTTAGAAGCTATCAAGGATGTATTTACGAGTTCGTTCCTCCCCTCCCTCTCGAAAAAGCACTCAAATTTCCAACTTCGCTTGTTACCTCCGAACTTACGTCTTTCATGCAAAGGTGCCAACCGCTCTTCATCTTTTCCAATTTACGCCCAAGATCCCGTCTTCAACGCACTGGACCGTGCACTTCTTGAATCACTTGGTATAACTGTGGTCGATAATCCTATTGCCTTTGAGCGGGTCACATCGAAAACACTCCTTTTCTGTCCCGGTGCGGAGCGCAAACATCTGGATATGCTACTTCCGTCAAACCCGAAGCTCGTTCTTGGGGGTCCGCTAGAGAATACTGAGTCCTCAATCATTGAGTCATATGTTAAGAAAACGGACTCCAGGATTTTGCTGCCTTTTTTGGCTCAAGAGCATGCGTTTTGGAAGATGCGCCTCTACTTTTTGGCTCAAGTGGAGCCATAGTATCAACGATCTTGAATACTTGTACTATTTAGTGTATATACTGGGTTTAATCTGCTATTACTACTAGTATATACTAATTCGCACGCTATTAAAATGGGTTGTCTTTGTCTGATGCTTTATAATTCTGGCCACCTGGGCAGGTCTTGGTTTGGACAAGTTCAACTTGAAGCTCCAAGTCAAAAATGGACCTAGTACATAGTACTACTATTCCAAGGATTAGTATTCCATTTCATGAAAATCTTTTTGCCCTGAGCGGCGGTTATTCCAAGATTTAATGCAAACTTGAACCTTGAATCATGTAGGATGGATGTCGTTCTTTGAAAAGACTCCGTCTGACCTTGGAAATGAAGATCAAAAAAGCGACTTCACCCAAGGACGATGGTTAATGTGGAGCAAAAAAGTGGACGAATGGCGATTCGAACGCCAGACTTTTCGCATGCAAAGCGAACACTCTACCAACTGAGTTATACGCCCATTGAGATACGTCATTATTGTCTCCATAATTTATTATTATTAAACACTTCCAATCGAAAAAGCAATTATTTCGATACACTCTGAAAGTACTTCGTGAAGTCAGGGCTAAAATAAAGTCTACTTGCATTACATTTTCGACCTTTGAAAGTCTCTATTATAGACCTTTCTCGTATCCAGACAGCAAAGACTGTCTGAAGCGGCAAAGAAAGACAGGCTTGGAACTTCTCCAGGCCTTGGTCGGGAAGCCGAAGGCTTAGCTACCGACTGCGACGATCCTATCCTAGGTATCGGTTTCGCATTTCAACTGATTTTTTCCCTTTTATTTCATTGGAACTTCTTCAGAACACTAAACACATCAATGTCCTAGTATATACCTAGGTATGGACTTCACCTAGTAATTCGAATTTTCACATTACCAGTAGCAAGTCGGTTTGGATAAATCTAGCTTTAACTCGGTGAGGTAAATTCGGAACTTCACTTATCCCCCAGGGCTTTTGCCTCTCCAGCGAGGTTAATCCAAGGTAGCAGATAAAAGCATGCTCGGTTGACTTTGTGACAAGCATTCGGCCGATCAACTTAGGTTCCTAGGTAATCTGTGGTTCAAGTTCAAGTTCGTCTGCGGAAAGGTAAGACTCAGAGACAGAGATACTCTTCTCCAAAATGCCAAGATGACCCACTAGGAGTTTATGACCCCACCCACATTTCTTGTCATCTCCCATCTGAAGTCTCTCCAAAAAGGGTGCGCGAGAGCGGTGGCCTCTGAATCACAATGTGGAATGTGAATCGAGTTTTCATTTGGAGATAGGTTTGATGGAGAACAATCAGTTTCGAAACACTTAAGCCCGGGGAAATCTGGTATAACTCCGGACGCCGGTTAATTAAATACCCCGCCCGATTGAGCACTCTTATTACTACGTCAGTAGCTGAAAGTTGCAAAAGTTCTCCAAGTGAGTCAACCGATATTGCAAATTTCAAGTTTTAAAATCCGAATATAAAAAATTTGACATGCTCAGCACCTGTGCATTGTTTGAGTAGTATCTTCAGGTCAATCTTTTGATTAAACTTTTACCATTCAACCATCTCGCAGACTGCCTAGGTGGTTCAAGGGTCAAATTAAAGATAAGATCATGACAGAACCAGCAAGCCATGAAAAGCCCTGTGATGTGGCTCCAGAAGAATTACAGACGAATGATGCTCTGTCACCACCAAAGCAATCAAATAAGTACGTGTGGAACAATTCTCTATAGTCGTTTTCATATTCGAAAATGCTTACAAGGATCGAGGAACAGACAGAAACTTGTGATTGTTATCGCTGCTTTCATGCTCAACTTCTCCGGCTGTGGGCTCTTGTTTAGTTTTGGTATATTTCAATCTCTCTATGAGGACATGGCAAAAGAGGCAAACAATCCTTTCACTGGGGCTTCATCTGCTGACATCTCATTGATCGGTAGCATAGCTGCTGCATTGATGAAACTAGGCGCACCATATGTCGTGGCATGGTGTAAATACTTTAGTCCACAGTCAGTTGTATGTGCAGGTGGGCTACTATTTGGTATTGCGAGTGTGTTAGCCAGTTTTGGAAACGCCCTGTGGCATTTCCAGCTCTCGCAGGGGCTATTGATCGGCATTGCTACCTGCCTTTCTTTCATGCCATCTATGGCGGTACCGCCTACTTGGTTCGGCAAATACAGGGGATTGAATATGGGAATTATTTCTGCTGGCACTGGAATTGGAGGCCTCGTCTGGTCTCCGATACTATCAGCATGCTTCCAGAGTATAGGATTCCGGAATACACTGCGACTGACTGGCTGCATCTGCACTGTCTTAATTTGTGGATCTGGAGCTGTTTTAAGATGGGACCCGAAAATGGCTGCACGACTTCATGAAGATAACTTGAAGCTGTCTTCGGTTTCCGGGCTTTTCAAAGTCCCCCTCCCACCCCGAGAGATCGTCACATCCCGCAAGTTCGTTGCCCAATGCCTCAATGCCGCTTTCCAGAGTGCAGCATATTATACGCCCGTATTTTATATCGCAGCCTATTCCAAAACACTTGGATATAGCGACTCTGAAGGCTCGAACTTTACCGCATTGAGCAATTCCTGCAACGCCATTGGAAAGGTCGCAGTTGGTTTTGTTGCTGACAAAATTGGACGACTCGACTCTTTCTTTCTCACGACTCTGCTGAGCTCTGTGTCGACCGCAGGGCTGTGGATACCGAGTACTGTTCTCGGTAGCGCGAATCAATCATCAGGCAGAGGACTTTTCCTGGGATTCACGGTTCTTTACGGTCTCTTTGCTAGCGCATACATCGGTCTATTCTCCCCCGCCTTGGTTGAGATTTTCGGGATGGAGAATTTGCCACGGATCACAGGAATTATGTATTTCCTCCAGGGAGCAGCTGGATTTGTTGGAACGCCAGTGGCGGGCGTTTTGGTTCGGTCGCTGCCCAGTAGCAAGGCGACGGAAAATTATGTATACATGGCGGTTTTTGTGGGAGCCTTGATGGTTGCATCAACTGTGACTGTCTTTTGGGCTAGAATTGAGGTTATGGTGGAACGCTTTGGAGGGGAAAAGCGATGGGCGTGGAAACTGTAATATTGATACTGGTGTGACAATAGGTGGCGTTTTATAGAATTGTGCTTTATTTTCTTCAAGTTAGAGTGAGGATGGTCCTCCAAAAATACGTTTCTCTGAGTAATCGATTTTTTTTACTGTTTTATTCTTTGGTGAGAGTTTTGAGATTTGGAAACTTCAGAACGTTCGAAACTAGGTATTTTCTTGTCAAACTTGAAGAACCTAAAGGGTCACAGTCGAAGGGGATTGAAAGAGGCAGAGGCGTATCAAGGAGACTGTAGACATCAAGAATATGAATGCGTGCCCAGGTGTCTAGGGAATTGGACTTATATGAAGGTCTCCCACGCTCAATATAAACAGGGAGAAATACTTGAAAACCTCCAGTGCTCCTGTGTAAACGCAACGTAGGCTGTGGGTGGTGCAGGGAAGTCGAATCTTGGAACTTGAATTAATACCAGAAGATAGGGTACTAGTTAGTACTTAGGTACGCAGTACAATACGGGAGAGAATGACACAATGGTGCGACTTCAAGTCAAATAAATATTCTGGTCAATGTCACTTTCTCCCCTTTCCAACAGAAACCAGTAGATTCAAATTCCTTAGTGCAAAGTTTAGGTAAAGCAATATTTCAATGACTGAGATATTTATTTTACGGTTTGGCTTATCATATAGCGTTGCTTCCATCATTGAGGTCGGTAAACACTCATTTCAAATCCGTTCGTGAATGGTAGAGTCATGTTTTCGAACCCATTTTCAGGAGCTCTCAGGTAAGCAAGTAGGTCTGCATACCCCTTGGCTCCCGATATTGTATTATCCGTAAGAACAACTGCACCCGGCCGAAGACGTGGTAAAACGGTTTTGAGCGTAGGAAGCGACAATGCCGACCAAACTACCAAATCCATTAATATAAGCGAACGGAAGCAGAACGAGAGTCATACTTACTATCGAGAAGAAGAAGATCGACCTCCGGCAAATCAGTCTTGAGGGTTTCAAGTAGATCACCCTCTCTCAAATCAATCTGTTGCTCAACTTCCGGACCACATTGTCTCCAGTACTTTCGAGCAATTGCTGCCTTTTTGGTTTCCTTTTCGGTCGCGATAACAATTCCAGATTTACCGGTGGCTGCTTTGGTTTTGCCAATAGCGAGGGCCAGATAAATTGTGCTGACACCAAAACTAGTACCTGCCTCGACAATATTCGTCGCACCCATGGCGTTGATCAATTGATAGGTGAACTGGCATTTATCCTCATCTAAAGCGATGAATTTGTCGAGCATGAGGCGATCGAAGTCATCCTTTGGATTGATCTTTGGATTTTTATCCTCAAGATCGCCCAGAACATCTGATGAGAACACCTTCCCTTTTTTCGAAATACCAGCTTCTTGCTCCAACGAAATTTGGTGAAGTTGTGAAAGAAGTTGCAGTATATGGGCCGCAGCGCTGACTGGAGATGGGGAAGCCATTTTGGACTTTATGAAAAAGGTCGAGTTTTTCAAACAAGATTCGGTGGCGTGCCAGGTGGGAGGCAGGGCGGGAAAAGAGAAATTGAAGCGATTTTCCAACCTTTCAAGGTTGAGAAGCCGTTCAAGTGGAAGAAGCTGGGTCTTCGTGGCGAAGGAAAGTGGGGGATGATACCTCTTGGCATTTTGGAGAAATGACTAATCACTGTATCAATTAGTTAGTTAACAATTTACATACTTTGATTGATTAAAAGAGTCCTCTCCGTACGCGTTATTGATATAATATCTCAATCACCTTCATTTTTCAAATAAAAATGCTAAAATTATTTCAAAGGCGTTAGTTTCCAACTTTCCGCGACAATTCCCAGCCAAATAAAATCGAAAGAACAATCGTCATGTCCACCAATCGGCATATTTTGGACGCAATCGGGAACACACCTTGCGTCGAGTTGCGTCACGTCGTGCCAGATGGATGTGCCCGTGTTTTTGTCAAGTTGGAAGGTTTAAATCCCACTGGCTCTTATAAAGACCGTATGGCAGTGTCTATCATCGAGGAAGCGGAAAAAAGAGGAGACTTGAAACCCGGAATGACAATCGTCGAAGCCACTGGTGGCAGTACTGGATCATCCCTTGCTTTCATCTGTGCGATCAAAGGATACGACTTTACCGTGGTATCTTCGAATGCATTTGCAGAAGAGAAACTGCAGACAATGGCCGCATATGGAGCAACCGTGGATATAGTTTCCAGCCCGACGGGAAAGATCACACCGGAGTTGATTCCTTCCATGCGCGTGCGGGCCAAAGAATTAAGTCAGAACGGTGACTGTTACTATACCGATCAATTCAGCAACCCGGATGTTCTCGTTGGTTATGGAAGCATGGGTCGCGAGCTTCTGGGCCAAATCCCCGAAGGAATTGATGCCTTCTGTGGCGCAGTAGGAGGCGCAGGAATGGTTCTGGGGGTTGCCAAAGTTTTGAAATCAAAGAACCAAAACTGTCGTATTACTGTCCTGGAGCCCGCATCTGCGCCTGCTATCACGAAGGGCCATGGTGGACCACACTCTGTGGAGGGTATTGGAATCGGATTTCTACCACCTCTCTTGGACAAGACCCTGTATGATGATGCCCGTGCAGTTGAAGAGGCTGAGGGTCGTCGGATGTCTCGAAGATTGGCGAAAGAAGAGGGAGTCCTGGCTGGCACATCCACGGGGCTTAATGTAGTGGCTGCTATTGAGCTGGCAAAAGAACTTGGCCCCGGTAAGATCGTGGCCACTGTCGCCTGTGATAGTGGTCTGAAGTATGTGCTAGGAGATCTTTTTACGGAAGAGTAGATAGATACAATCTATATAGATCTAGAATTAGACGAATAGTCCTAGGAGACGAAATGTGAACTTGAAATGGTCGCTTTAGGAATTTGGAACTTCAAGTACCTAGCTAGCCTAGAAGCCTCTGAAACGTACTGCCTAGTACTACTACCTAGATATCTAATCTACTTATTTCAACCTGATTGATACTACCTAGGTAGTACCTAATACTAGTAACTAGTAGATAGTTGTACAGGTTGGAGCTCCCGGTTTGGGGCGCAGTGCTAGCAAATTACTGTCTTCCAAGGTTCCAAAGTTCCACCATTCATCATGGATTGCAGACAGAACTTTGAGAAACTTTGGAAACCTTGGGAGTACTATAAGTATACATACTAGCTGTACTGGAGGTTTCAGGTTCTTATTGACATATATGTTCCAAGGGTTATTTACTTACTACTTCTATGTGGGATGGGGCTCCAAAATCTGAGCGTAGGCCTCTAAAATCTTCCCAATCATTGGTACCACGTTCCAATGAGCCGTCCCGCTCAGAATTCTTGCCCAGATACTGACAACTCGAGTACACAGACTAGTGGAGGATGATTCGACGTCCCCTCCAGCCTCAGCCTCCATAACCATGTCCACGATGTAGGCGTATAATCTTGCCTCTTCTTCGTCAAGAGTCTCCTGTGATAAATGGGGCTGTATGGCAATCAGCCATTTGCTGATTATGAAAGCACACTCGAGAGCACATAAAGAATGCTGAAGGGACCAAGAAAAAGACTGATTGTGGGCCACGATGTTGACTCCAATTTTCACGGGGATACTCAACGCATGAGCCGAGTAGAGCACTGCGCGGGTGAGTCTGCGATTCCTTGATAAAGGTGGGCTTCGATGTATGGAAGCCGCGACCTCGTGAGGAACATGAGTGTTCAGAGCGCGCCACGGACCAAGATCCACATTGAGTCGAATATAGGCCATGCGAAGCAAGGCGGTTGAATTGAAAGATATTGGGCCTAATGGGCTCCCAGGGCCAAGAAACGATTCCGGGTCTTGATTCCACCCACTTTGCCAATTCTTCAATGCTCGTTCTATCTCATTCATATCCATAGGAGATAGACTTTGCTCGCCTTCTGGTCTGCGTTTTGCCTCCATTCGCAGAAAGTAGATGTGCTGTATTAGAGCGAGGATTAATGTGTAGCTACCCAAAGACGAAAGCTGATTTTGAATGTCTTCTGCCTGCGAGGAAAATAACATTCCAAAAGTAGATTGAAAGTGAGGCTCGGCCTCGTGCTTGTCACGGGCTTGTCGCCACTCATCCTCGGTTTTTGCTTCCCAGTCTTTCTCTCGCGAAGGTAAGTGTATATTCAATTCCGAGTTGAGGATCGGAGGTGGAAGGTCATAGACGATAGTATGGAAGATGAAAAAGCAGAAGATGATAGCGACGGTCCTTCGAAAACCTTCTTCCTTTATCCATGTAGACCACGCTGAAGTGCTTGAGAATATTTGTGGCTCTAAGAGCTTTTCAGTCCTTAAATAGTTTGCCAAAATGCTCTGGATCTCTATGGCCTCATCAAATATGGCTTCTGAATTTCCCCAGGTTGCCATAGCCATAAGTATGAGTAATGCCTGCGCAAGCGGAAGTGGGTCAAATTGCGATATTTGCTCTGTTGATGGACCCGCGTCATGTTGTGAGGTTTCGGAAATAACAGGCAAATTTTGCATAATCCGCGTTTGTTGCATGCTAGGTGGCCGAGGTCCGGCGGAGAATACCATGTCGTGGCGTTGTTTCTTGCGATGGCGAAGTCGTTCTTGCGATATGGCAAGCGAAGCACGGTACAGCATAGTTGCATTGTTTCTATCAAATGCAGATATTGCACCTATAGTTGCCATGGCTAACATCAATTCAATCGGGCACTTCGGAGCCAAGAATGTGGGAAGATGTACCAGAGGAAGATGGCGGTGGAATCCCGCAAAGTATGTATTGATGTATCGGGTCATGGTGTGGCGTGAGGGAAGAAAAAACCCCTGGGGAAGAACTGCAAGAAATTTCTGAGCTTCAGTCAAGATAGAGTCCCAGTCTTGTTGTGTGACGTGAAATGGCTCTTTCTTGGACCGTGTAGCGCGAGAAGGCTCGAAAGAGGGTAGCGAGGATGTGAAGTCATCAAATAGCCGTGGCACTGATGTGGGTGTCATGCTTTGCTTGGAAAGTTCAGAGTTCGGGGTATGCCATTGAAGTCGCGGTTCAACGATAGGGAAGAGAGGAGCCGGAGGTGACGGCAAAATAGGCTGATCGACATAAAATGACGATAGGCCGTAGCCATAGGCTCCATTTAGGCTGTCAATAAATAGATCAAAGTCACCAAAGCCATTGGGCTGTTGGGTTGGCAGTATATCCTGTGTAGCGATTGGGGAAACCAGAGGCAGCATGGCAGATGTAGCCCGAGGGGCACTGGGCTGGATTGAAGGAGAAGATGGGAAAGAGGTGAAGCCATTCCCAATGGGTGTCTGGTCTGATGGAACGTCAGATTCCACACAAGTTGGAGCTTCTTGGTGCCGTATCCTGAATCTGGGTGGCGAAACGCTGTTTAGACTGTCATGAGCGGCCCCAGAAATAGATGGAGTCTGATAATTGGTCACACGAGAATGATCTGCCTCAGTCTCAAACGGAGAAGTTGATTCAGCTTCGTGGATGAGGCGGATATGTCGAGCAAGAAGGTCTCTTTATAGTTAAATTAGCCGCCAATTCTCTGCGACTGGCATCAGAGGAGAGGAGCTCATACCTCCGGGCAAAACCAGCAGAGCAAACCGTGCATTGGAAAGGCTTCTCTTTAGTATCTAAAACAAAATCAGTCTCGCATAAGATATAAAGGATAAGAAAATCTCACGAAGTCTCTCGTGTCGCTGTAAATGCTCTTTGCGATGGAATGACTTGGCACAGAAGCGACAGCGAAATGCTCTTTCGTCATGTCTTAGATGGCGCAAATCGCAGTGAGTATTTTGTCCATCTTCGACCAGATTCCCTTCAGTTTGCTTGGCCCGTGTTGGTCTGCTCCTTTTTTGTGGGGGCATGCTGAAATAACCTTAGTTGCAGCGATGCGGTAGCTTAGGAGTCGTCGGAAGGGATTGATGACGGAGCACCGCTTAGTCATCGATTTATAGACAGACACATTTGAAATCCCCTTGGTCGAAAATTATGACTGAGTATTTTGATTTGATTGAATTAAAGAGATGAATAAGACCTGTGGAGCCGAGCTCGAAAAGCTCATACTTGCTGACAAGATTCAAGTTATAGAATGAGGTAATTTACTACTATCGACTGTTTGTGGGGTAGGGCGAAATGTGAGGGTATTATCAATATGGTTCGCTAATCTTTCTAGTGATGATTAGATATGGTATGAACATCCATTTCCAGTGTGTGATTTTCCAGTCCGCCGCTTACCAAAGCATCGAGTAGATACCTCTGCTCAGCAGGAACAGAATCCGTCCAAGAAACGAATATCACAAGGCAACAGGTAAATAATCAGTGAAAAGAGCACCTGAAGTTCGACTCATGCCATGAAACAATAAACTAGATATTGACTGGCTATTGTATGCGTTGATCTTGGGAGTGCCTCCCTCGTCGTCCACAGACTGGGTTACCGCGAAAACGTCCCGATTGGCCATTTTCTGACAATTTATGGTGTTGACAACGCCCAGCGTTTGGTATAATGGGAATGCTCCTTCCTCTGTTGGCTTCAAAATTTCGAGATCCTGGAGCCATTCTTGGATCTCGAGAGCTAGACCCCGAGCTTGACATCGCAGAAGAGCGGTTAGGAGTAAACCGGAGAATCCAATGGTATAGCTGTTCCTGCTAAGAGATGTCTCCATTTTTGTCCCTCTTGCAATCCGAAGTAATACTCGAGTCCACGATTCCTCTGTGTGACTGTCATAAGGAATATAAGAAGGGTCAGCCTTTTTCAAACTTCGCAGGAGTCCTGTGCTTTGCATGATTCTCGCTACTGTATAGTATGCGAAATTCAATGCTGCCTCGTGTGAGCGAAAAAAGATGGGTGTCCGTTGATCCACATGATCAATCTCGTGTACGCCATCCAGCCCATCTATTGGCAGGTCAGATGTTGGGAGGGCGTCGAGCCACCTGTCTAACATTTCTCCTTGCTGGGCAAGAAAATGACAGGTCTTGTCGAATTCTTCGTCTCCCGAGCAAAGCTCACTCCCCTGCGCGCCGAAATCACCGGTATCCCAATGTCTCAGTAGTGCTGAGAAATTGATTCTATGTGATTCGCACATGATACTTAAAACATTGACTCTCTGCCCTTGGAATGCAGGTAAGTTTTCCATGGTGATACCGGGAGGCAGAGTTGAGGGTAAATGCCGATGCACTTCCAGTGAGCAGAAGTAGGCGCGGGCCCACCAGACCACGATTCGAATCTGCAACCAGGCCGCAAGTAAGGAATCTAGGTCTGTTCTCGAGCTGATTTTGAGGTGCGAAAGCAAGCTTATTATGCCTTGATCATGGCAGTAAAAGCCTTGGAAATTCCCCATCGAGGACTCAATATAAGCGAAGATAATCAAGACCGTCAAGACCATGGTTGGACTATCATGGATTTCGTGTTCCCTGAAAGCTGTGAATCTTTTGATAGCCAAGGAATAATAAAGTTGGCTTCTTGTTTGGTGAACGAGATGAGGACTGAGCGATCCCATCTCACTAGTCACCGAGGCTTTCTTCTCTGGATAGAGCCGGCTAAAACTGCACGAGGACAACGCTAAAGTGGCGTTTGCAAGGACCGAATGATCGTCGAATCTCCGAAAGAGGACTTCAAATATGGGATGCATAGCCGGAAGACAGTGATCTTCCAATATCGTCGAATAGAAAATATCTCGTTCGGAATGCTGCAAGGATCGAATGATATCAACGTTGCTAACACAAAGGGAATTTTCCTGTGGCGGCTGAGCCGATTGGTTCCCTTGAACGATTTTCACACGTTTCTTTTCCTTGTCTTCATCACATTTTTGATTCATGCCTGAGGCACCGACTCCTTGAATCGATTGGTTCACGGACCGGAACTTGAATTCTGGTCGGTACCGTTCACATTTCTTGCCCAATCTAGTGCATGTACCACAAGTTGGCTGTTTTTCATCACACTGGAGGGTTTTTAGTCGTGTCGTATTTAAAAGGGAATGCGTTTCTCAATTTACCTTGGATTTCCTTTCGCGACAACTTTTGCAGCCATTTCGCGACCGGACAATGTTGGTCTTCTTAGGTCTTGGGGGTGTTGGCTTATACATTTCAATCTCGACTCAATTGGTTCAAAATGAGCTCTGTTCTGGTCCGTGTGTGCCTAAAGCGTTGAGAACATGGAGAATTCCTATAGTCTGAGTGGCGTAGTCCCATAAGCGGCTATGACTCAATGACCATCTCGGAAGATGCATTGAATAGTTAACTGTTTCCCGGCAAGAAAGACATCGATTCCTCTAGGTCAACCTGATGCAGTGAATGGTCAATTTGAGAGCTGGCGATAATCTAGCATTAAACAAGTCTGGACGACGAAAGCTTCGGAACTGATATTTAAGGAAGAGTGCGAGTTGGTTGGTCCAGGGTTCCCGTGTTCGGGAATCAGGTTAATCCGAAATGGAGGCCCCAATACACAGTGCACGAGTACTAACTAACTAGTTGTATGAGTAAGGCAGTGGTAGTTTTAGGAAGCAGCTTTGGCCGGCAGAAAAAGAAAATGAACCTCGGACCGCTTGTATCACCCGCGTTCCAGGTTGCACCTGCCGCCGTTTACTATTGGAATCTTAGCCCTTTCGACTACATATCTCCTTTTGAGGCTCAAGTCTGCAGTCGAAGAAAATCAAGATATTTTTCAGAGTTTCATTCTATAATTTTGTTTTCGGTCAGTGAGAAATCTTCGTTCGTAGAACGGGCCTCTAACTTGAATGTTGAATGCTCTAACACATTGTCTGCGGATGCTGGTGGGGTTTTACTCTGAAATCCACTGGATAGCTCGACTGAGTAATTTCATACCGTCGGTGGGATGATCTAGTTTCCGAACTTCCTTTGCCAGTTTGTCGGCTGAGCAGTTTCCGTTGTACATTTTGTCTTCTTCTAGAAGCAACTTCTTTGCAAGCTCATTTGATATTTCGGGGTGTGCTTGGAAAGTGAGAATGTTGTTTTGATCGTTGACGAAACATTCGTTATTCTCAGCAAGGTGAGCGAATCCGGGGGCCGGAATCAAGACCTCACGAACATGGAACTCGGGGGCTCTCTGGAACGTCATTAGTGTCAAACTTGAAATTAGTGCTAGGTGGACATACGTAATGCGTAGTGCTCATTACAGGGCCAAAGAATTTCTTCCCATCTTCTGTGAGGTGGATATCTTCAATCGCAGCCTATTGGTGGTGAGAAATGAGATACCCGAGAGATGTAGGGTCGACGTACAATTGGCCCAGTTGGAACAGCGCCGATTTCACCTCCAAGTGCCTTCGAAATTGCTTGATGCCCCCAGCAGACACCTAGTATCTTTGTTTGAGGAATTTCTCGCGCCGTCACTCGAACGTAGTCCAGAACACCTAATACCCAGGGCTCCGAGGAAGACGCATCCGCTTTACCGCCGCTCAAGACTATGAGATCATAATCTGCTGCATTCGGGAACTTTCGCTCGACCACTGGATCATATAAATCGACCTTTGCCGTTGGGGAGATCAATGTAATCGCCTCTGTCCAAGATTGTCGTGTATCTGACCAGAATGGTATGTTATCGGGCGAGGTGTTGATAAGAACAGCAATTCGGGGGCGTTGGGTGGTATCCATTATGATATAGATTCTTGGCGAATGGAACTTGAACTGAGAAACGATTGAGCTGATCACTTCGAAGTCAAGTTCCAAGGTTCAAGTCAATTATTAGTAGTTCAAATGTTTCAGTTAGTAGTTACTACCTGACAGGCACACAGAGGGTATTATATAGTAAGTCGTGACCGCTATGCCGAGCTTTGATTGCCTTTTTCGAAGAAAAAAAAATCCTAGATAGTTCGGGCATCGTTCCTGGAATTGTAGATTTCCATTATACAAGCTCGATTAGGTGCACGGGTGCGATGCTGAATAAGCCGTTGCCACTCTCATGACTCCAATTTCGTATCTTAATTTCTTTATGCTTCGAAATATTGACCAATCATCGTCGAATGTATGCCTTTAATGTGGGCTACTAAGCACTTCTTGTGGGTCTGCTCTATACCTAATAAGGCGTACGGGAGCGATCGCGGGTAGTGATTCGACCCAGCTTCAGATTCATGGCGATGATGCCTTTTCTGGTCATGATCGGGAAATGCCTGATGATTTTTCGATTTATTTGATGACAATAAAATCGAAGATTATTTGGCTTAAAAGTTTCTGCCCCTGGCGATTCATTTACCCACATTCCGTGGAATGAGTCAATCCCGACCTCGGGAATTGCCAAATCTTTCGGAGTTCATGATACTAGCTACTACCTAAGTAGGATCTAGTACTAGTATATATAGGGAGCTATTTCCCTTGGGAGCCCTGAAGCCTCCTATCGCCACTAACGAGTCAATTCCAAAATTCAAGGCTTGAAGTTGTTACCCTCTCTACCTTCGACTTCTACCAAATGTTCATACAAAGCGCGCACGAAGAGAAAGACACTTCTGCTCTCCTTCAGTTCATTCGCGAGAATGCCTTGGGAATGCTGGTTACCGGAATTGACTCCTCCTTGGATTTTCTTCAATGTACTCACGTTCCTTTTGTGGTGGACCTACCCGGAGAGGCCGAAGAGTCTTCTCCCAGGGGCCGACTTCGAGCGCACATCGCCAAGCAGAACCCGCAAGTCAAAGGCATGATTGAAGCTCTCGAAAACAAGCCCAACGTCCTGGAACTTGAGCAGGATGTTCTCGTTGTTTTCAATGGAAAACATGACCACTACGTCACACCTAAATACTACGTCGAAACCAAGCCGGATTCGGGCAAAGTGGTTCCGACTTGGAACTACTCGGCAGTTCAAGTATACGGCAAACTCTCTCTTTATTACGACTCGAAAACAACCGAGGCGGGAAATTTTATCATGCAGCAGATGAAGGATCTTTCCCAGCATCTTGAAACGTCCGTCATGGGATATACCGGCGGAGAACGACCTCAACCTTGGAAAGTGGGTGATGCGCCAGAGAAATACATCGAGTTGATGCAGCAAAATATTGTTGGAATTGAAATTCGCGTGGACAAAATCCAGGGAAAGCACAAGATGAGCCAGGAGATGCGACCTGGAGACAGAGAGGGTGTCGTTAAGGGATTTGCAAGACTAGGAGGAGAGACAGGTAACGCCATCTCGTTCTTGGTCAAGGAGCGTGGGGTGCTACATGATGAGAAAAGGCAGAAATATTAGAAATTGCCACATTTAAAGGTCCGAATTTAAATGTGATCATGCAAAGAGGATTGCTTTGTTTGGTTTACCTTTTAAAATACTTGCGAAACAACTACGCGAACTTCTTGTCTTACATAGAGCCGAGAAATTTCAGACGGCAAAATTTGATCAATTGTTTAGTCGAAGTAAAGTAAAACTTTTATTCCAAGATAAACGAGATTCCCAATAGTTAGCCAATGAAGTGAGATCTTATAGGCTAAATTTACTAGTTGAAATTTGGTCATTAAAGCTAGAATCACTTTGCCTAGGAGTCAATATTTTGAGAGCCTTTTTTTCCCCGGTTCTTAATTCAATCAGTTGAAAATTGAAGAGGGAAGGATACCAACGGTGGCCAACTAAACAATATTCGTCTAATGGCATTCGAACTCTCGCACCTACTTGCAGCCACAGGTTGATCCAGGTGTAGTACCATCCTTATAGCATGTGCAGTAATTTGACCCTGGTACTATCATTCCACTGCATCCAGAAAAGCAGCAGCGATACGACCCCTCTTCACATCGAGGACAGTCTTTATAGGTGTCGCATTTTGTCGCCGTGGGCTCTGGCTGAGGTGATTTGCTTGTGGTGGATGTAGTAGAGTCAGCTCTGAGGCCAATGCAAAATGTTTGAGTTCCCCGTGCCCAGGCTGTGCTCAAATCGCACGTTTTACTACCATCAGCAGGCTGAAGTGAGTAGTTCCAATCGAAAAGATGCTGAACAGATATATCGAAAGTTTTGGCGAAAGAGGCACAGGTCTCGCCATCATTAGGACCTGAATGTGAGAATGCATTGCAATTGGATACATAATCCCTCGGGATTGAGGTAGGGCTCGCGCTAGGAGAGCTGGTTGTGGTGGTCGTACTTGTTGTGGTAGACTCGCTCGTTGTGGTAGACTCGCTCGTTGTGGTAGACTCGCTCGTTGTGGTAGACTCGCTCGTTGTGGTAGACTCGCTCGTTGTGGTAGACTCGCTCGTTGTGGTAGACTCGCTCGTTGTGGTAGACTCGCTCGTTGTGGTAGACTCGCTCGTTGTGGTAGACTCGCTCGTTGTGGTAGACTGGCTCGTCGTGATAATCTCACTCGTCGAAGTGAATTCAGTCGTCATAATATCACTGCTTGTAGTCGTTCCAGTTGATGACGAATCGTCTCCAAAATCCGTGATGATCGGATCAAACTTGAACCCCGGATACGAATAGAGTGACATAGTTTCCTGGCCCACAGTCGTGGGGCAATATAGATATTCGTATGAAGTCGAAGTGACAGCAGAGCCTCCGCATTGAGTTTCAACACTACACGTAGTGGAATAGCAAGACTTTGTGGTGATAGTGCTACCTGCAGTCGAAGTCGTTCCACCCAGGCAGAAGACATCGCAGTTCGTGAGAATTGTGCCCGTACAGGAGGGTGAGGTCGTTGTATCTGAGCCGTGGCTGGCTTTTTTGGCTTGATTTCCAAGAGCATCGGCGAGACTAGCCAGCTCGGTGAGTGGCCCATCGATTGCCGATGGCGGAGATGATCCCCCAAACACACTAGGAATTTTTCCTGCAAGGTCTTGTAGTGTTGAAGCGATGCCACCTGCAGATCCGCAGAATATGAGACATAGTCCTGGCAAGGATATACCCAGGCCGACTCCAAAGCTGTTTCCATCTGAAAGAAGATAAGGGTGTTAGTAGTTTGAAATGTGAAACAGGAATGGAATGACTTGCCAGTCTTTGAAGTCTCGATTGCAGCGATGGCTGAACTTGCGCTTGAAGCATCTGCTGGATTTGCAGAAAAGGAGTCGATGACACTTGAAGCACTCATGATGCGAGACGATAGCGAAATTGCAGATGCTATGGCTGCTGGGGTCGACATTGTGGTGATGGGATTCACAAACCCAGTCGAATCGGTGGTTCCAGTTATAGTACTTGTGATAGGGCCCTCGGGTCCATCCGTTGTGATAGTGGTTGTGATGACCACTGGAACCGTAAATTGAGAAGAAGGGAATGGATTGGGCGTCGCAGTACTAGTTGGGGGAAAAGTGCCCGAATTCGACGTTTCGGTGGGCAAAATGCTTGTGCCTGTTGAACCCGGGGATGGTGGTTGAGAAGGAAATGGCACTGGAGGAAATCCAGAAGTAATTGCGCTGGGATGTGTAGGAATCCAAGCCATACCCCCTGGGCCAACTACAATTGTTGTCAGCTCACCGTCGATACTCGTGGTGATTGTTGATGTGCTCGTCAATGTCGTCAATGGAGTAAGGGTAGAGGCAGTGAAAGTAACCTCAGTGGTACTGGAATTGTCGATGGCTGTAATTGTAATAATAGTACTCGTCGGTTCTTCGAAAGAACTTGAAGTTTTTGCTGTCGTCGGGCTGGGAGTCACAGTTGTAGGTAATGGACCTGGAGCTGCTGTGGTCGAAGGCACAACAGTGGGTGTAACGCGATGGCCTGGAGGCCAAACAGTAAAGACAACTCCATCAGTGGTAAACGCTGTGGGTTCACCCGTGAGAACTGGCAGTGGTATTATGTCTGACCCAATAGTTAGACCTCCTGATCCAATGATGACAGGCATGCCATTATTAGTGAATGTGGTGGGCTGGGTGGCAATTGTGTATATAGTCCCGTCAAAGACTACCTCTATTCCCTGAGCTCCCGGCCAGGTAGTTACTGTGCTCGATGTGGTGACTTCGCTCTCGGACTGCTGGCTAGTACTCTCGGACTGTTGGGTACTCTCGGACTGCTGGGTGCTTGCAGACTGATGAGGATTCCCTGGGTCCTCGGGATCTTTAGAATTTGCATCCGGAGACAATTTTTGCACGAGATGCGAAGATTCACAGCTGCATTAATGATCAGTCTCGCTCAACCAAGTCTTATCAAGGCCCCATTTGGCAGGAGTTTTAAGAAGAATAAACATACCTGTATTGCGTAGGCAGATAACAGTCTTCGCCGCAGCGCAGCGTGGGAACGCCATCTATCACAGGACAAAGGAACGAGTCCCAACACGTATAAAGCGACTCCAGATAGCACTGGATACCACATAGCAAGGTAGGTACTCCATCAAGTATCGGACACAACTGGTTACCGTAGCAAGTATAGTTGCTAGGTATGTATGTCTGACCACCACAAATCGAAGACGAATCCTGCTGGATGGGACTGTCAGATAGCACTCGATCCGAGTCATCGTCTGGATTGCTTCTGTCTTCTTGTGGGGGCCAGTAGTCCTCATGGACTACGCCCTTGGGGAAAAGCATTCGGCGTCCCTCCAACGTAATATCGATGTCAATTCCCTGGAAGATCAACCTGGAGCCTCGATTTGTAGGGGACCCCCGACTTGCCCGGTGATCATATTGAAAGAGAGCCCTTCCCCTTGCCGTTGTCTCATGGCGCTCGTCTTGCCCATCCAGTGCCTGGTAAGAGAAAGCACTGGCATCGACTCCAATCATTTCCCTGACACCTACGATGAGCAGATCGACCAGATCTTGGTATAGTAGCCCATCAAGGTAGTTGACATTTCCATCTACATCTGCCCCATTTACCGCTGCTGCATTCTCCTGGTTTTGAGGAGTCAGAATAAATGCCCGTGTTCCAAGTTCTGGTAGAAAGCTGGCTGTGTGATCTGCCAATTTCTCATTCTGATTGACTTCTAGTTTCTCATCGGGCCAGTCTCTTCCAGTTCTTAAAAATTCAATCACTGACGACTGGAAATTTTCATCGATGGTTGGAAATCCTCTTTCTTTTAATATGTCCTCATCAGGACTCCAAGAAAGGCTTTCACTGTCGGGAGTCAGTGGCTGTTCCGCGAGAGAGAGAAAAACTTATAATGAACTTGAACTTGAAAGGCTCACAAGAAATGTGCAAAGTAGATCGCTTCTCTAGAAACGATGACCAATATTGTGCAGCCACAAAGACCTTCAACCCCCATGTTGAAAGGAACATTGCCGAGTGGCCGGTACAATGCAGTGTTTTCATCTCGAAGTTTCCCATTGAAAGGATCCTTATCAGGTTCGAAGACCCAAAGGAAACCAGGTTTCCGAAATTCATCAAGCATCCATCGAATCATCTGTGGTTGGTCCCATTTCAAAAATGAAGCCGGAGTGAACCGTCTTTTTTGCAAAGCTGTTTTGAAGAAATTCCATGCCGATCGAAGGTATCCATGCGAGTCGACTTCTAACGATCGCTTTCGCAGCGCTGCTCCGGCGCGTATGCTAGCCCCATTGCATTTTCCGCGGCAATATGGAAATCCAGCAGAGTCCCGTCGAACCAGTTGATGGCTTGCAATATCGTTTCATTAGCTTATCTAGGAAGGTAGGAAGTGGCTATCATCACTCACGTATCTGTTAAGATTGTTTGATTCGAAGTAATTGTTTGGATCTTATCGACAAATTTAAACCTGGCCAAGATGTTAACAAAAGATGAACTATATAGTGGTTATGGATTGAAATGATGATTACCTTCCCTGATCATTGACAAGTGGCTCGCGAGAGACGACGAGATTTATCAGTACTACTACTCCTAGTAACACGGATAAAAAATTGAACTTGAAAAAAATCATGTTTCAGGCCGCTGTGGCTTTATTTCTTCTGCCAAAAGAAAACTTGAAAGCTCTATATCACCATTAAAGCAACAACAGGATGCACCCTAGCTATATAACATTACTTCCAAAGTTGAACATGCTCATTAATCTACTACATTACTCTCGCAGACATCGAGTTCCAAGGTTCTCAAAACAAAATCAAATAAATGCCAAGACCTTTTCCTTCAGCCCCGGAGCTTGGCCATTGATCCTTCTCGTATTGTACCGTCGGGGCGACCGTTTCAACATGAGCAATTCACTAAGGCGCTGATCTCAGCATGGCCTTGCAGCTGCCACTTGACTACTACTGGCTTAGTACTTCGGAGAAAAGTCTTCTTTTGCAGGAATACAATGCAAGTGTTCTTCTTTAGCAGTCTCGAGTCATGCAACTGCCATGTCATAAGATTCAACAAGCCTGCCCAAAAACCGGACGTCTACTTTGAAAACTAAGCTTATCTCACTCAAGTCGAATCTTATGTACTGTTTTCAACCTAACTTGGCTCTTGGAGGGATCTAGAATACGCCACAGACCCTGATCAAGGACAAATATCACCAATCCCGCCAGCAGTATGACCGCCTATTTTGGCCATCTTGTGCAGATGGGTTAAAGTGGCTTCGGAGACCAATATCAGGTATTTGATGTCATCCAGACCAGAGGACTGGCTTTTCTAGGATTCAAGTAGCTCGGGCTTGGCTGCCAGTTCCCCGCTTATGAATATGTCGCTGTTTCTTCAGCGGCTGGACGTCCAGACAATCCTGATGTTACTTTAATCTAGTAGAGTGGTATGCTACGCCCCGTTTCTATCTCCTCTGGATTAAGTGGTGGCAGTGACCCAGGAGTTGCAGATGAGAATCCAGCCGTGTCGGGCACCAGAGGCTGGCCATTCTCTTAGTGGGAGTCTCACATGTTGTTATATTTCCTTTCTCGAAAGAGGTTAGTAGCTCTTGGAGTCAGTGTTGTCGGTAGTATAACCAACAACTACGGAATTCATTGGATAACATAAAAATAGCGCCTAATAACTAGCACTTGGGGTAGTACTGTAGATTAGAAGCTACAAGTAAGTACTCGGTTGGGCTTGGGGAAAATTTGAAACCCAACTGGATAATTGACTCTGGGTTGCGTATCGAGATATTACCAGCGGGAGCCTCAGACCCAAAATATCTGCCTGAACGGCAACTTGAACTACTACCAACTACTGAGTTGGTGGTTCCTATCCATGGATGGAGCGCCGTCGTTTGACATACTAGTGCCCCGCACACCGAATTGGGAACCTTGTACATCGGTCCACCCGGCAACGGTCTGTGGGCTTCTCCCCTTGGCTTAGCATAATCCAATGGCAGTCAGTCTTCATACAACTTGCTATCACTACCACACAATGTAATAAATACTTCTACGTATTTTTAGTACCTACATTTTCATAGATAACTAGATGGCTCAGTGGTAGGCTATTTGAATTCACTATCTACAGAACAACCACAGGGAATCAGACGAACAAAGCGCAAGACAAAAAGAACCTCCTCACAACATCGGAAAGATCAAACATTTAGATATCCAGACAACCACACAAATTTCCATCCAAAAGTCGAACACAATTGGGACATGAAAGGAGAGAGAAAGATATGAGATGAAAACGCCATGTAGGTAGAACAAGGAAGAAGGGAAGCATCATAAATAATGCCATGCGTCATGAACAATAAAACAGATCAGATCAGATCGAGGGAAGAGATCTGATGAGGAATAGATGTGAGGATGTAATTATGTTAAGGAGAGAGGTGAAGAGGAAACGGGGACGAGGGTAGAGGGACAAACAAAAGTCGTCAGTAGAAACAGAGCTGGACGTATATGCATTCACGGAACGTGCTTTTCATGATCGTTACAGAGAAGAAAGGAAGGCAGGCCGAAGCCGAGCAGGCGCAAAGACGCACTCATGAGGCTCTCTTGCCACCGCAATCTGGGATCTTCAGACCATCCTTGATCTTACGGCCGGAGTCCATCAGACCCCATTTGTCTTCCCAGTTTTCATCCTTGGTGTTATACTGAATTTTCCATGGCTCGTCGAAGGCCTCGAACCTGTTGCCTTTGTTAGTCATGTTCCCACGTGAAAGCCAATTGCCGAGTAATATGTGAATTGTAACATACCAGAAGTAGTCGGTGCCGTTCTCCAGAGCCTGGCAGACCCAGTCTTCCATAAATTGATTCAAGTTGGCGATGCTAGCCACAGAGCCAGGAGTATCACTGTCGCAAGACGGGCTGTCACCGCAATCCTTGCCGCCTCCACTGGGCCAGCCTACTTCCGAGATGATTTGTTTCTTTTGCGTGCCTTTAGTTAGGGATACATCGTGGCTTTGCCAGAAGTCCCATGTCCACGCAGCCGCAATATCGATATTGACTCCTGCGAAGAAAGGGTGGACATTTGACATGACGGCATCGACGGCAGAAACTAGTTGTGAATTCCAGTTGTCACCAAGATCAGAGGTCGCGACATCAAAATCAATGCTGCGCTTTTTCAGCTCGCTACGGACATCCTTGATATAGCCGAGCAGGTTTGTCTCTGCTGATGACTTGTCTGAGCCAGCACGGTATAGAGCTTCGTTACCAACAATCACGCCGTTGAAAATAGAGGTATCCTTGGTGTCGTCGAGAATCTTATAGAGCTGATCGAGCTGGCGTTCCGTCGTCGTCTTGTTCGTGTCAATCCAAACACCCAACCACACTTTCATGTCGGTCAACTCGAGTCGATCAATCGCGTGCAGGACCATCTCCGTTTGATTGCAATCTGTTCCATAAAGTCGAACGTTATTGGTGAGTTGCGATAGAACAGCCATGTCGCGAGTGACGTTGTTCTGAGAGGGAGGATACTTGAGGCAGAGCGGGTACTGCACGCCCCAAGGTGTATAATCCATGCCCGGGAAGACCTTGTGCAAGTTGTCATTGTCCAAGAGTGCCTTGATCTCAGACGAATCCTTGTTCAAATCGCCATTTTTCGAAGAATCCGATGTAGCAGACTCGTTATTTGAGTCGGAGGAAGAAGAGCCATTCGAGTGTTTAGTTCCGAGTGTTCCACCGACGGCACCACCGACAATCGCACAGACAACAATAAATCCGAGAACAAGACCAGCTATCCAGCCGCGCTTCTTTCGTGCCGCTTGAGATGCTTCAGCTGCTGCTGCCTTCTCCGCAGCAGCACCGCTACTGCCACCACCCCCGAAGCCACCACCGTGGCCGGCTTCAAGCCCGCCACCACCTCCACCGGGGACAGGGTCGTAAGCAGTAGTAGCGGCGGCGCCCTTATTTGCGCCGAAGAATCCAAACATGCCCCCCAGTAGCAGCTCCGCCTGCCACACCAGCAGCCGCACCAGCTGCAGGAGCAGCTCGATTCCGGGACTGATGCGCGTAATCATCGTCATCGTCGGCAATGTCGTTGGGGTTGATATCGGGCATATTCGTGCTATATTGCGACTGGCGCTGGTAGGGACCATCGCTCACGAGATTGTTCGCTCCATACGAACCAGGATACTGGTCAATCATACTGCGGCGATTGGCACTGGTCTCACTGAGATGAATGGAAGATTGGCCGGGGGTCTGCGCGCCTGGTGGAGCGGCCGCTGCACCGAGGGCCATGTTTGAGCCATAGGAGCGCTCGGCATGAAGAGACTCGGCGCTGGTGTAGCCTTGTGGCACGTAAGGATTATCGGAGCCGGTGGTGTGGTAGCCTCGTTCGGCGGGGCCAGTGAAGTTATCGTGGTGATCTTGATCCATGGCGCGGACAGCGTCGATGCCGCTGAGACGATCGTGGGAGTTTGCGACGCCGAGAGCAATGCCGCTAATACCGCCGCCGACGGAAGCTGGGCCGAGATTATCGACGCCTGGGGTGACGGTTGAGTTGTTCCGGTCTGGGGCGTAGCGATGGGACGAAGCGGGAATGTCGGCGTTCATGGATATTGGTTGTGGTAAGTTGAAGGAGAGCAAAGAGAGGGAGAAAAAGAAGACGCGAGGAATGGAGGAGACGCGGATTGGCCAAGCAGAAAGGGAGGATAGTCAAGGATCAGAATGTAGGCATCGCAGGCGCAGATCCACGGTTCCCGAGATGAATGGAGGAATGGGTAGGTGGGTCGAGGGGTTATAAAGGCACAGTAAAATGTGTCAGGTTGATAGAATTAATTCGGAATTAATTCACGACGGTTTCATGGGGGGAGAAATGGAGGAAGAGGATGAGAGTTGAGGGATTCAGATGTGAAAGAAAGAGAGGGAGAGCACAGCGAAGAGAGAAGGGCACGGGCGTGAGAAAAAAACACGGGGTGACCGGGGAAACCGCAGCCGGCCAACTCAGTACTGGGCGATTGCCTGGGTGCATCAGCATCAGCACTGCGCCAGCATTAAGTATTGCAGCTTTATTAGTTTGGCTGTCATGTGTTCTGTCTATAATTCAATGGAATTACTTTCTTTTCTTTTTTTAATATATGTCTTTAGATACCCCACACTGCATGACAGTCAATAACTTGAAATACAATTCAATAAAAGGGTCCGGTCGGACCCTGAAAAGGGAAAGTGGAAGGAAATGTCGCATGTGGGGCGCCCTATTTTTAGTGCAAAGACCCTTGGTCCACTCGGGCAAGATCCATGGTTGACCTTGCTAGTACCTAGGTATAGAGTAGACATTATTTACTCTCTTTATTTACTATCGACAGAGATTTGCTTTTACTTTGACATTTCTAGAGTCCTATAACAACTGATCATATCTCGTATCTCATAATTGCTAAGACCATATCATATCATGTCATATCCCAAGAGAGCGCCACATTCCAGAGCCCCACGGACCATCAATAAACATACGATAGCGACTGACATGCCACATCCACGGATACCCAACATATGGACAACCCAGACAACCTTGAAAACAACCAGACATAAAACACAAAGAAAGATCAAGATAATAAATACTAGTCGTATCCCATCTCATCCCATCACAATCCACCCACCTACCCCTCTACCTCCTCCGCACTCCGCTGCACTGCCGACCCCATCCGGCCCGCCCGCTCCAAAAACCGTCGCTTGCCACGTCGAGTATCAAAATGTTCCGGAATCTCTGCTGGATCTTGTCCTGCCGCTAACATCGAACTGCGCATTTTATTGCGGTAAGCGTCCACTATGTTTCAATCCCAAAGTTAGTTGAGGATATAATGGTCACGAACGCGGCAGACCTCGGTTTCCGGTGAGACACGTCTCAGCCCTTTACGCCGCACGTGGGAAGTGCGTGCCACGCAAGGAGGACGGCTCGGCTGCAACTGGAATGTGCGGTGTCGAAGGAAGAGCAAAATGACAGAGAGAGGGAAGAAGGAGAAAAAAAAGAAAGGAAAGGAAAGGAAAGGAAATGGGGGTTAGAGAATAGGGGTAGGTTCAAGGGAACACGCGACAAGGGAAGAAAGAAGGAGAACAAAGGAGAGAGAAGTCAACTTACACGACTGCTGCAAGAACAGCATTCGACCCGCAAAAACACGACTCTGGCTCCAACTCAGTCGATACCCCAGATCGTTCAACATGACCTCCTTCCGATGTCCCCGCCGCGAAAGCTTAGGCACAACAATGTCTCGCTCGCCATCCAATGAGGGCGCAGGAACCGTAGTTCTTCCAACCGTCAACGCATCGTCATCCGCGACTTCCGCGTCATCACGGAAATATCGCTTCGACGGGACGCTCGCCCCAGGTGCGTCTTTCATCTGCACCGGGAAGTAGGTGCGCGGGTAGACGGCGTTGAGCTTGCGGTAGGAGTCGGGTAGATCGTCCATGTTGATCTTATCCAGGCCGACTTTCACGCGAACGCGTGAGCCTCGCTGGGGGTCTTCGACGAGGATGAATGTGCGCCGTTTGCCACCAGGGAGCTGGCCGAAGAGGTCCTCGTTGCTCGGGCTTTGCTCGTCATCTGTGTCTGCTGTCGCAGCCACTGCTGGCGCCTCCATACGGCTGGAGGTGGCGATCTCTGGGTGGCGACTCATCGCACCCAAGCCACTGTCGCGAAGCATGGGAGGCATGGATGGGCCAAGGGAACCGGCGCCAGCGGGCGTTGGGAGAATGTGCGGGTCGTGGAAGATTTGTGCTGGGCGAATATCGGCGGCGGCGAGAGGTGCGTGTGGGAGACGGGCGTTCTCCAATAAACGGTGAGCTCCGTAATCTGTAGTGCCTATATAATTGGAAATTGAAAGAGGGCGAGAATTAGCCTACGCTGTACTTCCGGATGGAGGGCAAGGATGTCGAGATCCACATGAAAGAAAAGCATCAGAGCAATGCGCGGCGGTATCAGATGACAAGAGAGAAAACGTAGGGTATGAAAGAGCTGGAATCGACGCAGAATAAGATAATATGAAGCATAGAAAGGAAAAACAAAAAGAAACAAAAGGGGACACCGGTAAAAGCTCAGATAAAATCGCACCGTGTCCCAGACCAAGTAGACGTACATCCCTTTCTCATACACAACAGCCATTAGCAAAGGAAAAAATTCACATATACACGTCTCACATCGAAAAGAAGAAAAAAGACAGATAAAAGCTGATAGGGATATAGGGCAGAAGATATGAGTATCACCCATCCATCAAATCCATATAAATGGGAACAAGGAAAGGGTAGATGAAGAATAGGAAAAGAAAAACACAAATGAATATAAAAGCCAAGAAGAAAGACAAGAAGTCACCGAATTCTCGCCGCGCATGTTGCAAAAAAGAAACATCGACGGAAAGAGAAACGCATCAGATCTGGTGAAACATACCGCTGACTTCCTCAATCTTAGGGCTGCCATCTGGTTGAGCGTGATGATGATGCAGCTGCGGGGGACCCATGCTCATAGGACCCGAGATATTAGAGCGAGAATTGGGAGGTGGATGTTGCATTGGAGGAACAGCGATGGGAATTCCATGAGGGATGGGGCCAGGCCCAACAGGCGCCATATGTGGAGGAGGGGCTGGAGTAGCAGGAACTGACTGTCGGCGGCTGAGCTTAGCCTGTCGGCGAACTCTTCGACTGCGAAGGCGAGGGTCCTGGTTGCTGTTCCTCCAGCTATCGACGGCGCGCTGGATGAGGCCGCGCTTACCTCGCAGAGCCGGATTCAAATCCGCTAAGGCCCAGCCCACGGCATTGCATTCCGACTCGTAGACAAGACGGTTGCCCTTATAGTTGTCTTTGTTGCAGCAGGCGCGGGGGTACACGCAGTTTTCCGTCTTGAATTCTAAGCTTAAGCTGTCCACGTTCACCGACTCAACGTCACACCGGATTGTATACTCCATCTTCACTCGGTCCCGCGAATACTCAAAGGCTATCCATTGCACGCCGTTACTGTCTTGTCGTACAACCAGAGGAGTGGTGGCTGGAATGGGACCTGGTGCTGCACTCGAACTGGCACCAAGAGGCGACTGAACAGAACCTCCTTGGAGACCAGATGTAGGTGACGAAAGAGGCGGGTTGAGCATTGGCCGCTGGTTGGATCCTGACTGTGATGTTGAATCCATCTTCATGACTGGACTGCCGGACAAGCCGGTGTTGGGTGTGTGTGAGGGTTGGTGTGGCGGCATCTGCGCTGTTGTTGTCTGTGGTGGCATCATCATAGACTGTGTTGTGAGAGCATGCGTTTGGGGTGAAGGATGTGTCGCATATGGCGATGGCTGGACGGGGTTGATGGGGGAGTATGGCGGATATGCATACATCTGGGGCGCCATCTGTGGTGACTGGGTATAGAGATTTCGACCATGCTGATCATGCGGCTGTGAAGCTACCGATGCTGGTGAATTGGACTGGGGGGTGTGATAGATTGGTGGGTAAGGCCTCTGCATTTGAGCGGTGGTGGCCATGAGGTCGGAGGATCCTACTCTCGGCGCGTCAGTTCGATTCAGTAGATACCCCGGCATATACGCTAGGTGGCATTTGGAAAATGCGTGTGAGCCACCACGGGGCAATAATAGAGTGATAAGACTCAGGGACATACCACTGGAAGGATACTGCGCGGATGCAGTTGCTGAAGAATAGGAAGATGGATGTGTAGAATAATACGGTGATTCCTGAGAGGGTGGTCCGTATGCAGCAGCGTGATGTAATGCACCGTTCCCTACAGACTGGGACTGGGGATAAGTGCTTGGAGGAATAGAGACTGTTGAATGAGTTGGTGATGGGAGACCTCTAGGATTTTGGTAGTGTTGGGTTGAATGGGGATGCTGTGATTGAGAGTGCTGTAAGCTCGGGCGGTTTGAACTGCCGAGTCGAAGCTGTGGCAAAAACACATATCAGTAAACTGACACTGGAATCCAAGATGATGAGAGGTGTTCGGTCCTGCAGGGTAGTACAACAACCTAAGAACGTGGACATGGACATGGGAGGGCAGAGGAGACTTTCGAACACAGCCAGATCTTCCGAGTGACGACACAATCGCGGGGATTCGAATCATCCAAGAGCAGAGGCTGATCTGGAGTGGGCCGAAGAAAAGAGGAGGGGGTGGATGACAGGGAAACGATGTCTCGAGCAGGGATGGGCTTAGCAGCGGACCAAATGACCAGGGTCACAGTCGGGATGCGCCAGCGAGGGCCAAAGAAAACCATGGTTTTGTGTAGCCTTGTATCAGGCTCGATGCTGCGAGTGGCTGTTTCCTTCCGAAGGGACAAAGCACTCAAGCAGTGTCTTCTCAGATCGTTTCAACACAAGACGTGGCTTTCATTGTACTGTTTCTGTTCCCTGTTCCCTGTTTGCTGGGCCAATTGCTGTGGCAGCTTCTGGGAGAAAAGCAAGCGTGGCAAAAAAAGGCGCTAGTGCATATATCTTGACTTTCATATAGAGACATCTCGTGGGATCTTGGGTGGATTCAGCCTCATCATAGTGACTTCAATGGCGCAGGTGGAGGCGCAAACACTCTCGGTGGCTCAAATTGGGAGGCATAAGCCTTTTCTGGGGTTGTCTTGTCCATTCTCGCGCTGCAGAGAGCATGGCGGAATGCGCATAGCAGACAATGATTTGTCTGATGAGCCCAAATGTCACAGTGATGAGGCCAGTGGATAAATAATAGAGAGTATGGAGCGGGCGAAAGCGCAACACAAGACAGTTTGCGGGCCCATGCCCCTCCGATATAAGAAAAGAGACAAGATCTTGGAAGATTGGAAATGATATTGTAGTAGGAAAGTCTTTGCGACGCATTTCTCATCCGTGGAAAACGAAATGGCAAACAACATAGTTGAGCATCGCAACGATGACACCAAAAGAAAAGCGAGTACTCACAGAATCGTCAGGCGGCTCTTCCTTGTATCTTGAGACCGGAGCAGAGTTCAGGTCCGACTGTATCATACCGGTCACCGACCTCAATGGGCTGGGACCGAATTTCCGTTCGCAGAAATGGAAAGAGGTGATCGGGAGTGTGTGAAGGGAAAATTGGATAGGGTAGTAGGAGGGGGACAATGAGGTTTGACAAGAAAAGAACCAGGATGTGAGTGCGAGGGTTTGGCGCGCGAGGGAAGAAACGCGCGTGGAGATGCCCGACGGTCTAGGGCAAATAGTAGTGGGCAAAGCCAAGAACAGGGGAGACGATCCGGCACTGAGGCTCTCCGCTGCGCGACACACGGCTAGTAACCTCTGCTCTGGGCTGGGGTGGATTCAGGGCACGATATGGGAGCGAAGAGGCAGGGTCCAGGGTCGTTTATTTAGCTGCACTGAGACCCATCCTGGCTCTGTTCGGGAGAGCCGCGGCGCTAGATTAGGGCGAAACGGGCAAGCCAAAAGAATTGGGGATGGGATTAAAAATGGAATGATGAAAGAAAATAAAAACGAAAATAAAAAATAAAAATAAAAATAAAAATCGAATATCCGGGATTATAAAATTGAGGGAAAATAGAGGAGGGGGGAGGGGAAGAAAAAAAAATAAAAGAGAAAATCCAATACAGGTTAGGCGCAGTGACAGCCAGGCAAGCAAGAGAAGTTGAGAGTATCAGGATTGTTCACTAGCGGAGACGGGTGTAATATTGAACCAGGGTGGATGCAGGAGGGAGATGGCCAAAGACTCGAGTCCGGTAAACATCCGAGTTTCAGTGGACTTTGATTCTTTAAATTAAAAGGGTGTCATCATCTGTCGTCTAGCCGAAAGCCAGATTTAAACGCTTAGGAGAGGATGGATGATGGTCGATGGACAGGCGGTAGGGGAAAGGAAATGATGTGCAGCATGCAGAAGACCTGGTGCGTGGAAGGGAGACTGTCAAAGAAAAGTACTCCGGGTAAGAAATAGCCTTCCCAAAACGAACAGGATTTCTGATAAATAAAATCCAGAAAATTAAAGACTGGCTCAGGCAAGACTAAGTTTCGGTGGGGAAATGGAGGAGAAGTCTCTCGATGACCGGCACTCGGTTTACCTATGGTGGGGAACGTGTCTTTGTTTTCTTTGAGTCCTGGCAGATCTATACTCGGTTCGTTCCAACGGCGTGAGATATCTCCAACAAACTTTTTTCTCTCTCCTTTGGTTCACCCTACTCTCTTCCAGTGCCAGCCGGTCCTCCGGGGCGAGTGGAGAAGTCGTGATACGCTGGGACAAACTTGCAATAAATGCAGGCTCATCTACGAAGCAGATCTTGACTATGGATTGGTGATCGACCGAAGGCCAAGGAGGACAAATTTTGAAGGCAACGTAGAATACAAATGAATAAAAGAATAATCATAATAATAATAATAATAATAATAAATCTAAAAAAGAATAAAGGCCCGCTAGTGACGTTATTCCTACTACGCCGTGAGATTGGAGATTGCATGTCCCCGGCAGGATTCATCTGCGTGAGTATTCCTTACTAGATAAAGCAAGCGTAGACATAATAAATCAGAAGAAAATAAAGATCTTAAATCCAAAAATGGAAAGGGAAAAAAAAGCGCAAACCTTACCCATGAGGAATCCGCAGGACGACGTTCATCGGCAGCACTGTAAGTGGGCGAAACGACTGCAAAGGAGCGCCGTGCGATCTAGTTTAGTCTAGGGCTGGGAGATTAATGGACGGTGCCTATGTATGTTTGCTAATGACGTTAGCGTTGGCAGATCGGATAGCATCAAACTGGTCCACAATGCGGTCTAGATGTAGTACTCCTAAGCATGACTGGCTTTCGGTGGATCTCGGAGTGGATGAAGGAGGGGTGGAGCTGCTTGAACGGAGGGCGGGAGACAAAGAAGCGGACTAGAAAGAAAAGAAAAAAAGGTGCAAAGTCAAAATGGTTGACGTCGGATCGTGCAGAGGCGGTTTCAGGAACGCGTAGCGTATTAGGCTGAGCGATTTCACGGAGTATATCGAGCTGATCGGCAGATAGACGGAAGCGACTGGGTCCGATCTGTCTTCTCCGTACGGAGTACCAGCGCTAATTATGGAGTACGAATCCAGAGTAGTTTGGCTTTCGTACGGATTGCACAGTAGATATGCAGTAGATGCAGGCTTACTGCCACGCGCCCCACCAATGAAGCATGCGACCCATCGGCCCCGCCCCCCCGTCTAAATAAACTCGAAACAGCTAACGGCCGCTTATCACACTTTCCTTGGCCCGATGTGCGTTCGTGAGTGGCAGGAAGAGTGCTGTGTAACCCTGGTTTGATTCCTCCAGCCTCAAGCTGATTCCCGAACTCCCCAGCAGTGCAGATGACCGGCACATCATACGGGATCTGTTGCTTCCCGTTGGTGTGCGGGGACATGACAGTGTCAGTGGAAGTGGCAGCAATGGTCTTCCCACGTTCAACATTGCCTAGTATTGGTTGTGAAGATGGTCAAGGCCAATGTGGACGCAGGTTGTCCCCGATGCGGGCCTCCACCCGACCTAGTCCAAGCTTGGCGTTCGAGAAGGCGTCGGATTTTGCTTTTTTGAGGGGGGATTTTTCCTCAAAGTGTGTATTTTTATCGAATTAACCATGTGAATGTCCGAAATGCTTGACTTCAGGAGACAGCGACGCTAAAATGGGGATTCGCCCATCTCACCGGCCTCAACTGATGCTCCGTCTTCCTTAAGGCGGGAATAATCGGCTGAGGCTCAAGTGGAGTAGGATTAATTTGAATCAAGAGAGGTGGTGAAATATTGGAATCGCAAGATAGCTCCAGCGCACGAAGCCCGCAGAGTGCCTAGGAACTCCCACACTCAGACTCACCGATGAAAGGAAAGATGGTGGGTGGGTGTCATTTGTTGGCTTCCAGAAGCAGGCTAGTACTCTAGCACTCCGGGAGGGGAAAACCATAAGAAGAGCCATTCATAATCCAGTTGAGAATGTTGGCTTGGCCGGTCCAATGAGAAAATAAGCAATTCTGCCTACCCATTGAGACTGAGCCTGAGTCTGCTCAGCCGGGGACTTCAGGAACTCTCCAAACTTAGGGCTAAACCAGCCGGTGCATGGATCCAGCCCCCCCTTTTTTTGGTCTTCTCTTCTTTATTCCTTTTTTTTTATTCGAATTTGACTCTCTGAGGGCCGAGGGAGACGGTGTCATTCCAGACTCTCCGCTTATTGGTGCTAGGGTCGTGATCGATGCAGGGTGCATGGGTTGTCGCGTCAAGCCGTACCCGCACCGGGTCCCACCCTTTCAGCTGTCTTCGTTAAGATCGTCCCCGACTCAGGAAATGATGGAGGAGCCAGACCACGGTGCCATATCCACTTCGATCTACTAGCATGGATGCAAAGACCACCCATCTAGACTGCATCGAGTATAAGGTGTCCCCTCCGGCACGAGTCTCCGCTCTCTCACTCGAATCACTGGCCACGCTGGTTTGGCCATTTCCACGCAAGGAGCACCTTCATTTGCCGCTGACAGCATGCGAGCAGCCTGCCGTCGTACCGTTCCAGAAAGGTTTCACGGTTGGAACAGCGATCGGATGATGAAAAGTGTGGAGGAAGAGGAGGTGGAGGTCGCTTCCGCGACGCTCTCTCCAACCCCTGGGCGGATCAGGTCAGGATCCTCTCGATTTGCTCTGCTAAGAGTGCCACTTCCGCCCCGGATCGACTAGGGATGTCGGTTGAGCACGCAAGTCCAGGATTGGGCATTAGCTCAGGCTTGCTTCCCGTTGACTACTGCGACTTGCTGCTGCTTGCTGCTGCTTGCTCCTGCTTGCTCCTGCTAACCACTCCGTACTGCCCCTAAATCAAAGTCAAATCCACGAAATGCCTCAACTCCTAGACTCAAAATCGCCCTACCCCCGATGTTGATCTAGCCTCGGGATACGTCATGCGCAACAAACAAAGAAAAAGGCCGGTGCGCCGCCGTTTGAATATGGACCTCCCTCCTTAGTTTGTCTTAGTGTCCTCTAGAGCCTGCTGGCCGCCGAGTTCTGGCCCCCGTGGCTGAACTGCGCAAGCTGCATCTGCATAGAAAATTCACTATGACTCGACATCGGAACTGGCGGAGATTGGATGTTGGAAACGACAGATTGCTTTTACCTTTACCCTTCTGAGAGTTCGTAAAGTTTTCCCCTTCCTTCTGCTTCCCGCCGCCATACCATAGGTATACTCGACGCCACACTTTAGATAGTCATTCCAGATGGGGTACCGTCGGGGAAAGGCTGGCTCTGCTTCTAGATTTATCGGGGTGCCGTGCTCCGTGTTGTTTTGGTTTCCAACTCTTGGGCCCTTTGGGCTTGCTGCTGCACATCTGGTTCCCAGCGGGCCACGTTGGGAACTGAGGACCGGGGTTCCCGCCCTTGCTGCGTGCAGATCGCGCTTGGGGCTGTTGATGCTGGTAAGTATACTCCGTTCTAGAGAAAAGACGGGGACGGCTGCTTGAGTTGTTGATCTTAGCCTCAATCACTACTCGCCTCTGTTCTTCCGTATACCCCTTTAGCCTGTCAATGCCCTCCTGTGCTGGATAATACAGGCAGTCATGCCCGGTGGGGTCGGCAATCGGCAAAGCTGATCGCATCGTGCAATCAATCAATGCTGAGTCTCGCTAATCTTTCTAACATGGGTCAAGGAATCCTTGGCGCCAGCTTCAGGAGATTACCAGAGCCACCATGTCTGCCTGGCGTCAGTGTCGCGTCATAGATGTATAACCGTTTCTATTATAATATTCCCCATAGAATGATCGACTATGTTTCCCTCGTAATTTCCAATGACGGTGACGGTGCTATAGTACACTACACTATAGAGGGGAAATATCGGAGGACACATTTCGGATCTAGTGTAGACGCGGTTCGGAGGGGCAATGGACCATGGGCTTAGGCAACATTGCTAGTAGAAATGGGCCAATTGATGTCAATCTATCCGTACTTCGTACTCGGTAATCTTTTGGACGTCTCGTCTCATTAGAGATCGACATTTTCCACCCAACACTGTCTTACAAATTTGGAGGATCGTTAGATCCTCGAGATCCATACCCAAGTAAACCTCTAATACACCAGCATGTGAATGCGCATCAACTCGAAATAAAGTTGTCGCACCCTTGTCGCTGAGCACCAAAATATCGCCTACCCCCGGGAGGATCTGCCCCGGGAAAAACGCCAACGGCCGAGCGATTTTTAGGGTTTGGATGGGCTCGGAGGATGGGCCACGCGGGGGGGCCAGGGGAATCCCTGGCTATCAACCTCATTGGAGCACTATCAAATGCCATTCTCCGCACTGAGGATCGTCCTAGTACGCAGATAGCAGTTCCGGTAGCCCTCGGGGAGAGCCAAAGGCTGAAGTGATGGCCCCGGTTGGCAGGCTAATAATTAGTTCGAGGTCCAGCCCGAGCCTTTCCTCCATCACACCCAACATAATGCAGCTTCAAGGCGAGTCTAAACTGGAGTGGCTAAGTTAGTTCAAGTGATTGCTTTGTTTGTTTTTGTTTTTGTTTTTGTTTTTTTCCCCTTCTTTCCTTTCCTCTGACCATCGGGCGGCTCTGCCCGAAGAACGCGCAATACAACCGAGAATGGCCCCCCTTGCTCTCTTTTTCGAACTTTCGTGTCTCGCTTCAGCCCAGATTCGCATGTGTCCCCCATCTCTTGATCATCCACCAGACGACATTCTTGTGAAATCGGGTCTTCCCATCCGGCCCCACCATCCGGATCCGAATATGGCCCACGAGCTCGACGGCGTGAGTGCCGAGACTCGATTGAATTTAGCGGAACCCCATATACCCACCTCGGGTATCGAAAGTCGGCCATCACAAGGATGGGAGGAAGTTGATTGGGCGAAATCCTCACAAAGAAAATGATAGTCATGGGAAACACGATGACCTCGCCAGACCGCAACAGTTTACATTTACACCGATACTTCTCAACCCGTAGAGTTTGTGAGCCATCGTTCCCGCGGGCGTTATCCTGCAGCACGCCGCAGTAGCGTGTCGCGTGGCCCTAGATGTTTCAGAATCTCGCCGCAGCACGATGCATATGCGGGCTAGTGGGGCACAAAGGGGGAAGTTCGAGCGGTCGATCGTGAAGCGAATCGAATTGATTCGAATCCACCTTCTCCTCCCCCACCCTCCTATGTCCACTTATCACTCTCGTAGGGCTTGAAGACAAAAGCACAAAGCACTCTCCACTTTGAATTAAACTAGACCACTATAGCGTCGAACACTACGTTATTACTCCTTACGGAGTAGTGCTCGGTCCTGCCGAGGAAGGCAGTTGTAGACCGTGTGGTGTTATGCTGTGCGTCGAACGAAAGGTCAGTGGGTATTCGTCGGGATCTGCGAGTCTCGCCAGGTCGTTCAAGTTGAACATCATGATTGGCGCGGGACAAATTCCGGTAGAAATTCGTGGCTTTTACTGGATGGAGTCAAAATATATTAGGACTGCTCTGCTCTTGCTTTCTCTCTCCTCCGAGAGTCTCTGGCTTTGCCAACTTGAACTAGCGTCGGCAGATACTTGCCCATGACAACCTTGAAACTTGCCAGTGACACCATCGACTAACCTGAGTGACCTATCCTAGCGCAAATAACAGAAGGGGCGGAGAGTGGAATCTCATTTCAATCAATCAACCAATCCGTGGATGCCCTATCCAATGTATCCAGCCGTCGATCATAGACAAGTTTGGTCTCAGTGCAGTCAAAGAATCAAACTGGGGACTTGAACTTGGTTCTCATCACACTCAGCCGCCACATATTACACAGTTTCTTAAGGCCGACAAGACATCATGATTCAATAACAGATTTATCCGTACGGAGTAGAAACCGGCTGAACTTGTCCTCGTGCCGATCCGGACGAATTCCCCTCCCAACTCGCACCAGTCATGGCCACGCAGATGATAGAACTTGCATCGATCTCTCTCAACGCTACGTGACCCGTACCATATTGCCGGATACTGTACTCCGTACGTAGAAGGTGCCTGAATACTCCATCTTCGCGAACCTTTTTTCCAACCCTCCCTCATTCTCCTCCCTGACTCGTTATTTCCCGGTCCCCCCCCCCCCAGAAGAGGAGAAAACATAGTAAATCTATTGAGCCTTGGCACAGTCATTCTCCCTTCTCACCCGTACTCCCCCTCCGGATCCATCAAAAAACAAGCCTCTGAGCTCAGATTGATCTCATCTACCTAGGTAGCCCGCCATGAGACTTCCAACCACCCCCCCCGCCCGAGCGGCCCACTTACCCCAAACGTCAATGCTTCCGCCAATACTGGTAGAGTATCAACGCTAGGAGCATAACCGTTATTGCGCAATGACCAATCGACAAGCAACTGCACTCCTAAACATCTCCATGAAACCGGATTGGCATAGAAAGGTGGCTTTCTTCTATCTGCTAGTGTAAACTTGATAGCCAAGCGAAGGTGGAGGTTGGAAGGCGTCCGGAGTGCGATACCGTCCTCGCGTGGTCTGGTAGGAAAATGACTCTTAGTCGTACACGCTATTGGGTCAGAATCCGGTTCTGCGTTCCCCCTTGAGTACTACGTATTCCCTGGTCTTGGCGGGCGGCATGGCTGGGTGGCTGGGTGGTCGGTATGGAGTATGGAGTACCTAGGTACATATGTGGTGAGAGACTTTGTATAGCTGAATGGAGGACGGGGTTATTCCGTGTCTATAGATGGAGAGCCCCGTAGAGTGAGAGCAAATGCGGTGCGTATGGTCTGCTTTGCTACGAGAAGACAATATCACTGGATCCGTGACCATAATTTGATATATAAATGAATCCGTAACCCTATACTACGTACTTCGGACAGCCCTGGAGCTTTCAATTATGACCAGGTGTGGTATATGGTTTGATTCTTGTCTCAGATTGAGCCATTTCTCCCATGAGATCTAGATCTTGGAGAACCCATTTGATTCCTTCGACTTGGTGGATCTATCTTACACCTGGGCATGTTCGAAGAACTTGCGAAGAACTCGGTAGCAATGCGCAAAATGTACATTCTTGGAATGCAAAATTTCCACGCTCCCTCCTCTTGTACATATCCCTTTCCGGCCCGTTCGCATGACCCTATATTCGTGTACAACACTGGAAGAACGCTCATCCACAAGATTCAGCATCCCTGCACAAATTTGATCTCGATGGCTATCCAATGACAAGCGAGAAACAGGAATTAGGAAGCCTAATGGAATCAAGAAAAACAGGTATCAAATGCGGGGGGCGGTTTTCCCTTCCGTCCACTTCTTTTTTTCTCTCTTTTTAGTTTATTTCTTTGTTCTCCGGAGTGGTCTTGACTTTTTGTTGTTTCATTCCATTTTCACTTATTCAAGTAATTGATTTTCTCGGTTCTCGACGACTCCACCCAATTTACGAAGATAATTCGTCCAACTTGATTTTCTTTGTTTGACGCCCCCCCGCCCGCGCCCCGCTTCTTCCCTTCAACATGATACCATCGAAGGATTCCGATCTTTCTGGCTTAATACCTCTCTTCTCAGTGGCCACGTGAAACATGCTAAGCTCGGCAATACGGGATATTCCGCTGTGAATCCTGAATACACGCGGGTCCACAAAAAAAGGAGTAACGGAGTACGGATGTACACACTAGTACGTACTCCGTAAATGGAAATGTAGTGGACGGCGCATGCTACAGGGTTGGGTTAGGAGAAAGTGGATTCGATTAAAGTACGGAACGGGCTGATCTACGCCAGCCGAGCAAGACATGGGGGCGATAAGTCTAAAACGCATCTTCTCGCGGGTAAATTGAACCAGGGGCTAGGCTGACTATGAAGTGCGTGTGTGTGTGTCTGAGCTCGGCTCCGCGGAGTTGAAAGGCGAGACCGAAGACCGAAGATGAGGATTGGGGGGTTCCGTTCCCCCGGCTGTTTTAGGAGGTTGGACTTAGGCTTGAAAAAGGCAACGTAACGGAACGAGGTCGGAAAGCGTTATCTCCGTTGGCCCTTGCTATTGGCCCCTGCTCATCTCTGTCACTCATTGCTTCAGCTATGGAGGTTAGTCAAGGCGTTGCTCAATTCTTGGGCCCGGTGAGTGACAGGAGTGTTACATTCTCAGCACACAAAGATACAAATTACGGCGTACATCTCAGCTCATCTCAGCCCCCTCTTCGTTCCTAGCGAATGATCTCCGGAGACGGGGTTGAAGAGATGGAGTCGTGATGAGGGGATGGGATAACCCGGGCAATCACTGCGTCATTGAGGGCTTGCGAGGGGCTGCTTCTTTTGAATCACACTCCTCTCTCTCTTCTTCTGGCGAATTGGATCACGGTGGGCCGCTGAATATCGCATGAAAGAAATGTTCGATTTGACTTTGGTCCCAAGACCGAGACAGATAAAATGTTTGCTGCTTGAAATGCGATGTTGCGCTCTGCTGATGGTGGCGCTGATGGATGGATCGCGTCTGCAGATGAACCTCGTGCAAGGCCCTGGCATTTTTTTCTCACTTTCATTTCCATCCTCTAAGTACGGAGTACAGTGACCTGCTTGCTTCGGCCGTAGCCTCTTTTTTGCCAATCTGTGTTGTTTTACCTCCGATGTTTTACATTTGACGTACCACATGCCCACCATGAGTATGTGCTTCTTGTTGTTACAATGCCGTTTTTTACATATTCTCGAAACCAGTTGGGACATTATTTATGTACTTCAACTATGAGATGCTAATCTAATGACCAAAAGACGTACACATCGAGGTCGCTGGAGAGAGGAACCTTCCATTAAATCGATTGACTACCTAGGTATCGAGGCAAGACAGTCTTAGACACCGCGATCATGTCCGAAGGAAAAAGAAAACACGCGACGCGTTGCCGGCCCCATAGTATGCCCGTCGATGCAATCCTTACGCGCGAAACTGGATCATCGTACATCGCGTGAGGACGTAGCTAAGTACGGAATATGGAGTATACAGACGAATGAAGGTACTAGTGTAGCGGAGCTGTGCCCAGTCCATGTATCTACTCGTCTTCTGTATGCAGACATTGCAGGACGTACTAGTACATGCTTGCCTACATACTCGTACCTATGTATGTACATGAACAAACACTGCGCGAGTTGCCCGCGTGGTCAAGTGTAGAGTGAGGTGGCACTTTTTTTTTTTTTTTCCGCAATCATTTTGGCGAATGAGGTCCTGGTGTACTCGATTTTGTTGCTTTTTTTCTTTTCTTTTCTTTTTTTTTTCTGTTGCGAACTTTACCCGACCGGTTCGACATGTGCGACATGTGAGATAGAGATCACTTGCTGCGCCTGTAGGTGCAAAGTCTTGATGGGCTGGACAGGTAAGAAAGTCGCGAGGGAAGAAGAAAAGGGGCTAAATGGCTTCATGCAGTTACTACAGGTGCAGATGGGTCGAGTTGACTTATGCTGATGGTCGCACAAAAGCTGAAATGGCATTTCGAGAAACTTTTGAACCTCGGGGGGTTTTTTATTGCTCGGTTGTTCTCTTGTGTGGTCCTGGTGAGGCGTCCAAGAGGGATTTCTACACGTTGCTCCCAATCAGTAAGAAATATCTTCCAGGATTTGGATTCAAGTTCTACTAGACTTCAAGTTGATTGCTAGGCGCTGTAAGTGGATGGCTGCTGGTCGTGTGCTACATGGCTTCCAGCAGCTATGAGAATTGGTCAAAAATGCTTCTTTCTTCAGGCTACTTTAGGCTATGCAGATGTAAATGCGAAACTTTCTATCATACAAGTGACGCAAGTCAACTTTAGAGGGAACACAGAACGGAAATACATAGTAAAGGGGAAATGAGAAATGTGAATCATCAAGGCTCGCAACCATGGGCTGGCGTGATCCTTCGACGGCGCTAAGGCGCCAGGCTGCAAATATTTTCCGAGCTCGGCAGATGAAGGTCCTTTTTCGTCGCCCCTTTTGCGATGTGAGATGAGAGAGTGGAGCGAGCAAGTCTCCTCTACGCCGGCGCAGCGGAAGGGCTCATTCTAACTCTCTCGGGCTCGGGGATGTGCATCTGGGAATGCGATGAATGGGGATGCGACGCATGGGCATGAGTTGGATGAGGATGCGTTGGATGGGGCTGCGCCGGATGGGGGCGCGTTGGGAGAGCAGGTCTCTGCTCTTCAACTGGGGGCGCTTCAATCTTCAACGGCTCGTCTCCTTCATCCTCATCATCGCTAGACGATTCAGCGCCACGGTGACCGCGGCGTTGATTCTCCTCCATTCGTCGACGCTTGTCCTCGATCTGTTCCTTATGGCGGGCATCTGTTGCGTACTTGGTGAGTGGCTGTCCAAAAACCGGATTCTCGAAAGTTGTTGAAAGAGACTTACCTCGGATCTCCTGAGTCTTCACAGCATACATCTGGACCTCGTCCTTCGACAATACCCTCAATACAATAACATACTCCGACCGTTCTTCATACCGCTCGTTCCCTGCGTCCAAGGCCTCCGGGTTCACCAATCTCCGATCGATCTTTGTCCACCGCGCGTCAGGCGGAATACCCTGCTTGTTGGCATCCTTCAGGGGAGCCACGCCCTCTCTAATGGGGTTGGGCTCCTCGGGGAAACTCTGGCGAGGGGCCTTCAGGATACCCCTAGGGGCAGATTCTGGCTCCTTTTGGGCAGCCGGTTCGACGGTGATGGGCTTTCTCACATCGTCTCTGCTCTGCGAGGGGGATGGGTGGGAAGACACACTTGAACGATGATCCTCCAGCATACGCTGGGACCGAGAAGACCGATGATGAGAGCGGGAACGGTCTCGAGGGTGACGCCTGGATCGCTCATCGCCGCTGCTCGTATCGGTACTGCTGTGTCGGCGACGAGGAGTGGCAGATGGTTCATGCCGGTACTTCCGAAGATCATCATCATCAGTGTATCCCTCAGAGTCACTCTCTGAGCGACGTCCCGAGCGCCTGCGGGGTCGACTGCGGTGGTGGTCGCTCGGCTCTAGATATTGTTGTTTCTTTTTCTCAGGATTCGATGGAGCTGCAACTTCGAGGCCTCTAGTGGTCAGGTCTCGGGATGAAGGCTTTGGAGCTTCGTAGTCACGCTCTGGGTCGTGTGAGCGTCTAGTTTTGTTTCTTGACCGATGATCGTAGTCCGACAGGTCAGAGTAGCCAGCACCCAAAGCTGCCGTTCCTAGTCCAGCTGTTGCTAGTCCAGCCGTTGCTAGTCCAGCCGTTGCTAGTCCAGCCGTTGCTAGTCCAGCCGTTGCTAGTCCAGCCGTTGCCAGGGCCATCTCACCATTGCCGTTATGGGGTCGCGGGGAGCGATCATCCCGCGAATTTCGGTCTTTATCGCGGTGCGATCGGCTATGATGGGAGCGACGGTGGGGATCATTATAAGACTCATAGCCATCATCCGAATCCTGAGGTCTAACGACCAACGACCGGTCATGACCGCTGCCCCTAGTTCGAGAAGTGTCCCTGGTCCGAGATGTATCTCTAGTCCGAGAGGAATCTCTGTGGGGTCGTTTCTCACGTTCGATTTTGTCAAATCCCCAGGAGGTGGGAGGAGGACCATGATGGCGCTCCTTGCGAGGCATATACTGTGGATGCTCATCCGTCACGTTCATACTGAGAGGCCGGTCAACAGAGGACCGGGTGGCCGGATGCCGGGGTTGAACAGGGTAATCTCGATCAAATTGCTCTCGTGGGTTGGTATAAGAGTAAGCATCGTACTTATCAATGTCATCACCCTTCTTGAGGCCATCGTATGGAGGGAATCGTCGGTGTCCGGGCGGGGGGTGGACTCGACGCGAGCCGTGAGATGCATGTCTGTCACTTTCGCGGGATTCTAAGCGACCAGTGTCGCTTGCATAGTCGGTGTTACTATAGACCCGACGGTGATGACCGCCATGGTGAGAAGGCGATTGGACGAGATGGCCCGATTCCGTGAGAAGAGGACTGGCAATCCGACCTGCGGTAGCCGATCGAAGATGGGAGCCCGAGGGCACTGCAATACGGAGCGGGTGATTATGCAGATCTGTTGCAGAAGTGGTGGTGGTGTTGCTACGACTGCGAGAGTGTCGAGTCTGAGGTTGGCTCTGACTCGAGCTGTGAGGCTGAATAGCATACTCTGTGCGTCTCTTGGAGTGACCAGAGTCACGGTATGTCTGGGAGGAAGTCGGCTGGATGTCGACAGTTGAGCGATGCCTGGGCTGGTAGCGGTGGGTACCATAACCAACATCTGAGGGGTAATAATCGTCATAGTCCAAGTGGCGTCTGGGGTTTTCGTAGGGATCGTAGGAAGCAGAAGAGGGGAGCTGGACCATGCCGGTGGAAGCCCGCGGGCCGGTCAAATGGCCTTTTCCGCCGGTTGGTGATAGATTGCGATGATATCCCATGGCTTGGGTTTGTCGTGGGATGGGGGTGGTCCAGAAACGTGGACGTGGGACTGGGCGCTGAAAAGCGACCGGTGGTGCTGACTGAGTCGACTTGGTCGACGCCGCCGCGACGGAGGCAGGGGGACGGGGCTGAACGGTCGGCATTAGGACTGTTTTCTTTGCAAAAAAGGACAATCAAAAGCAAAAGCAAAGCAGATCATCAATCTCGATGCAGATCCATGGAACACTCACAGAAAAGAGTCGATATTCTTTGAAGTATAAGTACGGCCAATGCGAGGCTTGAGCGATGGGGCCGGCAGCCGGGTGCGAGATGGAGCTACTGCCGGTACTCGGGGAGATTAGAAGGGGACAGGATGATCAATTCGATACGAAAGGAGATGGAGGGTGTGGGGGGAAGGAGATTCGAAGAAAAGAAGAGGAAGAGTTGAAACGAAGAAAAAGGGAGTTTCGAAAAGGAATGACGCAAAGCGCAAAGTGCGGGAGCCCCACTCGGGCAGTCACTGCAGTACAGCTATACTTGGTACCTATAGTATACTATAGCTAGCATAGCATAGTATAGTATAAATAAGTAAAGCTATAGCTATAGCTACACTTATTCTATAGCTATAACTATATTCTACATATACTGTACTCTGGCATAACACTGTCCAGCCCTGGAGGGTATACTGTATACTAAAGAGCCCCACTCACCCGGGCGTCGGGCAGAGAAGTCCAGGGGCTGAGTAATGTTTCCAGAAGGGATGATCTCACGGTGGAGCCGAGGATCATTTTGTGTATTTTGATTCCAAGGGTTTTAGGGTACTGTAATCATATGATCGGGTGAATTGGAAGTGATTTTGAATTACTAGTGTTGACAGAATACCCTTTATGGTAACTTGTATACTGATATCCTAGGTATACCAAGGTACTACCTTACGGTAAGAAAGACATGAACTATGGAACGGATCGATATCCGCCGTGCATCCATGGATCACATCTACCTTTCCCGAACTTCAGACATCTGGGAAGTACATTATTCTCCAGTTCATGCAATGCATTTCCAGAATCTACCCAGTGGGCAATGGGCTCCCAAATCCCACAATTCCACCAATTATTCCATCCCCTAAGATACACCCATTGACCAATCTCGATGCCCCTCTTCTAACCTCCAACCTCCAACCTCCCTGAAATAACTCCTAGTCCACTTCCAATACAACCCACAACCAGGGCCAATTTACTTCTCCACCAGGAACAACGGAATCAACATCCGCGGACCAGACTGCCCCGATCCTACCTAGCTATACGGAGTACACTAATTCCCATTACTCCGTACTCCGTATTCCGTAGAATGATCATCTTTCATCCTTGACTCGCTTCAACCCTACTCTACTCTGCCTCGCTCTGGTTAGAGCCCCCGCCCCGGCACTAACCGCCCCATCTTGAGTATTCTAGCCTACCACAACACATTCCAAGAGACGCATGGTGCATCACTCCCCGTTTTAACACCGTTTTGACTCCATCCGGCCGTTTCAATATCACTCTTCTGTATACTCTCACCCTCACCCTCGCCCTCACCCACTCTGCCCCTCTGCCCCCCCCCCCATTTCCCTTGCTTTTACTGCCCCTTCCCGCCCCTCCTCCCCCTCCTACCCCTCCTCCTGAGGGGCCGCGCGCAACATCGACATCGATATCCCGAGGACCTTTCCGTCATCGACGTTTGATCCACGCGGCACAGCGGGAGGGAAATCCCCGATGCACATGCAGGAAACTAACACTAGCCTGATCCACGTACCCTAGAACCGGGTCACCGATTCTGGCTCTGCCCTGGCTCAGCCGGGAGCCCTCTCTGCTGTTAGAAAGCGTACTATTGGTACGGCGTTCGCCGGCCTTTTTACTTTCCTGGTCTCCCCTCTGCACACCTAGGTTACGGTATAGAGCTCCGCATACTATTACAATGCTGGATCGGAAAATCTGAAGGGTAGGGCGAGTCTGATCTCTGCTCAGCTGCGTCTTTCATCATAACCCGCTTCCCTTTACCCGCGCCCTGCTGGCCTTGCTTCTACCCACATCCCCGACTCCCTCCGGTCCTGCCTACTGTACTCTATGGTCCACTTCTACCTCGCAAGCAATGCAGATGACGATCACTTAACCCCTGCCCTGACCCGACCCCTGACCAGCTCCATGCAGTCTGACGCCAGGCATCCGGCACCGCGCCTGCGCCTGCGTCTGCTATTGCTGCAATAGCAGGAAATGCCGTTCCACCCGCGCGTCGGAGCTATCGCTTGCGCCCAGGTTCCCAGATGCGCTGTTTACTTACCTGGGTCTATGGCTAGCAGTGAGCGATGAAGCGGTGAATAAAGAGCGCAATAAATCGGTCTTTTCACTGGTTGAGACAGACTTCGTCACTCTGCATAGCCGCTCAGTTGATTTTTGCTTCACTTGCTTAAGGGCAACGGCTACCTCGCCTAGAGCCCTGATGTGGATTTCGAGATTCCCTCACTGCCACGCTGCGAGCGTGGAGTGTCGATATTGGCTCGTGGGAGGATTTTTGGGTCCGGGGTTTTTAGTCGAGGGCTCCGGGTGCTGGTGAGGCCGATTATGATGGTTTCCCAAGGTTAGGGTGCAGTGCCCTCTTGGCTGGCTGCTGCTGGTCTATATAACGCCCATGGGCAGTCCATATCTACTTGAAGCCTTCCTCTCCATCTTCTTCGGTATTTTAACATTCAAGTCCTTGATTCACACTTTATTTCAAAGTTTCCGTGCCTTCGGCAGTACACTTAAGGTTACCACTTCTTTTATAACAATACAACTTGAACATTCTCCACTCAACTTTATCAGCATCATGGCCTATATCATGAAAAAGCTTCCCGCCCAGGCAGCCTGCGATAGCGCCGTCCCCTCGAGCCCGAGTCCCTTCACGGAACTGGAGGATTCCTCCAAGCCGATCATGTCTGCCATCCAAGTTTCCTCTACTCACGACAACAACTTGCAGGACAATGACCTCTGCGTCCACCGCGGCCGCCCAATCATCCTAATAGGACTCTCCGCGGGGCCGATAGTCAACGTTCCACTCCAAACAATGAGTGATAGTGTTTGGAGGTGCTGCAAGTGTACTGGCCTTGGCAATCCAGCTCTGTCCCCGGAGCGCTGTCCGCTTTGTGGCCATGCAAAATGCATATACTGCAACCCTGCATGAACGAATTCGATCTTTTCTATGCGGGCGCTTGGATTTTGGCATGGGTTTAGGTTTAGGTTTGGACCTGGGTATAGATCTGGGCATGGATATCGGCATCGGCATCGGCATCGGCATCGGCATTGACATTGACATTGATATTGACATTGGCATCAACACGGACACGGACACGGACACGGATAAAGGCGCAATATCATATACTTTCCAGTTATTCGGGTATGACACTGGCTGCTGATAATGCGCATTGGGACTGGAGCTCGACGGTATTCGGATCTGAATTCAGATTGTTTGATGCACCCCTATTAGTACTTTTGTTTCTTGTGATTTTTTCCTTGGGTCAGACCTTGAATGTTTTTTCTTTTTCTCTTGCTCTTACCTAGGTAATGACCTAGAAATACGTCGTTCCTTTCCTTGCGGCTACCACGGCCCAACATCTTCTATCGAAGTCAGGAAAGACATACACTCTTTTAACCACTATTTCACTACTCGAATCAACTATATCGATCGAATATGCTGGGATTTGCTCGAATGTAGATGTTATAAAGTTCACCGTGTATGCACCTAGGCTGCACGTCTACGTGTTGCTGGTCTATAATAGACAGGTACCCCCGCTACTAGTACCTTTGCTATGAGCTCAAGAACAATCGTCCGAACCAGTCATACGACTTCTCCACGATGTTATAACTTTTATTTTCAGGAATTAGCATTCTTTGAGTCCTATATCACTACAGGTATTAGTATCTGTATCTGTACCATGTCGCATGTCTCTCCGACGTCCCTGTGCTTATAGCTGCGAGTCGTTTTTCCTCGGCAATCCCAAAGTCTGGCATTTCAGTCTGGAGCAATCATTACTTTAACTTTATTTCATAGAAAGCCTTCTTGGCTTCTTCTCTTTAGGAAATCTTTTCCATCCAGCAACAATCTTGGAAGCAAAGGGTTCAAATGTAGAATTAATAGAGCGGCTTGTCGGTACATATTCGGTAGTAGGCTAGGAAACACTCCAACCACCTGGGCAGAACTTGAATCGACTCGGTTATAACCCTGTTCTGTAAATCGTTCCCGGTTCGCTCAATAATGTTCAAGTTGGAAGAGTACTAGCAGTACTCTTAGTATATAATCTGAGGTTCCGGGAAATTTTTGGAAAACTAAGTTGAAGTGCTCAACCATTTCCTCTGGAGGGGATGCCCAGTTGGGAGGTTAAACCTTGGAAGTTCGATGGAGGGACTGACTTCAAATCTGCTCGTGAAAATATGCAGCCCGAGCGAAAGAATTGACGAGCAGATGGATTTCGATGATGATTTAGTCATTGGCACTACTAGTACCTCAATCCAACGCCCGGTGATAATAATATCTCCCTCACAGGGCAAAGTTAAGAAGCGCACTCGGATTAATCTCGCCCGCCTCCCATTCGGATGTTCCATCGGGATCATTTGCATGCACTGTCCTCCGTATCCACTGGCAGTTCTTCTGCAAGCCTCAGTTCCCACTTGGGCGTAAGGCTGAGAAGAGCCCCGTGATGTCGTTAGCGCCTCGGCATGGGGTGTAGGGCACCTGGCAGACATTCTTGGATAGAACCCGTTATGTATTATTAACGGAAATGTTCCGAGATGGGAGTTCATTGCCGCGGTCCCGGTCCCTGTCCCTGTTGGTGATGGTAATGGTTACACGTCCCTGACGCTTTTCAAGCCCTACGCGTGGGGCGGGCTGAACTGGTGGAGATTCCTAGATTTACTGCATGCTTACTGCTTTGCCGCCAGGAGGGCCAAACGATTGGGATCTCACTTCCATTTGTTTTATTTTTACATATTTTCCAGTTTGGGGGCCCTGGGTTGGGGGCGGGAAGCATCGGTCGTGATAACGACATGCTTGACGTTAATACATAATGGGGAGAAGGATCGTGGTGACACTGAAAACGAAGTTTGGGGTCTGGTATGTTTCTATTATGGGAAGCATGTCAAGGTCTATGTTTATTGCCTCTGCGACTATATTTGGAATTCTGTCGTTCGAGGCCATTCTCGGGCGGAGGCAGTAATCCGGCCTCCTGTTTCAATCGTGTAACCACCGGGCCTAGGGCGAAGGCGCTTTCTTGGCCGCTATGGTCGGCACATGGGCTTTGTTTGAGCGGGAGGAACCAATCAATCATGTTGTGGCCCATCACTTGCTGTATGTTCTTGAAAGGGCTGTCAAGGCTGAATGGGTTCTCGCCGGGTTGGGTGTGGAGGATAGCAAAAACGTGACGCTCAGCGACGGCGTGCTCAGTTGTTTGTACTCGTGCTGGGGTAGATGACTCTTGAGGATATGTTACCATGCGAAAGGTGGGTGCCCAGGGCGAGTTCGTGACGAATAGTTGGGCCAATAGATGTTCAGGGACGCGGATGGCCAATGTCCATACCACGGATCGACGGCTAAGATTCTCGATGGTTGTGAGATTGAGTGAGGCGAGTTGGAGAGAACTCAATGTCATTCCGGCGGTAAAGAGACCGAAAAGGCCACTCCTATGGGGGGTTAGAAAGAAGAAAGAGCATCTCAATAAAGGGATGGCCACTTACAATCCGATGCAAACGCACCAATGCGCGTTAACGCTGCCAGTCTTTGTAGAGGTTAGAGGAGATGGTCAAGATGGGATTTATCGACGCGGCACTCACATTGCGCTTAATCTCAGCTGTAAAATATACAGAAACTACAAGTGCAAAATTACAGAATGTAGCTGTATAAAAGACGAATTGAATGAAGAACTTGAAGGATGTTTCCGACACCACACCTCCAACCCTGCAAGACAAGTCAGCGTTTGAAGATCCACGCAACAACCCTAATGAGATGCATACCAAGGACAAAAGTGATCCATTTTGCGAACACAACGATCAAGCTCACGGCAATGGTGCGATCGGTCGGCCTTGAATTGGCAACAAGTAGAGCAATAAGGCGGGCGTCCATCCTCCTGGCAGACAAAGACATCCTTGGTATAGAAGCTCTCTAAGCCAAATGAATGTGAATCAGAAGCTGTCGCATCGCCATTGTGGTGAACTCCCTGTTCTAAGTCTTCAGGCGCATCAACCTTCTCCGCGTCGCGCGGCTTTCTTGAGCGCCGGCGCCGGCGCCGCTTGTCTGACTTCTCCGAGTCCTCTGCTTTCTCACTCTGCGCGCGCTCCGGACCGACAGGAATGAGACCCGGGTGTTCGATGACAGTGTACAGTAGGCGAAGGTATGTCGCTATGAGGATGATTAAGAGGAGGTAAAATAAAACCAGGATGGCGGCGCCTGCGCCGACCCGAGGAGTGCGATTATAGGAGGGTAACGGAAGAAGGAGATAATCAACTAGTAACGGGCGGGTTAGCTAGATCAGACAAGTATGATGGAGTGACATAGGGAGATCCTAGTTACGCAAGGTGGTATTCCAGGCAGAAAAGATACTCACTGCATAAAGGTTTTGTGATGGCGTAACTGGCGTAAACGACGATGCCGAGTAACACGGGCGGGATGATTCTCGAGACCACCAGGTTGGCGCGTTTCTCCGCGTCGGGGCCGGCCATCAAAAAGTTCTGCCTCGGGTCACGATATATGATACATGGACGGTGGAAAGGGAGGGGAAGGGTATGAACGGGGGAGAAGAGGGAACTTGAAGGGCAGTAGGCAGAAGGGAAAGTTGCCGAAGTTCACGATGTTTCCAGGGAAGCCGCGGCCCCAACTGACGTAATACACCTTCCACTTCACTCTACATTTACCCTATACTCTACGATATAATTACTAGTATCCTTATAGTTATAGTCGCTACAGTTATACCTACTCCCTTGGAAGGTCCTTGCGACGATTACATCTCCCAGCAGATCATCCATTGACAAACAATGGCTTGGAAATGAATGAATAACTGAGGAAACCAACAGGTTGCACAACAGGGAGAAGCCTGTAAATGGATGAATAGAAATGACTTGTTGATAGAATAATTGAAAAGAAAAAAGAAAGAAAAAAGAAAACTAGCAAAACCCCTCATAGGAATAAATGAAAGGAAAATAGAAGATGAAATAAAATAAAATAATAAATAAATAAATAATAATAATAATAAAAACTAACAACCGGAACCCATTCCCAATCCCCTCCCATTCATCTCGCCAAACCGAATCGATGACTTAGGCAGCAGGGGCTTAGCCGCGACACATGATGAAGAATGACTCTTTTCCTTCGACTCATCGCGACTAGAAACCGTTGCCTGCAATCCAGATCCCCAAGGCGCCGGGCAAGGCACGGGACGATGGAGCAATCAGCAGTGATGCAAAGCAAAGCCAGGAAAAATGGGTCATGCCCGGGCCATCGTCGATCGAATCCGAAGCTTTGTCGTGACCGCTCAGCTTAGCACAGCCGGGGCGTGACTTACTAGCATTCCCCGGTGTCAAGACGTCAGAACGCCCTTTGGAGACGGTGAACTGCGCGCAGGGTTGTGCAGCCTTGTCTAGCTTGCACCCAGTGGAGCCCCAAAAGCAAAATCCATATTGACTCAACCTTCCAAACGGACACAGTACTCCATACACTCGCATACCCTCTCTTCGTTGTGGATTGCCCATTGCCCATTGCTCATTGCCCATTGGCGCACTGAGGATCGCTGGGCTAACCCACCTGGGCGAAATGCGGTACTAACCCAGGCACCGAGGCGACAAAGCCACCCTCTAGACCTCCCCCAGGTAATGGCTAATGGGCAATGACAGTGGATTCTCATTAGACTGGATATCTTTTCGCCCCGTTCTCTCTCATGGAACCCGGGTGAGCCCCATCCATTCCCGAAATGGGTCTCATCATCTCTCATAGGCAGAATTACGGGGGGGCTTTGGCCGGGAAAGCCTCTAAACCCAAACGGGCGACACATCTGCCTACACTCTCTTTCTTCTGCATGTTTCGTCCTCAGTCATTGATTTTTCTTTATATAGCCGTCCAGGTCTCGTGCGTTCAAATTCAATTCTTCAATTCTTCATTCAACCTCATCTCATCTATTCGGATCCTGGTCTACTCTTCCAAACACCAGATTCAACATAATTACTATACTCCCGGTGCCAACATCAACACCACTGCAACACTTGCTCGCGCAATTTGAACCTTACGCCAGCTTCCATCATTTTGATATCAACTTCCACCACATCAATCAACTTTACCAAAACAATCATGGCCTCTCTCTGGTACTGCTGCGGATGCAACTTCGGCCCTCACAATTCGAGCCTCTACGGTGCCTGTATCAGCTGCGGAGACGAACGATGTGCCTTCTGCCCTGAGGAGAAGTGCTACGATAACTTGCGCCTGAACGCCAACACTCACACTCACACCCACTGCCACGAGGCATCACCTTACCCGTCTACTGTTGCTGTCGACACTGCGCAGACCCTGTCTCTCAATACCAAGAGCACGCCCATCCCTCTACCAGACCTACCTGGCATGCGCCCTCTTTCTCGATTGCGCCATGCAGATGCGCACGCCTTGCCCCTTGGTGGCACTGCAAAGGTATACAGCCATGATAACTTGTATATCTGCTGCAAGTGCAATGACGGACCCAAGCTCTGGGATATCCAGCCAAGCTGCACCAGCTGCCACCATATTGCCTGCTCTGACTGCACCTATGTGAAGTGAGACATTCTAGAACAACTACGACATAATGGTGAGATTGAATCCTTTGCGACACACAGTTACACAAAAGTGGCATTGCTAACGAGTTTCCTAGACTGTATCCGATTACTACTTTGACATGATTTTCTTTCTTTCTTTCTTTATTTATTATTTCTCTTGATTTCCTGTGATTTTCTGTTCTGCAAAGCGATCTGACTTATCCGCATAGCTTGGTGCATCTTTCATTGTTTCCTTGGGACATTACTACTCTGTTTGGCATTTGTGATCTTCATTGCGTTCTGCTTAGATTAGACCATTCATCATTAGTATACTTCATTGGCGGCTACCCGATTGGGTTTAGGGCGGTCCCCCTTGTCTGCCTTGCCTTACAGCGCTAGTCCTTTTTTGAGATTATCTCGGAAATATTACTTGTTATTTTCGGTATCATTCCTAAGTAGTTCCCCGTATTAGTTTCTTCAAGTCATTCTCAGCGACCAGTACTGGTATTCTTTTGCTCATTCGCTGATATTCTTATCCCATCTCTTCATCTATATCCACTCCCTCCTCCCCGGGCACCGCTTGTAGACTACTGCCGAAAATCGAGTCATCGATGATCTCCAACCGGGGTTGTTTCAATCCTGCATTGCAGCTGGCGTTCGTTCTCCAGCCGAGCCGCAGCAGAGCGAGCGTGACTTTGAGCCTCGACGCATCAACCAGGATGATCACATTGGGATCACCAATGGAGAAACACTGAAAAGTGGAGTCTCTGCCTGAACACCCTAGGCATCGACCTAGCTGCCTAGGGCACTAATCGACTAGTCTCAAGTAACTAGCCCGGGGCGTCTGCAAATTGCTAAATGCCCCTCGGTTTCGTACCTGGGCTTGAATTGGGCTTGGACTATGGCTTGGTTCTGCGCTTGCGTCTGCGCCCACAACCCACCTGAACCCAGTGGAACGCCAAATCCGGAGGTTCAGACAGATCGACAAGACCATCACCGCCGTTTGACCTGACTTACCGCAGCAATCAGCCCTATCGTCTGCGTAAAGGAGCGGTGCATACATACATGGATCCCCAAAACCGATCTCCCTGGAGGTCAGCTCGAACCCATCAGGTCCAGACCCAACCCCCCTAACCACAACCCCCTTCTGCATCACATCGCATCTTCTGCCCCCAACCCTTCCACCCACCACCCCACTCCACTACGGTCCAACTTCCTCCGTCATTTGACAAGAGGCTGTGCTCGATACGGAGTACATAGTCTAGTCCCGTTTACGCCCCCCAAGTCAGCGCCAGTACCAGCACCAGCACTAGCACCACCAGCTAAGATCAGGGCGGTTGTTCGGGAACCCAGCTCTCTGGTCCGCAGAGACATGGGCCATCCTCATCCCCATCCACAATGCTAAAGAGTTCGAGGCTCCACTCTTCGCCGCAGCGCCTCTCCGACCCAGTGACGTCGCGCCCAATTCTTGTTTTCATTCGTCCTTTTCTCTCTCCGTGCTTGGCTTGTCCCGCTTTAGCTTGATTCTCTCCGGACAATTTTCTCGGGCGTGACTGCGGGTGCGATGCGGGTGCAACGCGGGTGCGGGCGTGAACACGAGACTCGACCATTTCGCCTAGTTGGTACATAGTAATACTACTAACTAACTAGCAACTCCCTTCTCCGCGGCTTCTCTCCCGAGTCTTCCGAGTTGTACGCTACATACACGAGCGGTTTTCTTGTAACGAGAAAAAAAAGTGAGGCTAAACTAGTATCCTAGCCAATGGATACAATTGCCCGGAAGTACCGTAGGTAAAGTCAAGTTGAGTCTCATGCGATCACTGTCATTCTGGGCACATCACATCACATCAGTCTGCCTTGCGGCATTTGCATTTTGACTCACAGCACCGCACCTTCCTTCATTGTTTCGCAGTGGGGAAGCTCAGCTCTAGCAATATAGCCCCGTCTCGAGCTGTATAGCCATGGCCCATTCGTCTACTCGTTACAGGGTACAGGTATGTTCATTGCATAGATGGGGGCGGAAATGTATCTAAATGGCCCGTGACATGGTCTGGGCTTCTGACTACTGTATCCATTTTAGGATAAGGACATACAGAGTTCTTACAACGGTGTTCTCCGTGCCAGACTATGGTTTGGTATCCTGACGATCCCCCTCAAACAACCGCTTGGCCCCCCGGCCCCAGGGATCATCCGCGCGATTATTTTACCCAACATCTAACTTACTCTATCCAGATCAGATCGCCATGAACTGGAGTCGTCTGCCACTTCGTTAGCCCCTAGTCCCATCAACCGTCCCACCCAAGCTTCAGCTCCATACCTAAGTAGGTATTATCCTTTCCCTTCAAGTTCCTTCCTATGTAATACCCAGGGTACAAGGAGATTTTGAGATCGCAAACCTTGATCATACTAGTATACTTGTTCTATACTTAGCACGGTCATCTCCGGGGGCCAAATTCTAAACGCTTATCCCACAAGGCTCCCTGAAGGTCTCCCTGAAGGTCCCCCTGACGAAATTATCGCGCCGCCCCCATTCTTCAAGTTTTTCTATTCTTATTTTTGGGGGCGGTTGTTAAATGAGTGACAGTAGTCGGATTCCGAGGTTGATCAAGGGTTATGGTTGTAAGGTTCAAGTTCCAAGTTGCTACTAGTAACTAGAGTACTATTAGTAGGCACTCTCCTTTGCTGGGCGGGAGGCCTGTCTCGTGTCGGGCGGGATCCCGAGGGCGGCAGGGGAGAGTTTGATAGGCGAATTCCAAGGTTCCAAGGATGTGACTCACGTCCCAACCTCAACTTGGACGCGGCCAGGAAGGTAAGTATTAATTAATTGTTTATTTTTAAACGTTGGAAAATATTCATTTTCAACCTGCAATGTGTTCTGTTCCCTCTTTTCCCACATGGTGCGCTCGAATCTTGTTTTGAAATTGAGTCATCCCTTCTAAAGTGCTTGGTGTGTGCATGCCTAGGTGTATATATCTGTCCTAAGTGGTCTACCTGCAAGTTGTCCTAATTGGCATCCGAAAAGAAACTCGGAAAATAGAAAAGAAATCAAGTCAGATAGCTTGATACAAAGAGATAAATGAATTTGGATATCCTATTTAGTTCAAAAAAGAAAGAAATCGAAACGGTTGGTTGGAATAGTGTTAATTGAATATGTGCTGTGAAACACCGCCACTCCGCGCATGGTAGTCGTACAGCCTCCCCAAGTAGAATAAAAAAAAGTAAATCCATCATGATCCACGCAGAAGATCCCAAGAATTGCCGATCGGCGTTGAGCTGAACTGCAAAGTTACGACCAGCAGCTGAATAGACACAGATGGGGGCCGAAACAGCCCAAGTGTCATCGGAACCATATACCTGGATTGATGGTAGATTTGCCAATTGGCAGGACGAGGCATTGATTGTCCCAGTCGCGGGTGTGTGTGGTCTGTGGACTCTTTCTTTTTCTTTTTTGCTCAAATGCAGAAAAACACCGCGCTGGCTAAATGCAATGCACACGAAAGTAACAGGGGAGGTAGGGGGGTTAAAAAGCAAGACAAGGAAACTCCTCGGCGTCGAGAGGACGGCGGAAGGGGTATCGTAAGAGATGGTGGGGAGGCAGGAGTAGTAGCAGTACTGGTGGGTGAGGGGGTGGATGAATGGATGAGTAGTTGGCGCATACTCGCCAGCACTTGGTTGAGAGGTGATACCAGCTCACCTTGTGGACTTCTTGAAAAGTTACAGGTGTAAGACTCGGGATGGGTCTTGGAGAACACGCCTACGGTATGCGGCTATCTCGTTGGCCACAGTGATGAAATCTTTCACCTTGTCACGTCGCATGCCGTTGATGATTTCTTTTAACCCGGTCAGATACGTTTCTTTTTCTTCTTCGGTTTGGCCCTCGCGGAGAGCTCCCATTTGCACTAGGATTTTGTCATCTGCCGAGGTTAATAGCACTGTGGTCAGCATTCGGACCGGGTAATGAGAGGGGATGATGATGGTGGTGCTGGTGGGAGGGGGGAGATGAAGGGAAGGCAAGAAAACGACGGGAAAAAGAGATTCTAGAGAATCACCAGTTCTCATTGCAGGAGGGGCAGGGCAAGAAGACCAAAGTAGAGATGGGAACCATATGGGGTGTGGTACACGGCTTCAACTCGTCGACGCACCGCTTGGAGTCATGTCCCGGAAATGTTGGAATCCACAGGTGTTGTCGTTGCACACACCACCAGCCAATTCATATGGGCAGACCATTTTCATCGAATCAATATCATGGCTGTATGTTAGCGAACGGTAACCGTCCGAAACGTCGTTCAGGAATTCGGGGTGAAAGCGATATGCTTGGAACATCTTAAGCGGACTGATGTAGGGGGGTAAATTTCGGCTCCAGTTGCGTAGGTGGTACTCCGGACTGCATGTAGGGGTCAGTTCTTATACAATGTCTCACGGGAGAGGTGTTCGTACACCAGGTGCCCCAAGAATTTCGGTTATCTGTCGTGGCTCCCAAGCCGGGATGGGAGGTGGCGCATTGATGAACACTTCATCGAGAGATTGTTCCGGCAAAGGAACAGAACTCGGAGGATCATCCAGAATGGCGAGTGGGGCGGGACTCAGGGGAGGACTGTATGCCGAGCCAGGCGATTCTGCACCAGTATCAGGCTCAGGAGGCTCATAGTCTTCTGATTCCTCCGATGTCTCCCGTCGAGATTGCTCGGTATCTTGGGTTGGACTTTGATCTTGAAGCATGCCGTCTTCCTCAGCTGCTGACGGCGATTGCGTGGGCAGAGGATGACCCGAAGTTGCCATGTGTGAATAATCGTTACTAGACTCGGCAGCAACTTCGAGGACAGGCTCCGAGTCGACAGGAGGCCTTGATACAGAATCCTCTTCTTGAACGGACGGTATTTCCTCGAAGCTTTCGTTATCGTCAGACTCATGCATGGCAGACCCGTCAGAATTTGATGCAGAAGCTGAGACTGCCTCTTGAACATCCTCCATGTCGTCAATTTGCACTGTTCCATTGGCGGGAGTCTCGGGTCTGTCCGTCACCGTTTCGGTATTGTGTAGATCGTAAGCGCTGGGAATAGGGCTGCTTTTGGCGCCTGCAGAATCCGGTGAAATCGGCGAAGCTAAAGAGAATGTCAATTAAAATGCAAATGGGTAGAAACGGGGAAATTACCGTACCTTCTTTGGTAGCAAGATGCTGCTCCTTGATCTCAGCTTGTCGGCGAAGTTCATCAAGATCTTCTAAAGTCAATCCATCGATCTCATCACTAAGTCTTTTGAGTTCATCGACAAGTTGAATACGACCTTCTTTGCCTTTGGTGATTTCAGCCAGCAGGATATTGGCCTCTTCTTTGCAGGCAGCCAGACGCTGCTCAGATGACTCGATTTCAGCGTCTAGTTCTGGGAGACCAGACTCAATCTCCTTCATACGCAGGATCTTAGAACGGATGCTGTCCAACTGTGCAATATCCATGGAGGCGAGGACTCTGATGGAGGATGCACTGAATGTATCAATGAGATCCGGCCGATCGACAAGAGTAGAAGTATGAGTGCACGTGGCCTGTGCCGACTTGGTTTTCAAGGCTGGTACGATAGGCGCAGAGAGGGTCTCGGGGATATCCGCGCTGGCAGCACTGGATTGTCCACTCGACGAGGCCATTGAATCACCCAAAGGGAGAGGCGATTGAGTGCGGCTGGCAGCAAGCTTTTCCTTTCGCTTTTGTTCCAGCTCTGCTATCCTGCGATGCATCGCCTGAATCTGGAGATCCCTTTCACGGATGCTCTCTTGGTCGTGTCCCTGGGAGGTAGAGCTTGACATCCTTCCGGTCGAGGATGTCCTTGAAAGAGCTGACTTGATAGCATCGAGGGAAGGAGCAGGGGCCAAGTCCTGTTCCGGACTGGAGTCCACGTCCATATTCGCACCCTCGTCATCACCATAGAGAGACTCATCTTCGCTAATGTCGATGATAAGCTTGCTTTCTGAATCGGAGGGGGCGGCAGAGTAGCTGAAAGGCTTCTTTGGCAAGTTGGCAGGCTCATCGAAATCAGAAGCCCGAGGTCTCTTCCGATGCGATGCCCGAGAAACTGGAGTTGAGTCGACAGCAATAACCTGAGATGCTGGAGGAGTAGAAGGCAGTCCACTTTCTGGATCGGAACCCATCAAAAAGAGGCCAGGAATTTTGGTGGGATCGGAAGACGGCGGAGGGGGGCGAACAGGAAGAGGGTGCTGCACAGCTTGGGCAGCGCTGTCTGAAGGCTCATCAGATTGAGTCGGGTCAGGAGGAGTCTGGCTGAGTTGTTGGTTCTTCTCTTCCCTTTTCATCATAGCTTGCTTCTTGAGTTCTTCAATCCTTTGCCTTGCCAATTCTGTTTGTGCTTTGTTTTTCTCTCTCATACCAGCTCCGTTCGCCTTTGCCACCGGGGCCGCTGGTGGGGTCAGGTTAGGAGAGTCTTTGTGAGAGACATTGGGCTCGGATGCTCTCGCAGCAGCTTTGGCAGCGAGCATTCGGGCAATAAGCTCTTTTCTTTCTATGGGCTTGCTGGTACTTGGGGGAGAAGTATTCGTGGCAGGCTGCAGAGATTCCTTGACTGCTGGTTTCTTCGACCTGTCTCCTGCGCTGTCCAAAACTACAACCTCTGTAGTTTTCCCCGCCTTCACAGCAGGCGTAGCCTGTGGCATGGAATCTTTCGCATTGGGCGCATTTGATGATTGCGAGGGGACAGCTATGGGCGCCGCCTTAGTCTGAGCCTTGGGTGCAGCGATTTTAATTCCGATGTCTTCGTAAAGTTGCTTCAAGAGTGATGGGTTAATACCCTCAGCTACTAGCTCATTGTACCGGATGTTGTGAGGCGCAAGGCTAAGCAAAGCCCCCCTGTGCCTGAACTCTGAGCTGTGCTGCCGGGATAGATGGCTGTGATTCCTCCGAAGTCGCTGTCGTCACTTCTCGTTTTTGCATCTCGATCGCACGGGTTACCATGTCGGCATCGGCCGAAACTGATAGAGGGGGGTTATAAGCTAAAAAAAGATTCGTGATCGGGGTTAGCCAACTGGCTGAAGATAGGTCGAGATGAGGAAACATACGCGAGCTGCTTCTGCTAGACGATCGCGATGAAAGTGTCTCGCCTTCTTCCAAATCGTCATGTGGAGCAGAAGATCCTTGAACAAGACCGGTCCCATTGTCAGGTCTCGAGGCTTCCGTCGCCTTGTAAGCGCGTCTTGTTCCGTCATCGCCAACTTTTCCATCTTCGGGATTGGAATTCGTATAACTGGTGGCTCTCGTCTGTGATTGAGAAATTGGCGCTCGACTTGCGTCTGCAGAGTTCGCGTCCCAGGGTCCGGGCGCAGGTTGTGAGGACCCCGGTGGCGCTGGCATTTGTGGGTAGCCAAGCGGAGGCATGGGCGCGGGGGGGAATGATTGTGCTGGAAATTGTGATGTATCGAGCGGTTGCATGAAAGGGAAAGGAGGTGGATAGAAAATTCCAGGACCAGTTGGTGCGCCGTTGGGAGGCATAGGGATGGTCGCGTTTGCGTCAAAACCTCCCAGGTTAAATGGGAAGGATTGGCCGTTGTTGGCGAAAGGTGGCGGGATGGGAGGGTATTGACCGGGTGGGATATTTGGAGGCATCATGCCGGGATAAGGAGGAGGCCACTGTGCATAGCTAGGGTGACCCCCATATGAAGGGGGTGGTTGACTATTGGACATCGTCAAGGCAAGGTTTCAACAATGTCGATGTGAACGCCAACGAATAGTGCGAATCGACCGATGTCAAAGTAAACTGAGGGGGGATGTCAGGGCGGCTAGATACTCCATGTCATGGCGGTTGGAGTTTGATAAATCGCAAGTTAGGTGGAGGATGCTAGAAAACTCGTGGCGGTATTCTACCGTGTCACTCTGTGTGCCCACCGAAGGAAGGGTGTGGTTGTCGCGCGTAGCGAGTTTGACAAAGGGAAAGGCAGATGAGTCGAGGACCAAGTGCGATCGAGGGGGCAAAAGGTTGGAAGGTGAAAGGTGAAATGTGAAGGATGAGGTGAGGTGTGTGATCCGCCGAGGATGAAGCGCCGCGAAAATGTTGTAGGGGGGTCATGTGACCAAGCGTTCCTCGGGTGCCCGCGATCGTCGGTCCGTGCAGGGCCAAATGTAAACAAAACACCTTCTCCGCCTACTCCAACTTCAGCTCCATCGACGTAACTCTCTACCCACTTCCTGTTTCCCGCCCCTCACTCTTTCTCTTTCTCTTACTCTTACTCTCGTTGCATAATTCCCCGTCTTACGACACTTTGCCTTCTTCTGGCTATGCGAAACGAAACAACTGGGATCTAATGATGTACTAATTGAACCCACCATACGCCATGCTTCCCTCTCAACTGAATAGCTCTCCCAAGCGGGCCAATCCGTTTGGTCGGTCTTCGCCATCCCCAGCACCACACTCACAGCAAAGGCCCAAATCAGCTATCATTACTCCTTCAAATGGTTTGGAGTCGGCAAGAGGACATCTTCGCAACTCCTCTGTCTCACAACTATCCCCCGCACGGTCTCCGGCTTCAACAACCCGTGAACGATCCAACTCCGGCCGTAACAATGCTTCCTCCGGAACTTTTGCGCCAAGTTTTATCAAGTCCGAGGAAATGCGACGCAGTGCGGACCAAATCCGTGGATTGGAGGGCGACAATGACTTTTCCGGGAACAAGTACGTCTGGCTGACTGATCCTGAAAAGGCCTTTGTGCGTGGCCTTGTGTTGGAAGAGTTGGAGGGTGGCAAACTTTTGGTCCAAAGTGACGATGGGGAGGTAGGAGCTTTCGAACTCTTCACTCTATTGACAGAGCTGACTCTACGAGCAGCAACGCGAAGTTGAAGCCGATCACGTCGACAAGGTCAACCCGGCCAAGTTCGACAAAGCCGACGATATGGCCGAACTGACGCATCTGAACGAGGCATCCGTGGTACACAATCTTCACACCAGATACCAGTCAGACTTAATCTATGTTGGTCACCTTCCTCGAACAAGTGAACCGTGAACTTGCACTGACACATTCATTTACCTGCAGACATATTCCGGTCTTTTCTTGGTTACCATCAACCCCTACTGCCCACTCCCAATATATACGAACGAGTATGTCAAGATGTTCAAGGGTCGTGGGAGGGAGGAGACTCGCCCACATATCTTCGCGATGGCGGATGAGGCATTTCGCAACTTGGTTGAAGAGGGCGAAAACCAAAGCATCCTTGTAACGTGAGTTTTGGGAATAACTTCGTCTTACGTCAATGGCTAACCAGTTCAACGTTCAGAGGTGAATCCGGTGCTGGTAAAACCGAGAACACGAAAAAGGTCATCCAATATCTGGCCGCAGTCGCTACGTCCGATACTCCCTACGGACGATCTGGAACAAAGAATCTTACAAATCTTTCACAACAAATTCTTCGTGCCAACCCCATTCTCGAGGCATTCGGAAACGCTCAAACAGTCCGGAACAACAACTCTTCGCGATTCGGTAAATTCATTAGGATTGAATTTTCACGGTCTGGTCAGATCTGTGGAGCGTGGATCGACTGGTACTTACTTGAAAAGTCGCGAGTTGTCAAACCAAATTCCAACGAGCGTAATTACCACATCTTCTATCAGCTGCTCCAGGGAGCGGACAGGAAAACTCGAGAGAAGCTGTTGCTCGATAACCTTCAAGTGGAAGATTTCTCATACACCAGAGATGGAAATGACTCCATCGTCGGCGTTTCTGACAAGGATGAATGGAACTCTCTGGTCGAAGCATTCCACATCATGAACTTCTCCGAGGAAGATCAGATTTGTATTCTACGCACCATCGCCGCAGTGCTGCACCTTGGCAATGTATCCGTCGCAAAGGCCAGCGCGCGTGCGGAGCAGGCAGCGCTCAATTCGGATGGACATGCTAGCTTGGAGAAGGCCTGCAAGCTTTTGGGTATTCCTACGGAACCCTTTGTCAAGGGTCTCCTGAACCCTAAAGTCAAAGCAGGTCGAGAATGGGTTGAAAAGGTCCAAACTCCCGAGCAAGTGCGTCTCGCGCTGGATGCGCTGTCTAAGGGTATCTATGAGCGTGGCTTCGGGGATCTCGTGACTAGAATCAACAACCAGCTTGGTCGTTCTATGGCTGATGACAATTATTTTATTGGTGTGCTGGATATTGCTGGCTTCGAAATATTCGACAACAACAGCTTTGAACAACTCTGCATTAACTATACAAACGAGAAGCTTCAACAGTTCTTCAACCATCACATGTTTGTGCTGGAGCAGGAAGAATACGCGAGGGAACAGATCGAGTGGCAGTTCATTGACTTCGGCAAGGATTTGCAGCCGACAATCGACTTGATTGAGTTGACCAATCCAATTGGTATTTTCTCCTGCCTGGATGAAGATTGTGTGATGCCCAAGGCCACAGACAAGTCTTTCACCGAGAAACTTCACTCGCTCTGGGACCGTAAAACGCCCAAATACCGCCCTGCCCGCCTCAGTCAGGGTTTCGTTCTCACACATTACGCCGCCGAAGTCGAATATACTACGCATGATTGGCTCGAGAAAAATAAGGATCCCTTGAATGACAACATTACTCGTCTCCTGGCGGGCTCCGAACAACCACATGTCGCTAACATCTTTGCTGACTACGCCGACTCTGAGTCCGGAGGCGACTTCCCTCGCAGCAGAGTCAAGAAGGGCCTGTTCCGAACAGTTGCTCAACGACACAAGGAACACCTCGCAACCTTGATGAGCCAGCTTCATTCCACTCACCCACATTTCGTCCGTTGTATCTTGCCAAATCACAAGAAACGACCTAAAATGCTTCATGCACCCCTGGTTCTAGATCAACTGCGCTGTAACGGTGTCTTGGAAGGAATTCGCATCGCGCGAACTGGTTTCCCCAATCGACTACACTTCGCTGAGTTCAGGCAGCGATACGGGGTTCTCTGCCAAAATATGCCGAAGGGCTATCTAGAGGGCCAACGTGCCGCTCAAATGATGCTTGAGAAGTTGGGCATGGACCGGTCGTGGTATCGTGTTGGTCGCACCAAGGTTTTCTTCCGAGCCGGCGTTCTAGCCGACCTGGAAGAGAAGCGAGATGAAATAATCCGCACCATCATGACCCGTTTCCAATCCCTGGCCCGAGGATTCGTCCAGCGCCGTATCTCGAACAAACGCCTCTACCGGGCCGAGGCAACCCGCATCATTCAGCAAAACTTCCACTCATATCTGGAGCTAAAGGGTAGCCCCTGGTGGCGCATGTTTTCCAGGATGAAGCCCCTCCTCGGCGACACACGCACCGCGAAAGAAGTTCAAAGAAGAGATGACAAGATCAAATCCCTGGAAGAGAAGATGAAGCGAGATCTTACGGATCGTCAAAAGGTCGACGAGGAGCGGAGACGTACGGAGATGGAGATTCAGAAGATCCAACAGACCCTCGAAAGCGAGCGTGCCCTTGCCCTCGACAAGGAAGAAATATTCAGGCGTCTGCAAGAGCGGGAAGGAGAGCTGGCGGAAAAGTTGTCCGAGGCTATTGCTGACCAAGAGAGTCTGGAAGAACAGCTTGACGAATTGGTCGATGCGAAGAGGAAAACTGATGAGCAGCTCCAACTTCGGATCACTCAACTTGAACAAGCCGGCCAGATCATTCAAACACTAGAGACAGACAAGAACGACGCACAAGCTCGGCTGGCCGAGCTGAAAGAGAAGTTTACTGAAGCCGAGGGTCGCTTCTCTAGCAAGGAAAACCAAATTCAAGAGCTCGGACAAGAAATCAAGATGCTCCAAAGTCACCTGAGCCTCAAGGACCGCAAGCTCCAAGAACTTGAGACCAAGTTGTTGAAAACGGATCAAGATCTGGACATTAAACTTGCCAACACTTCCAAGGAACTCGATAAGTCGAAGAAACAAGTACTTGAGCTTCTTGACGACAATCGCTCCGTACGTCAACAAATTTCCGAGCTCTCTGCTACTTCCACCGGCTATGAAGATCTCTTGCGACGAAAAGAGAGCGAAATGACCGTTCTCCGGAACGATGTGAAGAAGCACGGCGAAGAGAAACAGAGTATTGAGGTCGAGAGAAAGTCCCTTTCAACTCGGCATGACAATATGCAACAACGCCTTCGTGAAGTGCAGGCGGAGAGGGACGCCATGCGATCGGAGAAGGCTCAACTTGAGCGGGAGGCCGCCGCTGTCAAACAACTCCTCGAGGACAAGAGAACAGAGGATGCCGAGGCGGGTGAAAGCAGGAAATTCTTGGAAAGCCAAGTGCACGACCTTAAGGATCAGCTGTTCAAGGTCGAAGCAGACCTCAGCCGAGAGCGCCAATCAAGAGACGATGTCCAAATGCTTGCCGATCACACCCTTTCCGACTTGAAAACCAAGTATGAAGCTCTCAATGACTCAAAGATCACAATTGAGAGGGAGATGTATATTCAGCAAGACACCCTTCGTCGAGCAAACGAGGCACGGGCTCATGCGGAGACGTCACGAAAGGATCTGCAAAGCGAATTAATCAAGCTCCGTGATCGGTTTACGAATGTTGAGAGTGCTCGTTTGAACGCGGAGGCCGAAATCGAACGCAAGATCAAGAACCAGGCCGATGAGCGTATCACCAGTTTGCGTAAAGATCTCACCGAGAAAGCGGAATTACTTGAAGATATCGAGGCGGAACGTTCTGAGCTTGCCGTTCGGGTTCAAGAGCTCACCCATGCAATTTCCGAATCCGACAACTTCCGTATTCGCCATGATCAGCACAAGGAACGTTTGGAGCGAGAGCTTGTAACTCTACGAGGCCGACTGACAGCTTCAGAGAACGACAACCGGTCTCTGCTTACCAAGATCCAACAAAAGAACCTTGACATCGCTCGTTCAACTTCCAAAGCGAGTGACAACAATAGACTCCGACTGACCAATCTCCAGAAGGAGAAAACTAAGCTCGACGAAGAAAATAAGAGGCTGGAGCGTCAGCTTGGAGAATCTCAGCTTGCTATCACTTCCCTTGAAAAACAAAAGGAGAAACTGGCCTTGAACCTGGAGGACATCAACCATGAGATCCAGAGGGAACACAAGACTAGCCGCAACGCAGAGAAGGCCGCTTCTACTGCCAATATCCAGCTTGCAGAGGCCAACCGCAACCTCGAAAACGAGCGCCAACTTCGGAGCCAGGCTCAGACAAACACCCGCCAAGTCCAAGGAACCCTTGATAGAGCCAACAAGGAGATCGAGGACCTGCACCAAAAGCTGATTCTACTGCACCGGGTGTTTGAGCCTGAAGCGACAGAAGTCAGTCAGTCATGGGAAGCAGTTCAGCCACAACTTTCTAAACAGGTTGACCTCGCACAAGTTATCGATACTGTGCAGCACAAACTCAAGGTATCCGAGGAGAAGTATGCCAGAGCCGAAAGCCAGCTTGCCGAGATGCGCCGCCGCCATGCCGATGAGATGAAGGAATTAGACACCAAGTATTCTTCTTCCAAGCGTGCCTTACTCGAAGAAATCGATCAAAATGAAGTGGCCAACAACCGTACGCCTCAGCATTTCCGGAAGAACTCCGAAAACGCGGTCAAGCGATTCTCCAACCCTTCAACACCCAACCGACTCCAGAATGTCTATGAAACAGCGAATGACTCCGCTCGCTCTGATAGAACTGTGGATACGGTCGGGTACCAGAGGCGTATGGATACCGCGGCTGAGATCGAAGAGCTGCAGAACAAGCTTCAAATGACCGAGATGCAGAACCGCCATCTGCAAAGCCAGATTGAACACTCAACTCCTGGCAGAGACATTTGGCAGGATGACAGCCCCTCTGTTCGTCGTATGAACCTCCTTGAGCGCGAGAATGGTCGTCTCCATGATCAACTTGACGACTCCGCCAAGAAGGTCTCATCCTTGGAACGTAGCATTCGCTCTGGTGAATTATCGCTGCGCGATGTCCAGGCCAAATCCCACGAGGAGCTCTATGATCTGATCAACTCACAAGAGCAGTCCCGTCGCTCGCTGCTCAAGGTCCACAATGAGACCATGGCTGACTTCGGGGAGGCCAAATCTCATTACGAGAAGCTCAAGCGCAGCCGTGCTTCTATGGAAGTTGAGCTCCGTGACGCCCGCTCTGAAACCCAGGAGATGCAAGAAATCCGCGACCAAGACGCGCTCAGCCGCAATCAGCTCCTCGCTGAATTCTCTGATCTCCAGATTCGTCTCGATTCCGAATCCTCGAGAGCCGCTGACCTGGAGTCCAGCCTCAGCCTATATAAGACTCGTGCCGATGAGTACTTCAACAAGATTGAACAGGCCGAGATTACTGTTCTGAAGGCTACTCGCGCTGAGAACTTTGCCAAGTCCCGCTGCCAGGAAGCCGAAGAGACCTGTGCCCAGATTATGTCTGAGCGGAAGGAAATGGATGGTCTCGTGGAGGACTTGCAACGCGAAACTGCCTCTCTGGAGGCTCGTATGGAAGACCAGGCTGCCGAACTCCAAGCTGCTTTGCAATCCAAGCAACGTCTCCAAAATGAGCTTGAGGACTACCGCAACCAACGGGCCATTGACATCGAAGACAAAGAGACTTCGATGGAACAGACCAGACAAAAGTACCAGAGAGAGTTCTCCACTATTAACAGCGAACTTGAGGCGGAGCGGGAGCGTGTCCTTCAGTCCAGGGGCGAGAACACCCGTTTGCGCGAGGAGCTTGAAGATCTCCGAAGCAAGTGGGATAACGAAGTTCTCAACAGCTCCACCTGGGCCAAGGAGAAGGCTCGCCTGGATATGGTCATGCAAGATATTAGCAACTCGCGCGATGAAGCATCTAAGGCCCACAATGAGGCTCAAACTAAGGTGGTCTCCCTTCTTTCTCAAGTCCGGACTCTGCGTACCTCTGTCGATGATGTCACTGCCGAACGCGAGCTCCTTCTGAAGGACAAGAAGATGCTCGAGGGTCGCTTGGCCGAGGCCGGCGAGCGCCTAGAGGATCTTGCCAAGGGCGAAAGTCCATCTATGCGAAATGCCGCTAGTATGGACCGTGAGCTCCTCGAGCTCAAGTCCAAGCTTGCTCAGCAGGAGGACGTCTCATCCGCAGCTGTTGGCAAGATGCGCCGGGCTGATGCTCTGAACACTGAAATGCAGAAAGAGCTCACTGCTGAACGTGAAGCCCATGCCCAATTATTCAAGGATAAGACTGGGCTTGAGAAGCAGCTCAAGGAGGTCCAGCTTCGATGCGTGGATCTCGAAACCAAGGGCTATTCGTCCGGTAGTCAAGATGTGCGATTCCTGCACAAGCGCATCAAGGAAGTAAGCAGTATTCTCTTTCGTCACCTTATTTACATTTGCTAATACTACATCTCCCTACAGCTCGAAACTCACCTCGAAGACCAAGAGAATAAGAACAGTGCCGAACAGCGCTCTCTTCGGAATGTTGATCGCACTGTGAAGGACCTCCAATCTCAAATTGATCGACGTGAGAAGATCAATGTCCAGCTTACCGAAGACATGAACAAGGCCCAGGATAAGATTTCCCGCCTTCTTCAGAACATCGATGAGCTCAACCAAGGCGACACCGATACTCAAATGCGGGTCCGTCGCGTTGAGCGCGAATTGCGCGAGGAGAAGGAGAAAGCACTCCGCTTGGAGCGAGAGCTTGGAAGCTACAAGATCAGAGGCAGCGTCATTGGTCGACCCGCAATGCCTGTACTCAGTGATGCTGGTACCCGAAAGGGAAGTGCTGCTTATGGATCTAATGATACCCTTCAGCGGAAACCAAGCAACACCAAGGGCTTTCTGTGAATAGGATGGAGATAATTGTACTACGATGGATTGGATCTGGAGTCGCTGTTTGGGTGTGATTTGTTTTATTGTCGTTGTTTTTTTGTTCTGCTTTGGGTTGGCGTACATGTGCATTCGGAGAGGGACGGCTTGGTCTTCTATTATTACGATAGGTCCTGTTCATATTGTCTGAATGACCTTATGTCTTTTTTCCGCATTGGGGTTGTATGTATCTGGTAGGGCTGTTTGGTTCGTTTTTTCTGCGCGTTGGGCTTCAGGGTAAATACGCTCAATGGGTGTTATGATTCAGTTACCTACAATACGAGAAGGATTCCAGATTGATGAAGAATCCCAAATGGATAGTCCCATAAGTCACCTTATTATCAATCAATGTAAAAATCATAGTATGTACCTCGGTATAGACGTGATGCCCAGGTGAACGACTTTGCAAAAAGCGATCTTACGGGCAGCGGCCACAACTGAGAAGTCTTCTCTCGATCTTAGGTGACCTCGGAATTCAAATTCCTATCCTGGGTTTATTGCTGGGCAGATATTGCTCAATCTGCCACGAGAAAAAGCAACTTCAAGTTGAACTTAAATGTTGTAATTCTCTTCAAGTTGGGCGATTAAAGTTTGCTTTCAAGTTTGTATCGTTACTGAATATTGCCACTTAAACGGGTTAAAATCTATGGATGTTCGATCGACTTCGGAACCCCAGGAGCCTTAATGAACGATGTACTGGCACAAGACCTGAAGATACCTAGTACTAGCACTACCCTCACAATATAGTAGAGATAACCTTATAGCTCTAGATAAATGTCACAACATGACCACTCTGACCAATCAATGCACGTATCGGAACGAAACGACTCCATCCGCCCGTGCCGTTCCAGTAATAGCTGAGCTACTAGCGACTGCACCCTCCTCCATTTCAGCCCTCTCAATCTCGACATTCTGCTTCTTCAAATGCCACTTAATGCCCAATGCCATCAGCGCACACACCAAACAAGCACCGCTCATAACACCGCCACCGGCATAGTATCTCGGTTTCTGCGAATCGGGAAAAATGTACGAGGTATAGAAATGCGCCACTCCAGCGCCCATTAAATTGACGATGGCTAATGCACTTGCGCGCTTCGCTTTAGGACGGGGGAGTGTTGAGCTTAGCCAGGAGACGCAGAGGTTATAGGGTGAGTAGGAGCCCGCTGTCATGAGGAACATGCTGAAATAGCGACCGCCGGTGGATGGAACGAACATCGCCTGTGAGATAATCTTCATTAGAAATGCCCAATCCTGTTGTATAATGATTATGGGAGTTGAGGGTCTTTTCTTACGAGGAGATTCCCCAAAAACGCGAAAAGTAGGGGAATTGCGATGTGAAAACCTCGCTCTTGTTTGTGAGCTGCATGGAAGGAGATTGTCAGGGAGCAGACGAATGCGAATGCGTATGGTGGTGCCGTCAGTAAGAGGGTGATAGTCTCGTTATATCCCAATGTGCCGACGATGGAAGGAAAGAAATTGTTGAATGACTGCGCTGTCAAAAGAGCCATTTGGAGGACGATAAACATGTATAGTTTCGGGTCGAGGAGAGCTTGCTTGACGCCCCAAAGCAGGGAGCCAGGATCGTCGTCGACGAGTCCGGCATTTTCGTTGCGGAGACGCCAATCCTAGTAGTATCAATCTTTATTCGTATGTCTGTTCGTCTCGAAATAAACTACTTTCAGGCAGGGCATCACTTACGGCTAGCAATTGATACTCGCGATCCATCCACCAGCGCTTGGTGGTACCTGGGTAATCCGGGATAAAAACAATCACAAGGAATGCGATAGCAATAGTCATCGAGCCTTCAATGATAAAAAGCCATTCCTAAATCAGAGGAAATCTGCGGTTAGTACTGCGATCGGAAGTCATTGCCATTATGATAAGGGCATTACTAAGTAGACACCCCCTTTGGTTACTGAGATAGTACTGGTACATACTCAGTTACCTACCTGGTGGTGAGAAAGTAGAGTCATGGCCTCCTGCTGTAACTCGTGGTAATACACATACAGCACCTTTTCTAATCTGGCAGGATAGGGTGTTCAAATAGCCAAAGGGGGTGTCCACTTAGTAGTGCCTTATGATAATGTGAGCGACTCACCCATGCCGGTCTACCCATTTCCCCCTCCATGCGAGCAACAATTCCCGCAGCTATTAGTCCGCCAAAGGCACTAGCCAGCATATTCGCCCCGTATAGGAGAGCGATGCGCGGGGGTAGTTCAGACCGCTTGTACCAGCAGGACATGAGGAAGAATACCCCCCGGTAAGAAAGGTCCCTCTACCATTCCTAGGACAAAACGGGATAAGAATAGGCCAGCGAAGTTGCGCGTGAATGCCTGGCACATGGATACCACTCCCCAGGCGGCGGTGACGGTGCCGATATAGATGGAGGGCCTAACTTTTGTAATGATTAGATTCGAGGGAAGCTGAGTGAGAATATCTGCGAGTGTTGTTTAGTAGCGTTCTCGTGGAATGCAATCTTTTGTTACTGTCTTACATCCAACGTAGAATATCATGAGGCAGGTATTATACTGGGTGTTGGTGATGCCAAGTGTATCTGGTAGTCCAGCAATTTTTGCATTCGCAATATTGTTTCTAGGTTGATTCGAGTTACTTAGTTAGTACTGACGTGGGCTGAGGAACAGGGTATGGAAAGGACATACCGATCGAGAATATTCATTAAGAAAAGGATAACCACGGAAGGAAGCAAACAGGTATCCAATCGACGAACTAGCCCCTTCTCAAGCTGTTCAATTTCATCACTCCCCAAAGACCCCAATTCAGCCGGAAGAGGCAGTTGCTGCAGCAGGCCTGGCTTTACATATTCAACAGCCTCTGTGCCGGGTTTTGACTGCGCGATATCATCCATTGTGAGGGTTGGCACTTGGAGTTCCTTGAAAGTTTACTAGTACCTGTAGATTGCGGTATATGCCTTAGAAACCTTCCAAGTTCCACCGCGATGACAAGTCCGGGGGTGGGCTACTTTTTATACTTAGGTATCTTTCTATCAATGGCACGATCAAATGGCACTCGGCAAGACAGACATTGACGGATTGGTTCCCGCAATCCGGGGTAAACGCGGGGAGGACGGCGTGGGTCGCCAATAGGAGAGAGCTTATTCTCATTCTGGTAGGCGCTGGAGCGATTAAGGTAGATGTGCCGGTGAGAAAGCCGCAGTCGGGACGATGAAGCCAGACAGCCCCCACATGTCATGGTCTCGGTTCGCCTGAATCAATGCCCAGGTGGATTTGAGCTCCCACTGGCAGGGATCATCGTATATGAACGATGGAGTCGGGAATATCTCGATCGTTCTGCCTAAGCCAAAAGTGTCACAGTATACCTAAGTTATTGAAGGGCATATTCTCAAATGACTATCGCTACAGGTTCAATCTGGAGGGCAGTACTTAAATCTGAGATCCATTTCATCGGATCAAGTGATGCTGCACTAGATGTCGCCGTCCACGGGTGACTGGCTGAAATTCTCGAGGGGGCGGGGTTTTAGCCGATATAGGATTGTGTATTGACCACCGCAAACGACGTGAAGGTAAACTGTCTAATCATTCAAAGGCTACACTTGAACAAACTCGATTAATTCAAAAGAGAGTGGTTATATTGATTTCACCATGAGGATATTCTTACTGAATAGCCGATGTATAGAGAGAGAGCCTGATTTTCCAAAACGCCAACCCAAGCCAAACAGGATGAAGAAAGATACCCAGCATGGAACAAGATGAAAATACCGCAAGATTCCGAAAACAAGACCAGAGTTGTGAAATGAAATATGACTCATGAAAATAAGGGAAAAAACTCGAGATCCGAGAATGTCATAGCAACTTGAACGTAATTAGCCATGGCATTCTCGATCTCCAGTTATGATCAAAACGCCAATTTGATATGAAGGAGATGAAACATGGCGAGAGCCACGAGAAGAAGAAAAAAATTTCGGAAAAAGCTGGAAAGGTTAACTAAAAGGATGAACAGACGCCTGCAGAAAAAGGGTCTAATGTACAACGGGGCGACAAGGACGAATGATGAAACAAGGGGGTATCGTGATGAGAAGCAGCAGATGATCGGTCTAGTTTGGAATACACGCATAACCACGCAATACCACACACACGCGTGGTGCGGTGACACGGCAGAAACTACCGTTCCCCAAACTTCCCGTATTCTTGCTGCCACTTGAGGAGGTGACGGGTCAGCACGTCCATCATTTCCACACTGCTGAGGTCTTTGAAGTCTTTTTCATGGATTGAGGCGTCTCCATCGCCGTCTGTCGTAGGCGGGGCTGACTCGCCGCCGTCACTCATTGCAGATGCCATAGCGGCATCGATCTGTTCGACCATGCTCTTTAAAAGCAGGCCTTGAGAACGATCCTCGTTTCCTGTTGGGGTAGAGGAGTTCTCGCTGGCAACAGCCATCTCAACTTGCATACGCGAGATGAACTCGAGAATTGCTGCCACACGTCTCTTCATTTCAATCATCGTCGTGCGCTGCGGATGCATACTCCGGGGCTTGCTCGGCCGCCCGGTATCTCCGCCATTGACGTGCGCACCGTTTGTGTTGCTATATCCCACTCTGGGAGAATCTCCGCCGATTTCGCGAGATTGCCCGCGACGTGGTGACTCAGTGCCATTGCCGTTCACATCTCGATCCTTGGTATATTGGTTGCGTCCAACTCGGCCACGGCGTGCAGGTGGACGACCTGACTTGCGTGTTGATGGGCGAGCTGGTGTGGGTTCTTGAGTAGGAGTATTTGGGCTTGCTTGTACTGGTTCAGGCTCGCTCGGCACCGTTTTTACGGGAGATCCAATCTCGGGTTCGGATTCTAGAATTGGAGGTGTGAGCAAATACTCCAAAGTCATTGGATTTCTCTCTGCACTTACCATCTCCTTTGCGTCGATCTGCTATCCTCTCCTTTCGACCGTTGACAACTTCAGGAGCTTCCACCTCAGGCTCTTCTGGTTCTTTGGGGGGGGACCTTATCACGCTGACCCCGAGATGCGGCTCTTTGCCTGCGGGTGCCGTTCATTGCTGGCTTCGCTTTGGATTCGTCATCGGATGGAGGTTGAGACACAGGGTTGTTTTCCTTCGGTAAAGCAGCGGCAGGGGACGGAGAGCCGGTTCGCGGGCGTTTGGTGCCTTCTCTATGCCTGGAAGTGCCATGTCAGCTAACGAAAAACATGTCTAAATATGAAGGAAAAGAATATACGCACACTTCGCTCTCGCTGCGACTCCTCTTGCCCGGACGGCTGGATGTTTCGTCGGGGAGACTTTTGGTATCCTCTTTGCTTTCTTCAATCGCCCGTCGGATTAGCTCTTCTTCATCGTAAGCGGCATCACGGCTGTTCATGGTCGAGCGTCGCTTGACATGTTCGCTTTCGCTCAGGCGAGATTTCGGATCCCTGGAACGGCGTGATGAGCTCTCGTGGGAAGAGGCTCGAGAGGGTCGAGAGGAGGGCACGGAGGGGGCGGGTGATGATTTGGGGTTCACGGGGAGGTAGGTAGAGGAGCGCTGGCTGCGAGGTTATTAGCATTTTGTTTCTTGAAGAGAAGGATTGGCAGGAGTAATCGCAGGAGAGAACACGGCCAATATCACCCAATCGGTATGCAATTTCAAATTGTGTCCGAGCCACGAGAATTTGCAGCTTCAACGGCTCTAACCAGCCTGAGCCAGCACGAGCAGCTGCAACGCAACCGGATGGGGGGGAGAGGGGGCGAAGAAATCAAACAGAGAGAAATATGCGAGGAGTGATTTGCAAACATACCCATTTGGTTCACCGCGAATAGTGTGCAAGTCCTTTCGACACTCTTCACAGAAATATTCGTCGGGGCTTGTCTCCTCATCCATGATTCCCACACAACCACCGTGTTGCCAAACTTTGCACGAGTCGCATTGGATGAACATGCTACCGATTTCATCGGAGAGCAAGTCAGATGAATCAGGAGGGGGTTGTTCGCCCTCCGGCTTGACTACACTGCGACCAAGGAGGAGAGCTTCGCGACGAGAGGGTGGCAGGCCGGGGTAGTCCTGCTGGCCACACAAACACCGAGTTATTTCCTCCTCTTCATCCTCGTCCATTTCGTCTTCTTCCATGGGACGAGGGGGGGGGTCTTCTTCTTCCTCGTCGTCATCGCGGGCACGCTGGCGCTGGCGCGTGTGTGGGAGATCGACCCTCGAGCCGTTTTCGGTATCGTCGATGGACTGGGAGCGAGCACCGGTGGAACCTTGAGGAGAAGGATTTTTGTGATTCGAGCGGGTGTTTCTCTCACGAGTGGTAGAGTTGGAGGAGCTGGCAGAGGAGTTCGTGTTTGTGTGTTGCAGGAGAGCAGGAGAAGGCTGGGTGGTGCGGGCTCTCGAAGAGCGACGAGGCGTCATGGTGGCGGATTAGGAGGGGTGATAAATGTGAGGATATGGGGAGATATGAAATTATAAGGGCTCAGAGAGCAAGGTAGGAGATTCGACAGATCCTTTGTAGGGTGGGCGTTGTGGGAGTTGGGAGCACCGCCTCGAGCCAGAGTGGTGAAGGAGCTTCGCGCGATTTGGGGGGGGGGAGCTGGAAGAAAGAGAGCAGGACAATTGAGAATCGCAGTAGGAACTGAAGCAGGACGTCACAGGGCTCGAGTAAGAGCCCAATGACTACATAGTCCGAGGAAAGAGGGAGATTGGCGTGAGGGAGAAGAGAAGGAGAAAAGCGCCGGAACGGGACCTCCAAAAGATCCTCGCCCGTCCTTCCCCGCTCTGCTTTGCCTTTTCTGACTGACGCGACTCACATTACCACTTTACTTTACCACTTTACCACATTAACCCCTCCCACCTTCTTGACCATTACCATTACCATCCCCATCCCCATCCCCATCATCCACATCATCTACATGTTCCAATACACCCTTGTCGGCTATTACTCCTACTCCTGCTAGGCCTATGCTGACTCTTGCCCCCCTCTCGGCAGAAATCCGTTCCTTTCGCCATGGCTGCAGCTGACCTGCACCTCCTTCTCTCTCCTTCACGATTACCGGCAAGGTCACTACCTTCTCTCACGCCCATAAATACTTGATCACTAGTGTTATATCCCACCTCGCAAGCCATTTCTGTCTGTCCGACACGTGAGATTCGATTGCGTGGCGCAAGGACTACGAGACGAGTCGCAGAGTGGGGAATCCGATTCAATGCTTGATCAGCAGGGAATTGACGCGAATTGGCACAAATTCCAGTCTCTGCACCATGACTTAAATACCTCTCTACCAGGGAGTATCTTTCTATATTCGGTGACTACAGTCAAGTCGGCTCATAATGGTCCCAGCTACGCCCTTCTCCCCCCGTATTTTTTTGGTAGGTTCCTCGGAATCTACGCCGCTCGCGTCCAATTCCTCACTTTTCCCATGGATTGTGATGATACCCATATCGGCATCTTGCAACATTGGAGAATGGTGTAACCGTCACGGCGTTGAGCTGCCAGGATTGAGTTATCGGGGTCAAGTTTCTTGTGCGGGATCCAATCCGTACCAGCGCAAGGCACCGGGGAAGTCACTCGCTACCGGGAATGCAGGTACAGAAAGGTCGGTTCGTTTCTTCCAGAACGTAGCCTAATCGATTGGGAGAAAACGAGGCTGTAGTCATCATTGTTTAGGGCGTCCAACTTCTCCCTCGTTTGTGTTCGGGTACCGCTTACTGAGAGCAGAGTACCTACCAGTACCAGCCGGTAGGTACTGATATGTCTACCAGTTGTCAATTAAGTTCACATTTAATACACCCAGGATACGAATGCCTACTATTCCTTGCTGCGTAATAAGTACCCCAGAGTAGCTCGTTGGGTGCCCATGATTCCCCAAAAGGGTTTAGTTCGCCTGGAAAGCCGAAATCCCGTGACCCTCTCTAGTCTTTCCTTGCCAACCCCTCCGCCGTGCGATTTCACGAGATCCGTCGGGGCTATTCTTACGAGAGCCAACTGCATTCTGGTTCTGCGCTCAGTCCAGATCCTTTCACTCCTCCTGTCATCACCCCTTGTTGGTGCTCAAGATTGGCACTCGTTGTGGGTATGTTCATTATTCCCACTCCCCGTGATTGTGGAACACCCGAACCCGCTTGAATATTAAGGGAATGACAAGCTGGCTATTTGGTGATTCCCCATTAAGCCCCTCTTGCCCTTCACCAATATCTCCATATTTGTCCGATTCCCGTGGACTAATCACCAGTCCTGACCACAGTGCCCGCCGATCCCGCGTTTTCTCCCCCACGGCCACATATTATATATCATTATCCATCTCGCTGGATTTCCCCCTCAACAACCATTACCCGGAGGAGGGGGAAATAGCAATAGGCGAGAATAAGTTCTGTCACATTCCATTCCACACATCGTAACGGTTGTGGTTTGGTTGTGGGCAAGTGTTTGAGAACTTGCATGATGACTGCCACCCTGAGTATGTCAACTCGTCCTATGTCCATGGGACCTCCTTGCCAAGTCGCCTCCTTGGTTCTACATGGCACTCCAGATCACTTTCTACGGTCTGCATAATATATTGGTTACTCGGTTACTGACGTCGTGTGTGCCTCTGCAGACGGGACGTTCAATTCGGCCCCTGACACACCCTCTGCCGTCTACCCCGATCGTCTGATCCGGCCACTTCCCAGAAAGACCCTTCGCTCTCGTTTGTCCATCGACGCCGCCGACACAATTCTCTACCCACCAACACCTCCGGCCTCCCAGATCTTCTACGGCGTCCCCGGAGACTCGGAAGAAGCGGTCAACGACGCCAAAGTCTACGTGCAGCAGACTATCGAGTCGGACCGGCATGAACTAACTCCCGAGGCCGACACGCATCACGGATTCGAAACGGCTACGGAATTTGAGAGTGGTGACGAGGATGGGCCGGTAGTTGTTCGACGTAGCGCTGGATTTCGAGGTTCAATGTCACCGGGTTCGAGTACGCACCCCCAGGGGTATTCCGGGAAAGACGAAGTGCCCAAACCTTCGACGGGCCCGGATGGTTATGATGCTTTTGAGAACACAAATAATAAGAAGAAACGAAAAATTCCCACACCGGGAAATATGGGTGGCCACCACTCGGCACTGTCCCCGGAGTTTGCGAGTATGGGGTTGGCCAACTCCAGCCCAGCCCCGGCCGCGGCGAGTGATGGCACGGCGACTAGCACATACTATGGGAATGGGAACCCTGCTTCGCCCTTGGCCAGTGGGATCTCAGGCTCTGGTCGAGGCAGGTTAGGACGGAGTTCAACGCGGAGCAACTCCGGTCGAAACCCATTGTCCGCTAATGCTCAAACTGCCTGGATGACCACTCGTACTCCGAGCCGTCGGGATGGGTTGATGTCGTCTCCCGGACCTTCTGGTATGCTTACCTGCTCATGAATGAGCCTTGAGTCTTTGCGACCAAATTGCGGGGTAATGCTGACTTGCTTCACAAGGTGATTCGGATCAAGGAATCATTTCCACTGCCATTGCAAACGCAGCCACCCTTTCCTCTCCGCCCCAGGGTTCAAGTAACGTCAGCCTGTTGGACCAGGAGAATACCACTCCCACCAAGACACAATTCACCTTCACATGCGAATCCAACTCTTCCAAAGGCATGGCCATGCAGCGAAGTCCCTTTCCTTTACCCCACCGTTCGCCCACATCGCCCCTTGCAGCAACCACGCAGAACCCCCGAGGATTCTCTACACAAGGGACGCAGACCAGCCCAAGTATAGCTGCTCAGGCGAATCAACATCTCCCGCCGGGCACGCAGCCGGCGCCAGGCGAACAAGCTCCCGTGGGCCGCAAGAAGAAGCGGTCACCCGGTAGTGTATACTCGCTGGCAGCGCGTCAGCGTAAAATCCAACAACAGTATACTAACATCCACCACCCGCCTCGATTGGAAGATATTTGGATATGCGAATTCTGTGAATATGAAAGCATTTTCGGTCATCCACCCGAGGCGTTGATTCGACAGTATGAGATAAAAGACCGCAAAGAGCGAAAAAGGCTTGCGGAAAAGAAGCGGTTATTGGAAAAGGCCAAGATGAAGGGCCGAAAGACGAAGAAGGCGACGAAGAACTCGAAGCATGCTCCGGGCCACCAGAATTATCAGCAGGGCTATGACCGGGCCTCGGTCGACCACTCCTCTGCTGCTGGATCTGGTCATCCGGATGATGATTATCTTGGACACGAGTATGATGATGACGAACCCAGCCCGATCCCCTCACATGACCCCGTGTCGCCGGCAGATCTGAAACCACCTCTTCCGCCGTCTGGCAATTATCCCAAACTGGCTGTGACGGCGGGGGATGATGGGGGCGCTGCAGACGCCGGGGCGAGTCGGCCAGCCTGACACCGTAATAGGTCAGCCTGGTAGACTCTTTCTTTGGGCGTAGTTTCATGTCGATTTCTTTTCTTTTTGGACTTTGGATTTTGGCGTTTTGGCCGGACGTTACGAGTTTTGCATCACGAAAATCCCCTCTCCAGCATCTTGGGTTGGCGCGATTCATTTCATTTGGTTCATTTGGCGGGTTTCATTTTGAGGATCTGTAATTGTAATGACAGAATGGCCAGTAGGGCAATGTGCATACCATTTGAAGGAGTCGTCAGTTGTTCAGTATAAATATTTTCTTTTCCAAAGGGTTCCACGTAGCTCGATTTCAAGTTCTTTGTTCATTCCTCCCTCATCTCCCCTCATTGATTTCTTTCACCAACCTATTCTTAGGCACCTGGAAATGCCGACTGTAGCTCTCGCCAATCAAAACTTTGGAATCCCGTTCTGTTGATATACTTAGGCACGAACCATTGATTGGTCCTCCGGTGCCTACACTCCTGCGATGAAACGACCCTTCAGCATTGATTTTAGCGCGCGCCCAACAGTCCCGCGCGATGTGCCTCATTTAGCGCCAGCCCTATGCCAACAATAGCGATGTCTGCTTGACCCCTGGCCTGGTCGTTTCAGTTTTCACTCTTGCCTTGCGAATCTATGGAGAAGCAGGCCACCCCACTGACAGGGTGGAGACCTTAATTTGCCAACCGCCGAGCCCATCCATACCCGATCCGTGAAGACAGTTTCATCGTGGACTAGGCGCATTAAAGAAAATAGAAACATGGTCTTTCTATTTCTTTTTTCACTATTTGGCGGCAGTGGCTGTTTGCAGTGTCGCAGCCGTCACCAAGGCAGAGGGGGGGGGTGTCAAAAGGTCCCAGAAGCTCCGACTTGATGCTATAAAGACTTGATCAAACCCACTGGTTGGATGAAACAGCTACCTACGACCACGACTTTCTTTCTGTTTTATTTTTGATTGCAACATCTCCTTGCTGTCTTTCTTTTGATCCGTTCCATCTCGGTCTTTCTTTTGACTCTTTCGGTGAATCATCCTGGTTGATGAGTTCTGCCTAGACTTATTGTTCGTTCTTATTGTATACTTCATCCAGGCTTTCGCTCCTCACTGGACGAACTTGCCCTCACTCGCATATATACTACTACCTGACGACAATACTTTGCGCTGCGCGCATTCTCTTTAGATCTCCTCGATCTCGGTCTTCCTTTCTCTCTCTCTCTCTCTCTCCAAGTTCTTCTCTTTTGCCAAACCAAACCTATCGGTTGACTTCTTCTCTCTCAATCACTCTTTTATCAAATCCAACAAACCACAACCACAACCACAACCAACATGGCATTCCTCCTTGTGAAGGCTCTCGAACTCGGCTACAACCGCCACAAAAAGAACAAGGCCTCAAAAAAGCAAAAAGAAGCCGAACTCTACGGCCAACAACCCCCCTTCTCAAACGCCCAATACCCGCAAGAGCCATACCCAATGTCCTCATATCCCCACGGCGTCGCACCGGGCACCGATATGCGCTACCCACCCCCAAACAGCGCACCGCAAAGCAAACGCGCCAAACTCGCCGAGATGCTCATGTCAGTCCTGCGCTTCTTCCAATTCGTCTTCGGCCTCACTGTCATCGGCCTCTACGGTAAAGACATCCACCACGACCACGAAGACAAGCACGAGTGGAATTCGAAGTGGGTGTATGCCGTCATCACCGCGTTCCTGGCCACCATCACCGCAGTTGTGCACATGGTCATTCCGTTCCTGATGCGGCGCACGGCTCGGGCATATACGCCCATACCCGCGCTACAGTTGCCGCAGTTTGTCTGGGAATTTGTCCTGTGTGTGCTGTGGCTGACGCTTTTCGGAATCTTTGGGAAATTGTATATTGGGGTTCATGCGGTTAGTGGGTCGAAGGCGCAAGAGGCTGCTTTGGGGGATGCTTCGAAGATTAATCGTATGCGGCATGCTTGTTGGATCGATTTGATTAATTTGCTTATGTGGGTTGCTACTTCGTCGTGGGTTCTGCTTAAGTGGTTGAAGGCGAGGCGGGATGGTGCTGCTGCTACTGCTGTTGATACTGAGAAGGCGGAGGAGGGGGTTTCTTTCTAGAGATGTTCTGTTTGATTCGGGCTGGCTTGCGGGTTGATCCTGCTCCCAGGGATATCATTTATGTGCGGTTTCTTTTCTGTTTTTTTTTTCCCTCTTTATCTTCCTCCCAGCTTTCTTTGTGGGGGCTCTACTTCTGTTTCTTTTATCTTCTGTCTCTATTTTCTACCCCCAGAAGACTCGCATGTAAAGAAAAAGGAGGTTGTTCTATCATCGCATTCTTTCATCCATGAGATGGTGTCGAGGTGTTTCTGCTGGTTTATAGAGCAGTTAATCCCGTTCTCACTATTGTTTCTTATCTTTTAAGAGCATCAATATCATGCAAACTATCTTCATTGCATACATATGTCTACTCAATTACAATCTGCAGTACCTAGTAGCGATAATTTCGAAGCCAGCTCTTTAGCTTGGCAAGGGCTTTACCTAAGATTGGTACTTGGATGAGATTTTATTTCTGCTGAAAATGTACTCTACTAGTAACTAATTTACATGACAAGGTTCTGGAGTACCTAATCAAGTTGATAACAGGCTGCCTAACCGCCTAAGCAGCTAGACACACGATAAAACTCTAGCGATATCATTGTCTACTTTCTAACTTTATTGCTAGCCACTTTGCCTAGAGTATCGCCGCTCACACGTTGAACGAAAGTTACTTCATAGTTCTCCGTTTGATTTATTGCTATCCATGTCTGCTCGTAATTGGTAGCATCCGGGAAACGATTAATTAAAGGTAAAGATTCGCGCATGTCAGGACACAGCCCCAGTGACAAAGTTGATGCGATGAATAGAAGATGAACGGAAAATCCACAGACCCGAATATTCTCTCCGCAGATAATATTGATAAATTTCTTTCTACCAGGAAGGCGGATCAAGGGTATGAGCCGATTGCTCCAGAGCGATGGCAAGGGGGGGATTTCTCGAAGATGCAGTCGCTTCCGGTTTCATGCCAGACAACCCGTTGTTTCTCCTGGTGATCAGGCTGTTCCTCCTTGCGCTCCCATTCCAGATCCTCCACTCGCGCCGAACGGCTTTTTTGAGACTCATTTCCCACCATATGAGAAATACCAGAGAAATATCCGGTGGAAGGCTCGCTATCATTATCAGTTCGGCTGGCCGGGCCCTTGGGAGTACACACCCGGACCTCATTCAAGAAAGCAATTGCCGCCTCTTCTTCGGCTCTGGCTGCGGCAACGGCTTCAACAAACCTGGTTCGAAATCCGGCCTGGGTGAGGGGCGTACTGGATGGTTGTTTGTCCCATTCTTCGCTTACCAACATCCATTCTTTTAGAAACTCTTTGCGAGGGACTGGGCTCCATGAATTCTCGCACATCCACCATGGTCGGGTTGGGAGGGGGATCGGGTCAGTGAGGGGGCTTTTATCGTTGAGAATGCCGAGTAATATGCTTTCCATCTTCTCAGGCATTGGGACTCGTAGAAGGCCCGGGAATCCGGGCACCGGGTAGGAGTCGAATAGTTGGGCGATTCCATTAGAGGATAGGCTAGGGTCCTGGGTTTCAGCGTACTGCTTTTCATGGTCTCCTGTCTGGGGATGGGGATCCTGGGGGTCATGACTAACTGTCTCTAGTCCTTGGGAGAGAAGGGTGTCAGCGTCGGATACGTTCGGGGTTGTTGCTGCGGTTGTCGCGGCCGTTGCCGTCTTGCTCGAGGAGAGTCGAGGGATCTCGATGCTGCCGATATCGGCGAGAGCTTCTTTGATCTTGACGAGTTCAATGTCTTCTTGAGTATGAGTTGGGGTCGTCGCTGGAGGTGAGTCTTCGATGGGTGGGACGTAATCGGGGTCGAATACCAGCTCAAAGGAGCTCATGGATTCTAGAGGGTCGAGTTGCTGGTGTCGATGAGACTGGGCTTTTTGCGGCTGCGGCTGCGGCTGCGGCTGTGGCTGTGGCTGCTGCTCACTGGATGAACTGGCTGTTGCTTTCGTCACAGAAATTTGCGATGATTTGCGACGGCTAAAGAGAGGGCGACGGCGCCCCGTTCGGATCCCCGACGTGAACTGAGGTTTTTTCGGAGCTTGTCGACCTGACGTATTCTCCTTTGGCTCTGAATCATCCTCATTCAAGCTGGAGTGGGATGGATTGCGAGTGATGCTACCACCGTCGGGCTGTTCGAGAAGCAGCCGCGTGGTCTTGTTCGATTCGCCTTGAGAGGCACTTGACTTCTTCAATATGGGCTGAGGCATGGCCTTGGCTTGAATTGGCTGCGGTTTCATCTTTGGCTTGGATACTGATTTGGATACCGGTTGGGATGCTGCGTAAGATGGCGAGCCAGTAATTGGGTGATATTCTGGATGCGCTCGGAGCTGTGTAGGGCAGATCTGATTAGCACCTTGAGAAGTATGTGAGTTGAAGCTGTGATAAGGCTGAGAGGCTAGTAGGCTGGGAAGCCAGGTCGGGTGGGGACCAGTGAATGTGACAAATTAGACATATTAGTGAATGCCTACCTGTTGGCCTTGTTTGTCTAGGGGTTGCCCGGTCTGACCGGGAAGGATAATGCGAGAGACAAGATCATTCAACTTCCCAACCTTCATCTCGGTGAGCAGGCTTTCACTACTCCAGATCCGCCAAAAGAGATACTCTAATCTGCAATCTGCCTGGGATTCGCTGGCACGCCGTGATACGAGGAAGGCTAACGGTCCCGACTACGTTAGATACGTCTGTCTAAAATTGATGTCGCAAGCTCAGGCACATACCTTGCCAGAGTCCTTTGACCATTATTAGATCCACATTCTGAGTTCTGCGCAACTCCTTCGGCGTCACCTGAGAAATCATCAACAAACTTGGGGAAATCTTTTGTTCCATGATGAGTCGTGAATAGTGGTGAGCTGCCGAGAGCGCTGAGCTGTCAGATCACACGGGATTGCACTTGTAAGGATGATGCAAGTGAGTGAAGATGGTGACCATCGGGGACGGCGAGGTGTGACAACCCCCAAGATTTCGGCTATAATGACGAAATAGGGAACGAGAAATGGTCACTCTGGAGGATAGTACAAGAATCCTTCGATATAGTCAGGCTTTAGGATGAGTAGGAAAGCCCAAGCCACCGAAAGTTGGTAATGGCGATATTGTCGGTACACGCTGCGGTGAAGATGCTGACAGTGAGGCGACCAGTCAAAAGGAAACGCGGGGGGCCAACAACGGGTCAAAGAAGCAATATAGGTGGACGTATGAGTGGTTGATTGGATGGCGTTGATTTGATGGGGGTAAAATGAGATGGAAGGGAATACGAAACGGGGACTCTGCGTTGTCCCTCAGAAGTCACGAGGCTTCTTGTCCAGTGACTTGATCGCAATGCAGTCAACGACAATGATCCCTGATCACCGATCTCCTTGAACTCAACATACAGCCCCAAGAAACCCGGCGGTAAGAAAACAAAATCCTTGAAGGTCCGAGTCTGAACTGTACTGTATACCCAACTGCTACCTGACTGGACCACGATTCTACGTCCAACTATGACATCGAACCAGCGGTGAGCAGAGGCACAGTGAAAAGCAGACCCAGTAGTACAACGGGGGTCAAGAAGTGACGAAATCACAAAGAAGTGGATATGGATGATTGCTTTGCGAATAAATACTAAGTGGCGTTAGAACATTCGGATGCTTCCTGTCATCGAATCGGACAGTCGGGACGGGCCGGGATTGGGGGCTGGCTCGACCGGATTATAAGGGCTAGCGGTCTCGGTCTCCATACGAAGTAGCCAGATCGAGTTACCACTTGGAGCAGTCGGCCTTCTCAAATGACAAATTTGAATCCAACCACGCCCCCTCATCATTACATTCCGATTTGCCCCTTGCGAACAGCGCCCCATCGCCCTACCTTCCTATGCAATTGAACTTGGGCTAGCTAGCCATGGCTGAATGCTCCGCATTTTAGCTACATTTAATTGGCTGCTTGTGATTGAGGGCGAATGGAACAAGACCTACCTTGGGGATCTGATGATCAGCAAACGCGCACTCCTTGAAGATGTCCAGGGATACTCGGATATGAGAACCTTCCCGGCGGATTGTTGCCCAACCTGCGGCCGAACTTCCATCTCGATCGATGCATGGAATTTCTCCCTACTGCACCTTCCCGCGGGGGTGGAGAAGTTTGATCAAATCAATTCGACGTGACTGCACGCTGGAGGAATGTGAGAGCAAGCTGCAGACGCAAGCTTGTCTCATCTGGACTGCACTCGTCAGGCCTTCGGGAAATCCCCCTTGATATCCCCGCATTGGCCTCCGCCATGAGACCCACCGATCGGTATTCGAAAGGCGCAGGGAAAATGGGGGGAAGCAGGTTTGATCTAAATGGACACCCCTTGCCAGCTAGTTATACATTTGACTCTATGGGAATTTGATTGGAGAAAAGAAATTGATAGTATCCAACTATTCAATCATGAGGATTAATGCTCTCATGGCACTAGTATGCGGAAGATAGCGTCCAGCAGGCCACATCGGTTTTTTACTTGCCACAACCGAGCCGGTGTTTGTAATTAAGGCAATTTGAATCTAACGTTTAGTTTACTGAGTCTATAACTTGAAATGGATAATAGGACCTTTGAGGATGCTGGGCAGTTTACCAGTGGTAAGTATCATGTTTACATCTCTAGCACTGGCTAGAAGCACCACTAGTTATTAACACTATTAATTAATTACTACTTTCTGGCGTTGACTTTACTACTAGTATTACTAGTAGGTACCTAGGTATTACCTGGGTATCAGGCCGGATGTTAAAGCATTGTTTCTATCGCGGGCTATAGAGCGTCATAGAATTAAAAGGTACAAGCAAAACGTTGATGTGGCCGGTTGGACACTATCGTCCGCCTCATGCATAATATCATTGGATCTCTGGGCTACGCGGCTAAGTTGCTTTCAAGTTGAGCTCATGATTCCAACTCAAAGGTTATGTCCTGGGCGCACAAAAGTTCAATTGCTTCTAAGACCGCGACTTGATATGGATCACTTATTTACAGATTACCACCGGTCCTAATGGTCGCCGATGCGCCTCGGTACCAGTATCAACCAGTGCCAGTTTCTCCTTTACCTGTCCACAATCTATTCTATAGAGCAACCGGTGATTTCTAGTCCACATAGAACTACATCAATGTTCTTGCTTATGATGCTCGATCCACCACCACCACCGCCGTCTCGTGGTCCGCGAACAGCTCCATAGTATCGAGGAAATATGACCTGCTTTACCTCATCTACACAATACTCGATGGGCGTATAACTCAGTTGGTAGAGTGTTCGCTTTGCATGCGAAAAGTCTGGCGTTCGAATCGCCATTCGTCCACTTTTTTGGCCAAGCGCCAAAGTTTTTGCTCAGCGAGAGTCGACCAACCAACCAACCCACCCAGAACAATACTAATAATACCAGATCATATCACAAGCCTTCCAAGTCCAAACAAATAGTGAGTGATACCGGGCTGGATAGTGGATCAAGAAATAATTTGTTTATCATTTATGTATGGAAGTTCTTTTGTTGATTATTGCACAGCTTCTAAGATGGTGTGTCAAACAAAAGTTAAATGTGTCATTTCTTGCTAGGAACCACAAGCTTTTTGAAACTCTAAGGAGGGCCTAGACTCTAGAGAACAGAGATAGCATGTATGGTTGCAGTAGTCATATGTTACTTATCTCTCCTCTCCGAACGGAGAGCAAAAAATGGACGAATGGCGATTCGAACGCCAGACTTCTCGCATGCGAAGCGAGCACTCTACCAACTGAGTTATACGCCCGATAATGACGTAATTTCGGGCTCCACGCAATATCCCGCTTCACTATACTATTGCTTGGGGAAAGAATTGCGATCTAAGCGTGAAACCATTGCGGTACTCCATCGCGGCAACCAACTCAGCAGGCCAGCCAGGGTAATTGGCAATTTAGGCCACATGGACCTGTAATAGCAGACTAACGCCTCAAATAAATTGAAGATGGGGCCCAATAATGCCCAAGGTAGCACTGTAAAGCGAATCTGACAACAGCTGCTACACTACATTCCGCACAGAGATAGTATTACCCTAGGCCAAAAAAAATATATGCTTGGGACTAGTAAATATTACTGAGCCACTGGCAGTTGCTGCTATGGAGCGCCGAAGTCTACCCATCTATTATTAGATGGCCTTTTCAAGTCCAAGCAAAATAGACGACCGTAATCAGCAAGCATTTAGATCTTGCTAAAATCATGTAAAAAACCTCTCAAAGCGACCGTATTATAACGGCCACTAACATGGCTTGGTGAAAAATGAAACGTAGAGCATTTTAGTAGACCTAGACTATTCCATGACAATCGGGAGAGATGGAAGACTAGCCAACAAGTAGCCATTATTGTTTGCGACAGACGATTTCCCCATGCAATAATCCGAACCATGCATCCTCATCTTCTACAAATGCTTTCCACCCCATAGCGATCTTATCGAAATCTTCCTGGCTTGCGTATCCTTCGTTTAAAGCTGTCGTCGTAAATCCAGATGATCTCGCCCGTTCTCCCATGGAACCACCCCAATATTCACGTTCTCCCTGACTGCTAAAGCACCAAGAGCCGGCGGTTTTTTTGATACTTTCTCGTGGGAATCCCGCTTCATGCGCCCAAACATGTATATACCTTCCTGGATAAGGGTTTCCTCCTTTCGCGCGCCCCATTCTCTCCCCGATTTCTTGCCATGCAGCAATACCCTCAGATTCCGGATACCAGGTTTGCGACGCAGACTCGCGCACCGCTACGATTCCACCTTTCTTGACCACGCGACGCATCTCCCGGAGAGCAAGGACAGGGTGGGCTATGTGTTGTAGCACTTGATGTGCGTGGACAATATCGAAGGTGTCATCCGGGAATGGGATAGCATGGATATCGCCAACCTGGAAGCTGACATTGGTGATGTTTTCCGAAGCAGCGAGTTTTCGAGCTCCCTCAAGTGGTTCAGGGACATATTCAATACCGGTTACGTGCCCGCGGGGTACGTGTTTGGCGAAATCAATTGTTATGCTTCCTGGGCCACAGCCGACGTCGAGGATTTGCAAGTCTGGCTGGATGTAGGGAAGCACGTAGGCTGCGGAGTTGGAAAGCGTGCGCCATCCGTGCGTTTGAATGACCGAGGCGGAATGATCTGTGGTGTATACTTTCGACATTTTGGATGTTCGTAGAGAGTCTCTCGAGTTGAAATTGCCCGGGTGCATTCCAACTTAAAGGTTCAAATCAATTGCGGGGTAGTTGTGGCATGATGTCAGTGGCGGAGTTCCGAGATGAGACCCCGGAGTTGACGAAGTCACCGGAGTTGAGCGGTGGCTCAATTGGGCTGTAGCAGTACCTACCTAGGTAAGTTCCAAACTTCCCAGGTCCCTCGGGTATTTCAAAAACTTCAATTTCAAGTTGAACTCCAGGGCTTGAACCTTCAACCTTGGAAGTTGCTTGAAGTTGGAAGTCTGTGATATATAGTACCTACCTAATAGATACTAGTACTATTGCTAAAGGCCCGGGGGTTTGACTGGAACTTGAACTTCACCTGGGCAAGGATTCCAGGTGTTTGAGCCTTCAAGTTGAAACATCCCTACTAGTAAGTAAGTATTGGAGGCCAATCCCAGAAATTCAGACACTACATCAGGTGCAATATGCCCGTAGATATTATTCACGAATCTTTTATACCGAGTCATTATGAAACTGTGGGACCTGCGCTATCCCTAATACGGTGTACGAGAGCGATGGCGCTAGTGCCCAATTTAGTTAGCGTTGAGGTTCAGAAGTTGTGTGACCCATGAGCACCCAATGAATTACCGTCAAGCCTTCCGATATTCTTTAGTACCTACTAGGAAGTATGGATTCTGATTAGCGACTTAGGATATATTACCTCGGTATTCACTATTGGCTGCGCAAGCGATATATTTCCCTCGAGTTCCGAAAATATAGACTCAGAGGTTTGCTTCCCATCCCCGCCATCGCAACCTCGGAATGAACGAAAACTGAGAAGCCCCAGCATTGAACGTCTGGAAGAAAATATATCTCCAACACTCGAGGGGTCGCTCGAGTCTAATTGACCGGCATCATGATATCAAAGATGATCCCCAATACCAGTATTGACCTATCCCCAATTGAAGTTCCGCCACCCACAACTCTCGAGCAAATCCGGACCTCAAAACTCCGCCCTTTTGGCTCTGTTCTCTCCGGCATCGACAAGCAGTCTCGCACTGGAAAATTATATGTCTCATCCGTCGGCTTGTCAGAAGACGAGCACGATCTTACGTTTCATGGTGGAATCGACAAAGCCATCCATCAATATTGCGTCAGTCACTACGCCTTCTGGGGCGAATTGTTCTCATCGCCCGAAATTTGCGCGAAGTTTGTGCCTGGAGGCTTTGGCGAGAATCTTGTTGCTAATGGTTTTGACGAGAGCAACATCTGCATCGGCGATCTAGTGAGAATTGGTCCCTCGGGCTCTCTTCTTACCGGTGGTAGCAATGGTTGCCTTTTGGAGGTCAGTTTGCCGAGGCAACCTTGCTTCAAGCTGAACCAGCGGTTTGGAATTAAGAACTTTGCACCTCGAACTCACCAAGAGGCTAAGACGGGATGGTATTATCGTGTGAAAGAAGAAGGCTGGATTGAAGAAGAGATGGAAATTCGAGTCATTCAAAGGAGTCATCCTAGATGGTCAATTGCTCGGCTGCATCATTATGTCCACCGTGACAAGACGGATATCTCAGTGACACAAGAGCTCATGGAAATCGAGGCGATGGGCGCCGAGTGCAAAGATGTTTTCGAAGGGAGATGGCAAAAAATTCAGGAAAAAGAAAATGCCACCACGCAAACATGGAGGGACTTCAAGATCAAGTTAAAATCCCCAGAGACTCCGCGGATAGTTCGGCTTGATCTTGAAGCTATTCTGAAAACTAAACAGCCTACCGATATTGCGGCTGGAAGCCATGCCGTGATAAAACTACCCAACGGATTAAAGCGGGCATACTCCATTGTCAGCGGCAACACGAATTCCTTTGTGCTTGGAGTCGCCCTGGACGATACTAGCCGTGGCGGCTCAAGTTATATCCACGAAAGTCTCAATTCTGGAGATATTGTGTCATTGGGTGCGGTATCACAGAGCATGTCTCTAGACAATATGGCTTCACACCACATCTTTATCGTTGGAGGCATTGGCATTACCGCATTTCTGGCCATGATGAAGCGCCTTATTGATACAAACCAAACATTTCACCTCCACTATGCGGTCCGGAAATCCGATGAAGTCGCATTTAGGTCCTTGCTATCGGAGCTCGGCCCAAATATTACCATCTATGACAAGTCTCAGTGGCAGCGCTTGGACATGTTCGATATATTCATGAATCGGATTTGGAACAGCCACATCTATATATGCGGGCCACAGAGGATGATAGATGCGGGAATAGAAACTGCCTCTGCTATTAAAATGCCTTCCGACGAGTTGCACTATGAAGTCTTCCAAGCTGATACATCAGGAGATCCATTCACTGTGGAGGTTGTCTCCGACGAAAGAAAAGTTGACCTGCAAGTTGAATCCGAACAAACGCTCTTGGAAGTCGTGAGAGATGCTGGTTTCGAAATAGGCAGCTCTTGCGAAACAGGAAACTGTGGAACTTGTCGAATCAAGATCAGATGCGGAGAGGTACAGCATCGAGGATCGGCTCTCACTAAAACAGAGCAGAGATCCGAAATGCTTTCATGCGTTTCCCGGGGCATTGGTCACATTGTTGTCGAACTGCCCGAATGTTGAAACAGTTGACACCAGCCGGCACTGGGATGATTTCCTAGGTCTTAGCTTTGGAAGTCCTGCTCTCAGTTTTGGACGCAACCGCACTGTAATCCATGAAGATCTTGAGAAATTTCTGATAGAACTGCCTTTTTGGATAATATTTCTAAAACACTATAACTTGAACTTGAAGCTGTTTATAAAAATGCCCTCATTCTCTCCACAATACACAAAAGTGTCATGGCTTGGCCATAGGGCATGGCCGTGAGCTTGATTGCCTTGTAGAATTCCTTGCTTGGCCCCATTGGTGTTCCGAAACTTACATTTTGGACTATACCCTTCTCATTGACATTATTAATGACTGCCTCAAGAGCCTTCAGTCCAATAATTTGGTAATCTTTCGAAATGTATCTCATCCGAACTGCCTTCAGAATGCCGAAAGCAAATCCTGCCGAAGCGGATACTTCCAGGTAGGAGGTCGAATCATCAATGAGTGTATGCCAGAGCCCATTAGGATTTTGGAACCTTTTCAAAGCAAGCACTTGTTGATCAAGGGCAGAGACCAGAAACTCTCGGATATGGTCACCGGGAGATAGCTGAAGAAGAGAAATAAATTCGGGGATCGCGATTGTAACCCATGAATTGCCTCTTCCCCATAGAGCCTCGGCGAAGTTGTGTCTTTCCAGGAATGTCCAGCCGTGATACCATAGGCCGGTTTTTGTATCTGTCAGATACTTGATATGTAGCAAGAACTGTCGCTTGGCTTCCTCGATATAGGCTGGGCGGTTGAGCAATACGCCAATTTTGGCAAGTGGCAGAACACTCATCATGAGAGTGTCGTCCCAAAGTTGGCCTTCATTGACTTGACGGAACGTTATGTGTTGAATGCCGCCCTCTGCACCGAGTTTTAGAAGATGAATAATTATTTGATCGTTTGATTTTCACTTACCCTCTGTTCGAGGAATCCCATCCATGATGAATTCAGCCCAAGATTCAAGATATGCTCGGTACTCGATTCTTCCAGTTCGCTCATAAAGATAGGCTAGTGTGAGCATAGGCGCCATGCTGTTCACATTTTTAGTTGGCGTGCCCTTTGCGAATTGCTTGTCGAACCATTCTTGAATATGGGCAAGGACTGTCTCATCTCCGGTAGTCTCGAAGAGCATCCACATTCCGTACAGTCCAACCCCCTGGGTCCACTCCCAATTGTTCCATGACTTGGAATCAACCTTGAAGCCTCCAGTTGGTATTGGCACACGAAATTCCCCCGACTCGTCCTTCAAGTGAACCAAACTGTCGACAAGCTTGAGTGCCAAGGACTTGGTGTCGGATAAGCTCATCTCGGCAAGTGGCGTTTTCACTTCGAAAGGGGTATTCACCACGCCATCCTTGGCGAGGAACACGGACAAGACATCTTCGACAGGTGCTGACATATTTGCACCAATTCAATTGTATTTTAGTAGTGGTAGGTAGATTCTGTACAGCTTTAAACTATACTTTGTGGTCGCCATATTGTTGTATTTTAAGAGCGTGCTCGGAAAAGGGATCGGTCAAAGTGCCGAGTGACACGATTGTTTCCATCAATCAAAACCTACGCAATGAGAGAGTTTCCGATGATCCTCGTCCTCCGCAGAACCCCTCACCTAGCTACCCCGGTTTCCGATTTCGATCGACATCTGTGGCGCGCAGGATGCCAGCCACAATGATTTTCCACCAGTCACTTCACGAACAACACGATCGTCCGAGCAATCATTAATCAGATTGTGCTTATCCGAAGCTTGGCCTAGCGACACCAGATCCCAATCGAGTAGAAGTCGGAGACACCCGAAAGGGTCGTCTAGCGAAGCATGTCTTCGGATAACTTCAACATAGAAAGAATCTTTCGCAATGCTGCCGGAAATTACACGTCTGGCTCACAAGACTGGAAATTCTTCGTGATAGGTTTCGGCGATCCGTGTCTTATCTCCACCCCGCAAAGCTATCAATGCTGATAGTATGGGGAAGAAGGGTATAAGATGCAATTGCCGGTGCCGGTGTGGGGTATGTGGATCTAGCTTCCAAGCATTTTGCATTTCTACGCATACAGAATGAGTGGACCAAAGCCAACTGAGCAACATCTGGAATGCATTTCGTCTCCAGATCCTGATGTCCTTCCAGACAAGCACGCTGCGGTCGATGAAGAATTGCGTAGGTATGTTGTCGCGGCGGGCTCAGTTGAAGTGGATGAGGCGACGAGCAAGCGACTTCGGAGATTGATTGATAAACGCGTCTTGATCGTTATGGTTGGGACATATTTCCTACAATCTCTGGACAAAAATGCAATCAGCTTCGCAGCTATCATGGGCATTCAGAAAGATGCCCACCTTGTAGGGCAAGATGTGAGTTCCTCAGCTGTACTATTTTGAGTGTCTGGTCTAACTTCGGATAGTATTCTTGGCTTCACACGGTCATCTATTTCGGAATCCTGTTCGCTGAATACCCGACGAATCTCCTTGTGCAAAAACTTCCGATCGGAAAATACCTTGCCGCCAACATTTTCCTCTGGGGATTGACTCTGACTATGAATGTCTTCGGGTTCAACTTTGCTATACTTTGTGCATTAAGGGTTTTGCTTGGGATCTTCGAAGCGGTATCGCAGCCAACATTTTTGCTTCTCTCGTCTATGTGGTATAAGCGCGAGGAACAGGCTCATATCGTGGCCTACTGGTATGTAAGTATCAGTAAACCGATCGTCATTGAGATTTAAGACCGTGCTAATTGTATCTAGGGAATGGTGAGTTTGACCATATATATCGAAGTAAATCAAAGTCAAGTTTTTAACCCATTATAGAACGGCGTTCAAGGAATCGTCGGTGGTCTCTTCGCCTATGGAATGAGCCATGTCAACTCCCCAGTCCTCAAATCCTGGCAACTTCTTTTCGTCTTGCTCGGCTGCGTCACCTGCCTCTGGTCCATCTTCGTCTTCTGGTGGATGCCAGACAGTCCCATGCGAGCGACGTGCTATTCGGAGACAGATCGAATTCTGATCATCGAAAGAGTTCGCGCCAATCAAACCGGAATTCAAAATCGCAAGTTCAAAAAGGAACATGTCCAGGAGGCTATCAGGGATCCTCAGATTTGGCTCTATATATTGATTCAGATCGTGTAAGTAATCGCGATACCTTTTTTTCGCCGTGCGGGTAATAATAAGACTTCACAGTATCCAAATCCCAACCGGTGGCCTGGGATCTTTCTCCACGATTATTATTAATAATTTTGGATTCAGTGAGCTCGATACGGAGCTACTTTCGATGGTCAATGGCGCCGTTCAATGCGTCGTACTCCTGAGTGCAGCATGGTTATCTCGCCATTACAACCAAACGATTCTATTCCAATTTGTGAGAAGTTGCCCCAAATCGAATACCAAGAGCCGAGCTAACAAACTGAATAAAGGCTTTCTTGCTACCGAATATTGCCGGAACCGCCGTTCTAATGGGTAAGCGTGCATCATAGTGGGAATTTCCTTTGGAAAAAGCTAATTTTCAACAGCTGTACCAATTTCCAATTCTACAAAAGTCGGTCTATTGATCGCCTATTGGTGTACCTTGTCCTTCTGGGGCACCACAGTGCTTCTCATGTCTCTACTTTCCCGAAACGTAGCTGGCCAGACAAAGAAATCAGTCAGCACGGCATCATTATTCCTCGCATGGGCGGTGGGAAATATGATCGGACCTCAAGTATTTCAATCAAAGGATGCGCCGAGGTACTTTACATGTTTTTCGGTTCACATGGGATGTTATGCTTGTATCATTATTCTTCTTGGGGTTCTCCGGTGGCACTTGAAACGGGAGAACAGCCGGCGGGATCTATTACAGGTAAGTCCACACAGCATCGGAGAAGCCGATTAATCACAGCACTAAAACGAATATTTGAAAATTTAGGAAGATGATTGGAGAGCTTCTGAGGCGAATTTGGACAATGCCTTTGATGATTTGACAGATCGGGAGAATCTTAGTTTCCGGTATAAATACTGAGAGGAGGGAGACTTGAAGAAATGGAAATTTCGGGTTGGCCCTACTTTGCATGAATAGCCAGAATATGAGCAAATGCGATTGGTAATGTTCAGTGTTCACCATGAAATATCGGCAACTCGTAAAATTAGGCGCCAGCCTGAGGGCACCGGGCACCTCAGGCATTCACAGGTCGCCGCGGAACCTGCCTCGAGGAAGCTCCGAAGGGTTGCTTATCGGGCTGCTTATCGTCTCGCTTATCGATCTACCTTCAGGCACCTTGAGGCAGGAGTATATAGTTTGCTACTTCTCTCACTTGCACTCTTTCTCTCACTCACTCTCTTTCTATCTTTCATACACCATCACACACACACACACACACACACACACACACACACACACAATCACTCGCACTCGCACTCGCACTCTTACTCTCACCCTCACCCTCACTCTCACCACTCTCTTCCATCTGATCGCAAATTGAACTACATCCATGGGCCCTGAGGGGCTTTCAGCATCAGGAAGCAGATATTACAGGGAATGAACCCGAAGGTGCTACCATTTACTACTGGCAACATTTGTTCCAAGCTTCACTTTCCTTTCCTACTCCGAGTCTTCTCCATGTCAGATCCGCGGGACATCCAGTTCAATATTAGGTATGTTGAAATTTGTCACTTCTTCTCCAACACCTGGGCACTCAACAGTTCATGTTTAAGCGAAGAGAATCATGCCACTTCAAGTTACTTCCAAAGAGACAAGCATCCGTCTCTCTTCCCTTCAGGTAAGTGGTATGAATATCCTGAGACACATGCACATGTTCCCTTCATGAAAATCGGCTTCAAGAGTCACTAATTTTCGAGCAGGCTCGAAACTTTACCACCCCAGTGACAGAGGTTCCTCCCGTCGGTGGGTTGGCCATCGGCCTGTCCGTCTACGAGAAGCCGAGATCTCCATTGCGCAAGAAATGATGCACTCCTGTATGCCCTGAACGGGGGCCGTGCCACTCCTTTCCGTTCCCATTCTTACCTACGACCATTGTTATATCCTTGACCATCCACTCTTACCCCGGCGATTGTCATCGCCATGCCTCTTCTTATCTTCATGTTTATTGTTATTCCCATGTATCCTTATCCCCATGTATTCTTATCCCCATGTATTGTTATCTTTATCTCCATGCCCTGAGTGGGGGCAGACACTCCTTTCCACTCACATTCTTACCACCATATTCTTATTCCGAAATTATTATCCCTATTCTGCTATCTCCATGTTTATCATGACCCTCAGAAATATCACTATCTCTTCGACTATCATTAAGTTGGTAACTATGAATACAAATCGTAGTCATTGGAAGCCTACCAATCTTTACTTAGGAGGGTTAAACCTTACTGGTTATATTGCAGCACTTGAAGACTGATTTGGAATTTGCTTAGTATCGCATAAACTCGTGGCCCAAAGAATGATTACGAACATCTCTAGAGGATCTTTAATCTATGGGATACCGTAGTACTTAGGTAAGCGTTGGAAACAATAACGCCGTGTTATTGTCCGATGGATCTAGGGTAGGCTACGCACGTTTCGTGACTAGATTTCGAGGTTTTGCAGATCAAATTATGGGAAATCAACATCATAGGGATGCACAGAAGCATGCACAGAGGAGTGCCTAGTGGTCGAATTCCAACGGATCAAGTCAATGTGTATCCACCGTCCACGCGGAGATCGGCACCGGTGATATACTTCGAAGCATCGCTAAGAAGGAAAGTGACAGCACCCATCAAGTCTTCAGGGGTCCCCATTTTTCCGACGGGGATCAAGGAAGTCCATTTATCGCGAAGCTGGGGATTTTCGTCGAGGATCTTGCGTGTTCTGTGTAAAGATTTGTTAGTTCTTGTTCAGTAGAAGCTACTGCTAGTAGTCACAAAGCGCAGGCTTGGTATGGCGATCTCGGCCATGAAGCGCAGGGAGGAAAACACTCACAAAGCAGTCAACATATAGCCAGGCGAAATACAATTCACACGAATATCATGCCCGGCCCACTCAACCGCCAACGAAGCAGCAAGATGTCTCACGGCCGCCTTGGCCGCATTATACGGCGCCTGCGGCTGAGGTACATTGACAATTGATCCGGACATCGAGCCGATCATGACGATGCTTCCGGGTGCATTGCGCTCCATCAGATGCTTGGCTACGCCTGTAGCGAAAAGGTAGGTTCCATCGACATTGACGCCCCAGAGCTTCTGCATGCGATCGAATGGGTAATTGATAGCTTCGAAGTTCTCTGTGAAACCGGCGGATGTAACGAGGTTGTCAATCCGGTTGTGTTTCGCGAGGACTTCGGATAGGGCGGCATTTACCGAGTCGGGGTTGGATACGTCGGCGTAATGGGCTGTGATGTTTGGTGGTCTGATTTCGTCGAGAGGGGATGAATTGATTAGCTAGATGTCTATTTGGGAAGGGAGGGACATTGGCGGCGTACTGCTCAAGGCCGGGGTTCTCTTTTTGGAATTGTTCGATAAGCTTCTGCGCTTGTTCTTCTGCCTCAGCCTCTTGATGCAAGTGTCAGTGCTGGTAAATTTCCGAGGTAGAAGGCTTGAAAAGACTCACTATTCAAGTCGACAATAGCCAGATTTGATCCCGAAGCAACCAGTCCTTGCGCCATGACCAGTCCTAGTCCACGGGCACCGCCAGTCACCAGGGAGACTCTGTTCTCCAGCGAGAACGACGCCAGAGTACGCTTGAAGTGCATCCCGCCACGGCCCTGGACGACTGGCTGAGCTGGCATTTCACTGTCTGGAGGGTATTCGATCTGTACACTCTCGTCGGTTCGGGCGAATTGGCCTTCGTGTTCGCCGGAGGCACCGCCCGGGGCCTTGGTGGTGGCCGAGAGAATTGGGTCCTTTGAAGGGTCATCTTTTTGGATGTCGCGGGCTGCGGTGCATGTTAGTGGGCGGATTAAGTTGACGCTCTTCGGTGACCTCGCTGCAGCTGTCAGAACTGGCAGGTGGGGGAATGCATTTCGAGTTGTCCTGGAGACAATGCGATTGAACATGATCAGTGCGATGGCTTTGGGAAGTTTAGAACTCGCAGAGAGGTTAGTAAATCCTATAGCAGGGGGAGTTTAAGGAAACGAAATACGGAGGGATTGTTCAGGATGCCAAATTTGCTATTTGAATCATCGCTCTCCAATGGAGGATAGCTTCTGGAATACAGGGGCTATCATGATGCAAGCCACCAGCCTGTGATTGTCGGGTTTGAGGGAGAGGCAATTGAGTTCAGGTTTGGGGTAAACAAATAGACCAACAATAAGCAATAAGCAGCCCGGGGAAAGATGGGGCAAGTTCCCCGCTGATGTCAGATAGGCGATCATATCACCGTATCATTAAACAGATTTTACGAGAACCACTGAGTATTTCTATATGGGCCCGATTCTGGAATTTTGCTGTGCTAAATCTTTTTTCGTATATGTATAGAAAGATCTTGTGTTGGTATCAAGTCTCTTCTTACAATGATTGCTTCGAAATGAATGATCTAACAATATCACAATTTGCCGCAGGCTTACTCTGCTCGGTTATTTTTGCCACTAACGCTCGGCTGCACAAAGAGTCGGTACTTACGGAGTAGTAGTATGATATGCGGAGGTGGCAACTGTAACTCAAGTGCATAAAGACGATACTAGCATTGGTGAAGACTGTTTTATTTTGACATTATGTAATTGGAGTTAACACAACTTCTATCCATTCTGAAAGACTCGTTCAAAGAATTCGATTTATCTAGTGTGAAATATGAAATGTGAAGTGTGGATTCCAAGGTTTGTTGCAGTAACTATTTCAATTGCAGCATGCCATAACTCCCGAACGTGCAAAATAGACAGAAAAGAGGAGACTAATATGCCCGTGTTTCAATCATTGCTCTTCCGCCTCAGCGAACTCAACTAGGGGTGTTCCGCTCTTACATTGGTCCTGTGAATTACAATTAGCTCGGTTCTCCAAATGATTAGTGGATATTGAAACAATCTCTGTGAGGGAAGGACAGGCTCGACGGAAGATGAACACATTGAGAGAGTTGGCCTGTTCAATACGGAACCAATACCAGCCCACCGCAAAGCGAACAGATCCAATTTAGAAACCGACCAGGGGGTCACGAGATGTTCCCGATTGGAGGAGGTCAGGAGGGGTAAATGACTTACACCTTGTTTGTGGACGACACGAGCAATCTTCCCTTGTTGTGGGCTGCGGATGACGGTCTCCATCTTCATACTTTCAATCACCACGAGTGGCTGATCCTTCTCGACGATATCGCCAGCCTGCACATCCACGCGTAGAATCTTGCACGGCATCGGTGCTAGAACACTGTTGGCGACATCCTTCATGCCCAGTGCCTTCTCCATCCATTTGGCCCGTGGCACTGTGAGTCGATATTGCATGCCTTTCTGGAATGCGATGATAGTATCCTCATCTCGAACGACGGTTGTGTCTAGGCGCGTATGAGGGAAGAATGATGTGACGATATGAGAGGCCGGATTCATGTGACTCTCAACTTTTTCGAAAACCCTGTCGCCCACTTTGACGTCAAAGGTATGGTCGGCCGTTTGTTTCACGCTTACACTGAAGCTAGGTCCCTCTGTATTGGGCCCTTTTGATAGTGTAAAAGACAGCTGTCGCTCCTGGTAGCTCGGGGCAAATCCTATCGCACTTCCTGCCAAACCGCCTGCAGCCTGCGATGAGGAATTGGAATCACGGTGCAGACAGGCGAGAGCTGCTTGGGCCAGTACTTCGTCATCAATTTTCTTTTCGGCAAAAAGCTCTTCTCGGTGTTTCTCGATGTAGCCAGTTTCAACCTCGCCGGCAATAAAATCGGGGCTTCGGCAGATCGTCTTCAGGAACTCAATATTTGTGACTGGGCCGGCCACTTCGTACTCTTCCAAGGCAGCAGCCAATTTGCGGAGGGCCTCTTCTCGGGTTTCACCACGGACAATTAATTTGGAGATCATTGGGTCGTAATGCGCCGAGACATCGTCACCTTCCACGAAGCCCGCATCGATTCGGACATCTTCACTCGTCGCGGGAGTTCGGACGTGAACGAGGCGCCCAGAGTCTGGAATGAATCCCTGTTCAGGGTTTTCTGCGTAGATACGGGCCTCGATAGCATGTCCACTCCTAGCAATGTGTTCTTCCACCTGCTCTTGGGTTAAGGGCAACGGGGCGCCCTCCGCAACCATGATCTGCCAGTGAACCAGGTCCTGGCCAGTCACCATCTCGGTCACTGGGTGCTCCACTTGTAACCGAGTGTTCATTTCCATGAAATAGAATTCACCGCTGTCATTGTCGAAGATGAATTCCACTGTGCCAGCACCCTCATAGCCGACGGCTAGAGCGGCAGAACGAGCCTTCGCCCATAGATCCTGGCGGGTCGCCTCTGGAAGATGAGGCGCTGGGGACTCCTCCAGAACCTTTTGATGCCTTCGCTGAATGCTGCAATCTCTCTCACCAAGAGCGACCGAGTTGCCATGCTTGTCGGCAAATACCTGGACCTCGATATGACGGGGAGTCGTAATGTACTTCTCCACGAGCACGTTATCGTCACCGAATGAGTTACGGGACTCGGATTTTGCGGACTCGAGCTGAGCCTGGAACTCAGCCTTGGAGCTGGCAATCCGCATACCCTTACCACCGCCACCCTTGATAGCTTTGATAAGCACTGGGTACTTGATCTTATCGGCTTCGGCTTCGAGGAATTGAGGATCTTGGTTACCTCCATGGTAACCGGGGACACAAGGCACGCCGGCCGCAAGCATTATCTCTTTTGACCGACTGTAATCGATTAGTAAACATTCTAAAGCTCTTATTGGAGACACATACCTCTTGTCGCCCATGTCCTCGATAGCTTTCCATGGAGGGCCGATGAATACTATGCCAGCATCGGTACACTTCTTCGCAAAAGCGGAATTCTCACTCAACTAAGAAATTGTCAGTCTACACTAGAGCATTTGAATATGCAACGAGCAAAAAGTCACTCGTAACTCACAAAGCCATAGCCAGGGTGTATTCCGCGACAGCCTTCCCTCTTGGCAATTTCGATGATTCGATCCCCATCTAAGTATGCCGAGACCGAGCCCAAGTTGAATGCAAAGGGGGAACTCAAGGCATGCTGAGATCGACTATCTGGGTCTGTGTAGAGAGTTGTCACGCGAATGCCATGTTCCGCCGCTGTGCGACCAACACGTCTAGGAACAATCAGCTTGAAAGACCTCAGATTTCCTCCGAGCTGGGTGTACGTACAGCGCAATTTCTCCCCGATTCGCAATAAGAATTGAATCGAGAGAGTTTGTTTTGTGCGGCGTAGTTGAGACAGAGTATGCAGCCCTTGTTGTTCTGCGGGCGGCAGTCGGGGCGAGGCGGGGAGTAATGCGGAGAAGGGACGAGAGGGTCATGGCGGGCGGAATAGAAGGGAAAGCAGCAACAGATGGTAATGGGGTTGCGCTGCTTCGCTAAGTTGTATCCACCAAAGTTGAGAAATCAGAAAGAATTCATGTTCGTGGAGTAGATGGGGGCAAGTGAAGGGAAGAAAGGGCGGTCTTTCTCCAGACCAGCTTGAGCCGACGCTATGCGAGATGCGGGGGAAGCCGAGGTGACATAGGACACCACCGCCTGCCTTGTTAGGAGTGTTCAGTACAGCTACGAGTTATTGTATGATATATGGTTAGAATAATTAAAAATAGCGAGAGAGGTGATCACAGAGGAATATGTGTAGGGATGAGAAACTAATTAGAAACTATCTAAGCTAAAAGGACCTGGGTATACGAGTGTGAACTGAGTAATCCTGTGCAATGGGACAAACGCTCTGGCTGGCACCAGCAGGCCAAACGTTCTGTGCACCAGGACAAAATTAAGGTAGCACATAGGTATGTAATTCAAAGAGAATGGGTCTTATTAGTTCATACTAGATAGCCGCTCTCCATTCCTCCAAACCCCTTGAACATTGACAATGGCATCTATAGATTCTGCCGGATTTCCAGCAACAAGTAACAGGTCTGCCAAACGACCCTCTTCAATCTTGCCCCGATCAGCCAATCTAAACCGGTCGGCTGTCTTTGATGTTGCCGAGCAAAGTGCTTCTTGAGGCGTGAAGCGGCAACGGTTGACATACATCCACAACTCATGATGGACCGAAGCACCGGCTCGAGTACCAGTAAGGTCAGTCGATGTATCCGTTCCACTGGATTATGTTAGCAAGCTGGCAGTTGCATCTTGTTATGAATCTGAGTCTCACCAAATAATATCGATTCCCGCCTCCTTCAGAGTATAGACTTGCTCATACACATTCTTAATAGTGAATTCTTCCCGAGTAATATGGAGACATCCCTGAAGATGCTCTTTCGCGGTGCCTTCCAAGTGAGCGGAGAACCTTTCACGGGATTCTTGCTCTTCACCACTGCAGGAAGCATGAACAGCTAGTGTAGGAACTAGAAAGGCATTGTTTTTCTTGAATGCTTTGACGACTTTCTCGTTGATTGGTTCAATTGATGCGTGAGTCAGCCCATCAACTCCGGCTTGGAGTACGGACAGTGTCGAATGATTGGTCAACGCGTGGGCAATCGTAAGCATGCCATTTTCGTGCGACGCATCCACGATTGCTCTTTGGATTTCCACGGATGGAGTTGGCACTGGAATGGTTGGGAAGGGCAGATTCAGGGTGTGGCCATCTTCTTGCATGAGTTTAGTAAAGCTAGTAGGATAGTTGTATTATCAGTCCCAAAATAATCGCATTTCTCAAAAACCCAAGTAGACTTACCTGGCACCTGCAGCGCGATTTCGGGTAATGAATCCTTCTATCGATGCCCTGTCTGTGAGGTTGGGCCACTTGGATATTCTCTCCTCGACCTGTGTGTGACTTGTAAGTTGAAGACCTCATCAAGTATTTTGCCCAAAAAGTGAAGAACAAACATTCGGCTCCTGCGAAACCAGCTTAACAATAGCAGCCGGCCAACCGTCTTTGATTGTAGCTCCAAATCCGCAAGACTTGACATCAGAGACATCATTTCGTTGGTGGGTCACCTTGCTGATACTCTGAAGCCACTCCGGTTCGTTGTGCATGTCTAATACGGTGGTAACTCCATATTGAATAGCGGTTTCCAAAAGCCCGACATCCTGATTGACATGCACATGAGCATCGATAAGACCGGGGAGTAGAGTGCATCCTGTCGCATCGACGACGGTACAGCCTTCAGGTATCGAAAGTGGTTCTTTCAGCGAAATTCGAGAGATGCGATCGGATTCAATTAGAACATGGCCAGATTCCGTCACAACGGATACGCCGTTGAAAATACGTGCGTTGGCTATCAATGTTGCGGACATTTTGCACCCGTGGAGTGAAGGTTAGGTGGGGGAAGGTTGTGATGTGGCAATGAGCTTTGATATCTGTTCAAGCTCCCTGACTTTATGAAAATGGAAGAAATCGCCCAGTTTTCTACCTACGTATTAATGCATGGCCCCCCCGCGTTGCAATTTATTTCTCGGTTTTTGACGACGGAGCCAATGGCACCTCATCGAGGTCTTCCGAATCCGGCAAATAGGCCCCGCATGTCGTGTCACGATGCGAATTCGCGAACGGATCGCTCTACCCTTTTTAATTCGATTCCCGGATATGGAATGTTCTGTTCATCTATTTTTCTTTTTTTTTTCCAAAAAAAAGATTCTTCTGTGATTATGTAGGAAGTTGGACTTTGGAATCCAGAGGTGGGTTGTGTCGCCTACGAAATGAAGTATCGCGTCAAAGCTTCTCTGGAAGGCGGGGATAAAGCTAGATATACCTAGAAAGCTGCAAATTCCAACCTAAATCTTGATTCCATTTAGATCTAGGCGGTGCATTCTTCAATATCGGGGCAATTTAAACTGAGGGAATTGTATCAAAACTCTCCGTCGCGGCATATCTGAGTCTATACACTGGAAGAATTAAACAATACTTACCTATCAATTTGAATTTTCCCTTCGGGTCTACTAATAGCAGTAGCTCACAATATTATTTATGCTGTCATGCCAGAATATGTTGTAACCAATCTAAGAACATTATCAAAAGATACCGGATATCACATGCAGGAGGCTCAGGACACGGAGCCAGGAACCGTGAACTTCACTTCACCACTCACTATCACTTCCCATCAAAGATTTTCTGTTCCAATACCGTCTTTTTAAATCACCATTGGTCTACTAGATTGCCTACCATCCAATACGAAGTCTCTTTTGCACACCCCAGGGACGAAATTTACCCGAGCTATTCCCCTCAACATTTCCCTTGTGTCGAACACAATTATAATGTCGTCGACTCAAAAAGGGTCTCCCTCCTCGCCATCCGCTGCTTCGTTGAGCGCATCCAAACCAGTCAATAGCACTGTTTCTTCTCGGTGTTCGACACTTCTAGCAATCCAAATCCTCAGGCGTATTCGACCTCGAAAAAGGAACGATCCCATGTTGACGGACGAACTATACGTCAAGTACGGGCGCCGCATTCATTGTCTGAAGTATCAACACTGTGGTTCATATCGCGACATACATCTATCCCGGTACCAAAGGTTTTATGTGCCTTTACTCGTTCCGGGTGGACCTACATCGTGATGGAAAGGATCAAGAGGGACATAATTGGCAGTGGCTGGGTAGGACGAAGTGAGGATTCAAAGGCGAAAATTCTTTCGCAATTAGCGGGAAATATTCGTGAAATGTGAGATCTCCGGCCCTCGGAAGGAACTAGGGTTGCTTCTGTTGATGGTGGATCACTTTTTGACTGTCGTGTTCTAGACCCTTCCTTGCGCTTCGGTCCCATTGATACTATCCAGGACTTCCATCAGCATTTACGCATGGGCATGGGATTTGATTCAAGGCTTGCCCCTGAAATTTAGAAACTTATCAAACGAAAAAGCAAGTCTTGGCCTTTGGTATTCACTCACGGCGACCTTAGCAGCCTCAACATTCTTTGAAGTGGAGATGATATCGTTGATATTATTGATTGGGAAACTGCTGGTTTGTATCCATCATATTGGGAATACACTTCTGCCTACCAATTCAACCCAAAAAACTCTTTTTGGGTCAATGAGATGAACAAATAGTCTAAGAGTACTATAAAATACCTAGGTAGAATTTCTCAGTGAAATATTATATTTATATCTGTTATAGAGAGATAGGGTTTAGAAATAGAAGAAAAGAATAGAGCAATTTATTAAACTGAAGTTGATTATACTACTAACAGTCTTGTAGGGCTTAGTATCAAATTTAGTATAGGCCGAGTGTGGGTTGGGCACTCAATAGAAACCTCACTGATTATCTAAGTAATCAGTGAGCAATCAGTGAGTACTCTCTGAGCTACTCAGTGAGTCTGACCCTGAGCGCCCTCGTACATGCGGCGGCAGCTGAAGTACTACTACTAGTAGTAGGAAAGCCCCTACTAGAGGTTTATGAAGTGGTACCTAGGTACAAAATAGGCCCCGCTTGCAGAAAGGTCCCACCGGATCTGGGAAGTAAATATCAAAAAGCCGACTCGGAGCTTGGCGGATGCCAACTTGAACTTGACACACTCTCAAACCACTATTTCTGCCATGGAGAAAATTGATACACATTGCCATATTGTTCCTCCGGGCTGGAGAAAATGGTGTGAGGAATATGGTTGGGACAAACCCGATGGCATGCCATGTATACCGGTACGTCTGCGTTACACGGTCTAACCTTGGAATTGACAACGCGCTGATGTACTTTCCAGGAATGGTCAGCAGAGAATCATATTGCGCTCATGGATAAACTCGGCATTAAAAGGTCCGTTCTGAGCATTACATCGCCCGGCACGCATCTCAAAGTGGGAGATTTCGCACTAGCGAAGCGTGTAACGCGAGAGACGAACATCGAAATCTCCCAAATCTGCCGCCAATTTCCCGACCGATTTGGTTGGTTTGCATCGCTACCCCTGCCAGATGTAGAGGCATCTCTCGAAGAGATCGATCACGCCCTTGAACTCGGGGCTTCGGGGTTCGCTGTCATGACCAATGCTCAGGGTTACTACATGGGCGATTCCCGATTTGACCCTGTTTTCGAAAAGTTGAATCAGCGCAACGCTATTGTCTTCATGCATCCCACTCAATGCTGTTCTCTGGATAATCCGGAAGCCGATAAGCCCCTGGCACAATACCCGACACCCATGATGGAGTACTTTTTTGACACGACGCGCGCAGTCGTGAACTTGCTTCTGTCGGGTACGGTGACACGATTCGAGAACTTGACATTCCTGGTATCGCATTGTGGAGCGACTCTGCCGCCTCTAGTTGAACGGTTTTCTTCGTTCTCGACGAGGATGCTTAAATCCAGCGAGAAGATGACCAGCGAGCGGGTTAAAGAGATCTTCTCCACTCGGTTCTACTTTGATCTTGCGGGGATGCCGTTTCCTGATTTGATCCATGGATATTTGCGTATTGGGACGCCGGAACGCTTGCTTTATGGCAGTGATTACCCTTATACGCCTGGTGTCGTTGTTGAGTCTCTGAATAAGACCATGGAGGAGCAGATGGAGAAGCTTTTTGACCAGGAGCAAACTCAGAGGATATTCTCCGGCAATGCCTGTGAACTTAACCTATGATGCAGTAACAATATAGACAATGCAATTATAGAAGAACGGCGGACTATTGGTTGTAAGTAGGTCAATAAATCCTCAATGCCATGCTGCCAATTCCTCCAAGCACATGACGGACCCTGGTACGGCGGCCTCGAAACCCTGGATGACCCACGCGACAGAGAAAATTTTCAATCAAAACAACTCTCAAGGGGAACAGGAGAAAACAGGCGATTCAAATGAACACTTTTGAAATTAGAGAATCCAAAAAATCAAATACCAATCAAATGAGACCTGAGATAACTAGAATTCTAACCAACGAGGAGACCTCAAAAAGTATACAAAAATGTGGAGACGCAGAAAAATGCCAAGGCTTACATTAGCAGGCGCAAAAGGATCAGCCGCGATCTTCGTCACATTCGTCACGTTCGTCACATCTTCATATCTGCTTGGACTTGGATTTCCATTCCATTCTTGCATGACCTGTATCTTGTACAGTCATTGGCCGACTCTCGTTTCATCCTCCTAATCCGGCCTCCTTTCCCCTTCATCGCCCTTACCCTATATATTTGCTTCCCGAAAACAACACCCGGCCAGATCATGTCCGACGACGACGAGTATTACGAATGGGACGAAGATTATATTGAGGACGCGCCGGACTTTGTCGTGAGTGACACGCTCCGCATGGATTCCACATGCTATTCTCTTCTCTGCTCAATATTACGCCACGAATGCAGGCAGACGAACCATTGAACAGAAAAAGGAAATAGAGACTAACGCAAGCCTTCCAATAGGACGAACTCGCCCAAACCTCATATTACGAAGCGGCGCTGTACGAAGACCCTTCCTTCGATGTGGAGGATTACTTCAGTGATTGGGAATACTATTCAGATGATTACCACGATGACGACCCAACCGTGAAACAATTCGCCATGAAAACGACAGCGCCACCCGCGCAGAAAAAGGCTGGCCGAGCGCAGGCGCAGGCAAAGGCTACCGCCAACCGCGTCGCCCGACCGAAATCCTCCGTGGTCCCGGATATATCTTCCTTCCAGGGCGTGATTTGGAAAACGCCGAGTCTGGATCCTTACCAGGATGTCGCGGTCTTCTACGAGCCGATTGGGAACAAGGTGGCCCTTTTGAAAGACTGGAGGGAGGTTTTCAAGTCTGCGCAGCCGGCGCTTGATAAGTCGCGGCTGCGGAAGAGGAAAGCCAGGGATCAGGAGGAGGATACGGAAGACGTGGAGGCCGACAGTGAAATGTCTTTCGCCGATGATGAATTCCCCTGCGATGACGATCAACCTCGCGATGAAGATCAACTCGACAGCTCCATGTCTGATATCGTTTCTATGGACAATGTGAGCGAGACTGGAGATGCCGGGGAGGCCTCGAATACGACCCCGGAATTTACGCAATCACCAAAAGAAGTGCCAGCACCGGCGCCAACATCGACACCTGCTAAACGGGGTCGCAAGCGCAAGGCGGAGGTTCCGGTTGACGAGCCAAATAAGGATAATCCAGGCACTGAATCGCCGCGGACTACTCGGTCGAAACGAGTTGCGTCCAAGAAGGGTGATGGCGAGGGGAGTTTATCCGGTGCTTCGACTGCTCCCACGCGCAGGTCCACACGGCAGAAGAAGTAACTTGGTGATTTGGATTCAATTGGTTGAAGATTTAATCTACCTTACTTCCTAATGGAACGATACTAGTATATTCTATATGAAATATAATGAAAACAATGAAATCTACATGTACATGCGAACTTTGAAGTTGCTATGCTTTGGAGCTTGGGTCAAATCCGATAAAAATTACATTCTGGAGGTATCTATCTTTGTTCATGTGGAAATATTCACTGCGCATACTCCTTGTTGAATGCGCGGCCGATGACCATTCGACGAATTTCGCTTGTACCAGCGCCGATCTCGTACAGTTTGGCATCACGGAGAAGTCGGCCTGCTGAGATCTCATTGATGTAGCCGTTGCCGCCCATCAGCTGGATGGCGTCCAGAGCGCATTCTGTGGCGCGTTCAGCAGCGTAGAGGATTGCGCCGGCACAATCCTGGGTCCGAATGACTAGTTGGCCAGGAGCGGCAGCGCCATTGTCGACCTCCCGTGCCGTGGTATAGGTGTAGGCCCGAGAGGCAGCTAGTTTGGTATACATGTCGGCAAGCTTACCCTGAATCAGCTGGTTATGGGCGATGGGGGTGCCGAATTGCTTGCGAACGTGTGTATAAGGAAGCACTAGATCGAGAGCAGCTTGCATGATTCTAGCAAATGTTAGCAATTGGAGGTCAATAAGTTGTGAATGACATGACCTACCCTAGTGGTCCTGCGCTGAGGACAAGACGTTCCAGATCGAGACCTTCCATCAATACTTTGACACCTCGGTTCAGCTCTCCCAAAACATTGGCGTGCGGAACAAAGACGTCCTCAAAGACTAGCTCTCCAGTATTGGAACCGCGCATACCCAACTTGTCAAGCTTCTGAGCGCACGAAAAGCCCTTGAAGTTCTTCTCAACCACGAAGGCCGTGATACCCTTTGATCCTGCATCGGGCTCAGTTTTGGCATAGACGACAATGAAATCCGCATCAGGGCCCTATAAAGTGGTAAAATGTCTGTCAGTGATGGGTATAGAGTGAGAAAAGCCCTTGACTGACATTTGTGATCCACATTTTAGTGCCATTCAGCACCCAGCCTCCGTCAACTGATTTGGCCGTAGTCTTCATGCTGACGACATCAGATCCAGCGCTGTGCTCGGACATGGCAAGAGCTCCGACCTTATCGCCGGAGAGCAGACCAGGGAGGAAGCGTTCCTTTTGCTCGGGCGAACCGTTGAGAGATAGTTGGTTGACACAGAGCTGCGAGTGGGCGGCGTAAGAGAGACCGATACTCCCTGTGTAAAAATAGAGATTAGATCACGTCTCTAAATCGACTGAAGATTTTGTGAAAGATGGAGGTCATTACCAGAAGCGCGGCTAAGCTCTTCCATCACAACGCAGTGGGCCTGGTAACCCATTCCCAAGCCACCGTACTCTTCGTTCGCAGTGACGCCGAGGAAGCTAGAGGGAAGATTTATGAATTAGGAAAGAAAGTATGATCCGTAACATGGGGGGGTCGAAAAGTACCCAGCCTCGCCCATTTTCTTCCACATCTCAGGCGGGAAGTTGTTTTGTTCATCCGTTCGCGCCGCAACCTCGGCTGGAATCTCACGTCCTGCGGCAGGGTCAGCTAGGTTCCTATTTAAAGGTATTCTATCACGTACTTGTGAAATCCTGAACACGTTCTCTCAATTCAATAAGATCATCTTCTGTTGGAGGTTCAAAGCCTACGGGGTGTTTCGTTGACACGCTCCGCACGAAACCCGGGGAGAGTGCGGGGATGGCGCTTCTTCGCAGCGAGCGGGCGGAAGAGCGAAGGAGGGAAGGAAGGAAGGGCAATGGAGGCCATTGTGAGAAGTTGAGGCAATTCCACGAATATGGTGTATGTCGTAGATTGTAGATTCCAGGAGAGGTGTGGAGGGGGACTACTTAAGGAAATGTGAATGCGGAGGGGAAAAGGCGGCAGTCGTCGGCGCAGAACAAAAGCATGCCTAAATGTATACTCCGTAGTTACTAGTCACCACATTACACTCATTGTACTACACTCATTTACTTCCCTCATTGGGTGGTGTAATTAAGTGATAATCGAGATATGTATATAGTCTCAATTCTACTCACTTTATTTTCTTTTTTATTAGAAATTGTATCCATTATATTCCTCTACAAATAATCCCCTCTTCGACTCAACCTCAAGGCGGTGATGGCAACGGCGGGTAGAAGCGGCAATCATCGCACCTCCGCACATCTGGGGAAGCTGGGGGATCTTTTGACCTCTCGGCCTCGCTACTTTCTACATATCTCATTGACTTCCACTTTTACATTGACCGTGCAACGGCAATGAGAAAATACTTTTCTTTATAACCTCTCAACGCTAACTTCTTATCGTACTATCTCACCTCCAAACACTCACCACTCCTAACCCCCGCAATGCGCGCCCTTTCCCCGCTCGTCCTCCGGAGCTTGGGCTCGCGGGTTGCTCCACGAACCTACCGACCAGCACACTTCACCGTACTTAAGACTGTCTCGAGTACACAATATAGGACAGCCGCCAGCTACACACACCCCCACCATGCCTCTGCACTCTCTGTACTGCCCACGGCAGTCGACACCTCGTCGCCCGAGTACCAAGAGAACAGCCAGCAGATGCAAGAACTCCTCGACCAAATGACCAGTCTACACGGCAAGATCGCCCAAGGCGGCTCAGAAAAAGCCCGCGAGAAGCACATCGCCCGAGGCAAAATGCTACCACGCGATCGTGTATCCGCCCTCATCGACCCAGGCACTTCCTTCCTGGAACTATCCCCACTAGCCGGACACGAGATGTACGAAGGCGACGACGTGCCCGCCGGCGGCATAATCACCGGCATCGGCACAGTTGAGGGCGTTAACTGCATGATCGTCGCAAACGACAGCACCGTGAAGGGCGGCACATACTACCCTATCACGGTGAAGAAGCATCTTCGCGCACAGGCAATCGCACAAGAGAATAGACTCCCATGCATCTACCTTGTTGACTCGGGCGGTGCAAACCTCCCACACCAAGCAGACGTCTTTCCAGACCGGGAGCACTTCGGCCGCATCTTCTTCAACCAAGCGCGCATGAGCTCCCTCGGCATCCCGCAGCTCTCGGTCGTCATGGGTCCCTGCACCGCCGGCGGCGCCTACGTGCCCGCCATGAGCGACGAGTCCATTATCGTCGAGAAACAAGGCACCATCTTCCTAGCCGGACCGCCTCTCGTCAAGGCCGCAACGGGCGAAGTTGTTTCAGCCGAGGACCTCGGCGGCGGCGAGCTGCATTCAAGTATCTCCGGCGTAACGGATTATCTCGCCGTCGACGATGCCCACGCCCTCGTGCTCGCCCGCCGAAGCGTCGCAAACCTAAACTACCCCCAAACCAAGCTCCCCTCCCAACTGGAAGAAATAACCGTAAAAGAGCCGCTCTACGACCCGGCCGAACTAAACGGCATCGTCGGCACAAATCTGCGCCGCCAGATCCCTGCACACGAGGTCATTGCGCGAATCGTCGACGGGAGCGAATTCGCCGAGTTCAAGCGCGACTATGGCTCGACACTGGTGACGGGTTTCGCGCGGATTCATGGCCACCGGGTTGGGATTATCGCGAATAATGGGATCTTGTTCTCTGAGTCTTCGCTCAAGGGCGCGCATTTTATTGAGCTTTGTGCGCAGCGGCGAATTCCGCTTGTGTTCTTGCAGAATATTTCAGGGTTCATGGTTGGTGCTGATGCGGAGAAGGGTGGGATTGCGAAGAATGGGGCTAAGCTTGTTACTGCCGTTGCTTGTGCCGATGTTCCTAAGTTTACGGTTGTTTTTGGATCGAGTGCTGGTGCTGGTAACTATGGCATGTGGTAAGTTGGATCGTATCCTTTTCTCTGGCGAAGCTTTGTTACACTCGCCCTGCCTGCTTCTATCTTTGTGGAAGATATCTAATTCTCTTTTCTTTTAGTGGCCGCGCCTACTCCCCCCGGTTGATGTTCATGTGGCCCAATGCCAAGATCGGTGTCATGGGCTCGGAGCAACTCTCCTCTGTCATGGAGGCTGTCGGTCGATCCGCGGACCCGGCACTGAAAGCTCGAATTGACCATGAGTCTGAGGCTATTTTCTCCTCGGCTCGACTGTGGGATGACGGTGTGATCCCGCCTGCTCAGACGAGGAAAATGCTTGGGCTTGGATTGGCGGCCGCTGTTGGTGGGAAGGCCGAACCGGATGTTCAGACTAGGTTTGGCGTATTCCGTATGTGAGGTGCTGCGAGGCAGCCCGGGATATGGGGATACAGAGACAAATATAGAAATGTGGGCACTGAAGGACTGTCTAGTATTCATTCAATCAAGCATATCGTTTTCTTCGTACTTCGCTTTTGGTGTAAATGTGGCCAGGGACTTGAAAGAAGGAAATAGGGCTACTTGACGCGAATATCAAAGCAGCGATAAAATGGACTTGAACACGACAAGAATAAGAAAAACGACATTGGGAATTGTAAACACTTTTATTCATCGCGACATTTTTTTGCCAGATAGCCCCAAAATCCAAAGCCCAAAGTATGTAAGAATAAAGAAGAGGAAGGAAAGCCGACACGCAGCTTCACCGAAGAAGTAAAAATGGTAAAAGAAGCAGCTTGAAGCGTGCAAGGGTAGGTAAAAAGATAAAGAATAGGAAAAGAGAAGCGAATAGAGTTGAAAAAACAAAACAAAGAACAATGGTATAATATGTGACGAATGGCGGCGACGCATCGTTCTATGTAGAGGGGGGCGCAGATGCAGAAAGCGTGAGTCGAAAACATCATAAGACACGTCAAACGTGGATGCGGAGGCAGCGTAACTAGAACATCTATGAACAATTGAATCCATTCCAACTCCAGCGCAGAGCTAGAGTCCAGTCAGGAAGTTCACGCGTCCATAAGAAAGGTTGGAAGTGGGGAAAGAGCAGTAGACATCGTCAAAGGTTGGTAAGAGAAGGGTGGGGCATAGATTTCATCATCAGAGAATCACACAAGGACTTCGACGGCGCGTGGACCGATTATCTCTAT